CACACACACACATATGATTGTCATAGGTATTTTTATAAAAACTCATGAAGATAAGGGGTGAGAAAATAAAAAGACGTCAGGTAGAGAAGGCTGAATGAAAAGCCAAATAACAATGAAAATCTTAATGGAGAGAAAAATAATACTACACCGAACTTGGTTTTCAATAGTTCAATTTACCAAAGAAGATATAATAATGTAAGGAAACCTTATCTTCGCTGTCTTGCCTCTTCTGCCAACTTGTTAGTTTCCGCCTGTAGATCTTCAAGTTTGTACGACATTAGGCATTAAACACAAATCATCATCGTTGGCGAAATTCAAATCATATTCTAGTCTCTTTTCATCAATCAAGTAACGAGTGTATGCCCATCTTCTCATAGTTCCTCATGGTTTGCTGCATCGACCATAATCACGAAGATAATCGGTGATAGTAGGCAGTAGCTTTGTCTTACTCCTGTCTTCAATTCACTTCAATAACATCACTGAGCTTTCCATTGTGAATCACTTGTCATGTGGCATGTGTGTGGATCACATACACACACACATACACATGTGCTTGTCAAAGGTATTTAAATGAAAATTCATGAAGGTAAGCTGAGTGAGAAAATGAATAGCGTTCACAAGTTGGAAGGTTGAAGGAAAGGCCGAATAACAATGAAAATCTTAATGGAGAGAAAAATAATACTACACCGAACTTGGTTTTCAATAGTTCAATTTATCAAAAGAGATTTATAATGACAACATACATTGTTCATGAACATACAATAGGAGCTTCAACTTTCTAATAGCTTACGCTCCAACAAATTTATAGATCTCTCCCCAACATAGATGTAAACGAAGTAGGCATACCAATCCTGTGGCCTGTCTCAATGATATGTTTGACGATCGAAGAACTTGGACGTCTGTTACCAACGTGTTTTATGAATTCAGTTGATTTAATTTGCTTCTAAAGACACTTTGAAATACGTTCTGAGGGCCTTACTTGCATGAATCTATTAGTCCTCCCTATGTGTGTATCACTACACCAATACATTTGAATTGATAGATACAATGGGATGTGACATTGTTGTTCACATGCTGTGGGGGTTTGGGGAATATACGGGCTTCGTGGTTTCTATTAATCGCACTCTGGCTACATAGTAAGTCCTTCTAACAGGAGTGTTAAATCTCTGCTTATGGATTACACTATGAGAGTCACCTTTGTACGGAAGGCTAATGAGGATATCCTTCTTTGGTACAGACTGAAGCTGTAGTTTTGACACTGTGATAATTTTGTTTTGCCTGATAAATTGTAGTAGTAAATATATGAATATATTGAATAACAGACATGCACACCTCGGTACCGTGACCATCTTTGGATATAATCATGACGATAATGTCCAAGGAATGTACATTGACTTAAAAGTGATTTCGTGTTAGTTTGTGAGTCATCAGTTAGCAGACACCTATGAGCTCACAGCCATCGACTCCCACAACGATAGTGTCACTATCTAACCAGTGAGTTAGTCACCTGGAGTTCTAATGAGAAAGAAGTTGATTCCTTTGCTAGATAGTCGTGGGTGACATGCGATGAACTCTACCAGAAATCTGATGGTGTTGGTATGGGGTCACACCTTGGCCCGCTCTTTTCTGCCGAAACTTCAGAATGGTCCACTGAATGATACTATTAGCCGTTTAGAGTTATATTGCCGTTACATGGATGATACCTTTATAGTTCTCAAAAGTGAGACTGATAAAATACTGTTCTAAATAAGTTCAAAAGTATTCACTCGGCAATCAACTTCACAATGGAAGAGGAGAAAAATGACAGTATCCCATTTCTTGAGGTTCTGTTGGTAAGATGGTCAGATGGAACCCTGAAGCGAAGTGTTTATAGAAAGCCAACATCAACAGGTCAATATATACACTTCTTTAGTGCTGTACTCCTCCAATGCAAAAGGAACCTAGTGAAATGCTTAGCATACCGTGCCTCAGCTATTTGGTCAGAGGATGCTATAAAGGAAGAGTACTCCACAATCCATGATCTGCTTAGTAGGAATGGCTACCCAGACAAGTTTGTAACTAAGCACATGAATATTACGAGGGTTAAGACAACAATGCCAACAGTTCCTAAGTAGCAAATCTTCTCGAAGCTGCAATTTAAGAGTGACACTGCCAGTGAGATCATCACACAATGCATAAAGAGTCTTGCATAAAACATTCCCAGCCTCTAAATTATGTCCCGCCTTCTACAACCGCCCGATTCTAGGTGCAAGAAATAAAGACAAACTGCCTGATTGTGCCACTTCTATGTGCATTTATCAATTCAACTGCTCCTATGGAGCTAGTTACATTGGGCGTACAATGAGGCAGTTCCATCGTCGAGTTTCTGAGCACCACCCATCATGGTTGAACAAAGGACAAATTAGAACTATACAGACCTCCATACTTGCACACTTAGTTGACACAGGACATCAAGTGGTTACTAGAAAAGCCTTCAAAATCATCTATCAGATTCCAATTAATTTACCATCACATGGATAAGGCACTCGGTTACTTCACATAGCAGAGGCGATTGCAATCCACCTTTACAAACAAACGTAGCCTTTGTATTCGAAAGAAGTTTGTTCGACCACTTTCATCATTACCGTGGCTGTCAACATGATGTAATTTCTAGGTTTACTTTGTACACCTCTCCCCCTTCCCCTTGTTTCTATCAATATTCATATTTCCAATTTTAGTAACTCTGTTGATTACTTACATCATTATTTCTAAAACGGAATACCACAAACTTTTATCAACCTCATTCAACAGCTAAGCTATATGAAGACGCCATATACCAAGTAATTTAAAATGGGAAGCTCACTGATGCATTTGAAGTGCAGTGAAGTGAAGAAAGGAGTAAGACAAGGCTGTCTACTATCACCCATGATATTCTTGAATGTAGTGGACTGGCTTATGCAACAAACGGTTTGGAGCGAGAAGAGGAGGATACGCTGGACAGCAGAAAAGAACCTAGAAGATTTGGATTTCACCGACGACTTATGTCTAATGTCACACAAATATGAAGATCTACAGGCGAAAACTAACAAGTTGACAGAGAAGCAGCGAAGACAGGACTTCGTTCAGGTGAATGTAGAGAAGACACAGGTAATGAAGATACCCAACCAACAACAACAGCAACAACATCTCCAATCACCATCAACGGGAGAAACTTAAAGCAAGTAGCCTCTTTCACCTACCTACCTACACAGCATCGTTTCAACTACAGGTGGCGGCACAGGCACAGACGAGGACATCAAAGCCAGTCAGGATCGTAAAGACAGCAAGACAGGCGTTCATTAACCTGAAACCAGTGTGTAGATCTACTGCACTCTGCATAAAGTGTGAACAAGATACTGATTTTCAACAACAACAACATCAAGTCAGTGCTTCTGTATGACTCACAGACTTGGCGCGTTACGAAAGACATTTCCAACAAACTTCAGACATTCATCAACAGCTGCTGCCTATGCTGGTTAATGAAGCTCAGATGGCGAGGAAGAATAAGCAAAGAGGAACTCTGTCTGGCCTGTTAACAAACCAACCAAGAACCTATCGCTCAACAAATGTGCAGAAGGAAGCGTAGATGGATTGGGCATACACTGAGAGGGCCAACTGGAACATCACGCGTCAGGCCACGCCGTCCAGTGGAACCTGCACAGGAAAGAACGAGTTGGCGGGGGGGGGGAAGGGTGTGAGAGTGACATGAAGGAGATGGTTTGAGGATTGAATGAAAGCTTACAGGGATTCATAGAGCCAGGTGGTGCCAGACTGCACAGGAGAGAGTGAAATGGTGATGTGCTACTGAAGCTCTATGTTCGACTGAAAACCCAAGGGTCAAATAATAATAAAAAGATAATACTTGTCCATTACCAGGCAGTTGAATATCTTGCCAGTGGGTGATATAGATGATACAAGTTACCAAACGCCAAATGGACCTTCTCTATGTGAACTGAGTTTTCATCAGCAACCAAGCGGTTCGAGATGAAAGAAACCTACTCCACTTTATACCAGCCCTTAGACCGGGATCAGTTACAGACCAGTCCCGGTGACAGCAAACTGCATGCTAACATATTCAGACTTCTGTTCACCATGTTCAGAAGATGCTGTTTGTAATCAGTGTCTTATTCTAGCAATTCAGTGTAATCTGAGTAATTCAAATCAGTTAGGTGACTGTGAAGCCTCGCCTGGTTAACCAGTCCACTAGTTACTAGACGATCTCAAGCCCGGGGTAAAGAGGGAAGGTTGGACATAGGGCTAGAAACCCTACACCGGAAAACCAATCCAACCGCTAAAGAAACTTTAAAGCATAGACGAAATATAAAACAAAAACATAAACTTATTCCTCACTGGAATCGGAGAGACGAAATGATGAAGGTTGGTGAAAGCCTTCAGGAAGCCAATCGGCCGATGTGTCTCCTCTTCTCTTGATGAAAGCAAAAATAAGGATGGGGACATGGAGTGTCCGCACCATGTTTGAACCTAGCAACATGCCCAGATTGCAAAGTAGATGAGAAGTTAGAGTAATGAATTGCTAGGAATCTGCGAAAGTAGGTGGGATGGAAGTAGACTCTCCAAACTATCAACTGGAGAGGAGTCAATAATCTACTCTGATATTGTCATCCAGATGACAAACACGAGTACACTGAGTTTTAGAGTGGGTATCATGATGTCCCGGAGAGCATCAAAGGCTCTCATACAGTGGGAATCAATCTCCTCTAGGATCGGGATCATAACAGCAAAGTTCAACTCAAAAGGAAGGAAGGAAGGTCACAATCATACAATACCAATACTACGCATCTACAAATTAATACAGATGAAGAGAAAAACGAGGAATTCTATAGACAACTACAATCAGTAATGGACAATACCACAGTTGGACAAATAATACTAATAATAAGTAAATGTTAAAGTATATCGATCAAAATTTTAAAAGCTTATCAGGTTTATTGATTTTTTCTGAATTTATCTTTATTGATTAGATAATCAGATTAAAGTGAATGTTGAGTCTTTAGACAATGAGAAAACGAATATTCTAGAAGAACAGTAAGTTATCTATTTTTAATCATAAATCTTTAGTGTATTTTTAATGTGTTTTTTTTCTCATGACGAAGAATATCGTCATCATCTTTATCAACCTAGGACCAGGCATTACTGGGTAACGGTCCAACTTACCACAGCTCATATCACTACATCAAGTAGAAACGTAGTCAAGCGGAGGATGAAGAAAAGAAAATTCAGTCGAAAGAAGTATAAAGTACGAAAAGAAGAATGAGGAAGTGGTGAGATTTCGTATAGTGTCGTTAAGATGAGGATAATGTATGTGAGGATACATCTACACCACAGATATCGGTTCTGAACCACATAAGTTAGAGTCTCCAACCACTGGTTCCTGTTGTCCCTCCAACCCCAACCAACTAGTTTTCATCGCCCTACATGGCTCAGACAAACAGTCAAACACTTCATACATTAATGCTATGTTTTAGTCTACCTACCTCGCGTCACCTTTAATCAGCCTGGACCTACTTCACTTAACATTGTGTGATGAGGCAGATGGCTATTAGGCATACGTAACACATGTCCCAACCATCTCAGTCGATGAAGGTACGCAACCGTGTCAACTGACTCACCTCTTCTCCCTGAAACTATACTCCTGACTTCTGCATTACTCACCTGGTTACATAACGAAACAGAGCCTACACACTACGAAGACAACGGAGGTCAAACAGCTGAAGCCGCTTTCTCATGTCTTCCACCCTCAATGGCCATGTTTCACAGCCATACAGTAGAGCAGACCGGACTGCTGTGCAGTACACGCGACCCGTAATAGACAGTCAGATATCACAGCGGTGCAATAGGTGGCAGAGATTTCATCGGCCACTGAGCCATCAGGGCTGATACTTCTTCCTAAACAATTGGAGTGGTCGAAACACTCAATCACTAAACTCTGTATTGTTAGCCGTGGCACCACTGAAGACCAATCCTGGAGCAACAATTTGTATTTGGGTGGTGAGAAACGCATCCCAAACATTCTCAAATTGCTACTCAAAGTGTTCAGAAGACTCTGCATCTTATCAGCGTCTTCACTCAACAGGACTATGTCATCTGCATAGTCTAGCTCTAACAAAAATCCTCCTGAGAGTAGGTGATGAGAGGGGGACCTCCATAAGAATATCTATGATAAAATTAAATAAGAATGGAGACAGTGGGCACCCTTGACGGACACCAGTCGATGAGCAAACCTCCCTGGATATCTCGCAAGTGTTCGAGTAGAGAGCCTTCAATAAAGTGATGTACTTACTCGGCACGTCTTTCAGTGAGAGACATTGCCATAAGACTTCTTGAGGAACGTAGTCGAGTGCCGCCTTCAGGTCGAGAAATACATTTAATGTCGGGAGTCAGTGAGCGTGCCAGTGTTCCAAAACCTGTCACAGCTTGAATATTTGGTCGATACACCCACGGCTGGGTCTAATGACTGCCTGGTTTCCTCGGGCTTGCTGTTCCCTAGCTCCAATCAGGTGTCGAAGAATTATAGAACCTAGAATCTTGGACACTATATTCGTCTGACTTATTCCCCTGTGGTTATCACAAGAGGACTTCTCGCTTTTCTTGAAGACTGGAATATCAGTAAAGTGTCTATCATTTCCTGTAGACTTTTTACTCAAATTGGTCTGTAGACTTCATCAGACTCCAACATCAAACTGATATAAGCACGAGAAAGGGATTGTTTCACTCAGCTATGGATCTACAGGTGGTCAATCACAATTCATATAACTCAGCATTGCAGTGATATTTGGAGATTCTTGTTTAAAAAATGAATCTCTACTGAGTTCTACATTCCTGTTACTGATGAGCATTGACAAGTACGAAGTCTACATATCATCTTCAACTAATTAATACCGAACAAAGTACACTATGAAGATGATTCGTGGAGTCCGGTTTCGACATTGATAACAAGGTGATATATTCATTCAGCACATAGAACAAGATACATTCAATGAAGTAATAATCAACTGTTGTACTGAAATTCTTACCGCTTGGATTTACTTAAATAATCCCTAATGAAATAATACGAAAATTGCCACAGAAAATCATGTACTACTGAAGGATTTTTCTGGTACTTTGTGAAACCCATCGGTTGAAACCCGATATACACCAATATAGTAATTATTATTATTAATTATAATTTCTCCCTCGGATTCCTAGTGGAACATAGGGATTTAGTAGCAGCCTCCATTCCACTCTCTTCCATACAGTCTGGCTTCACTTGGCGCCACGACTACCCACAAGCTTTCATTTCTTCCTCATATGACCTCCTCCATATCACCCTCATCTGGGGCGCCCAACTTGCCATTTCCCATTTGGATTCCACCCAACGGCATGGTCTGGCCTGGTGCATGATGTCCACAATCAGCCTTCTCAGTGTATGCCCAATCCATCTCCAATTTCTCCCTCCACATATTTCTTGGGCAACAGCCTCTTCATGGATTGTTTCGTTACCAGACAGAGTGACTTCCTCCTTGCTTATTCTTTCTGGCCATCTGACCTGATCTTCAGTATCAAGTGACAGTAGGCAGCAGTTGTTGATGAATGCGTGTAGTTTGTTGGAAGTGCTTTGCGTGACACGCCAACTTTCTCAACCATCACATAGAAGCATTGGCTTGAGTGGATTGGTGTTAAAAATCCGGATGTTGTTCAGGCTTTAGGCTGAGTGCAGTGAAGTAGATCTCCACACTGATCATTTCAGATTAATGAAAGCCTGTCTTGCTTTGCTTTCCCATCCTGACTGGTTTTGACATCCTCATCTGTGCCTGTGCCACCACCTGTAGTTGAAACCATCCTGTCTAGATTACTAGGTAGGTGAAAGAGACGACTTCCTTCACGTTTCTTCCGTTGATCGTGATTGATGCTTGTTGTTGATGCTGTTGTTGATTGGGTATCTCCATCACCTGTGTCTTCTCTACGTTCACCAGAGGGGAGTCGCGTCTTCGCTACTCTGCCTCTTCTGACAACTTGTTAGTTTCCACCTGAAGATTTCGAGTTTGTGGGACATTAGGCATTAGACATAAATCATAACCATCATCATCCTCATCATCGTTGGCGAAATTCAAATTATCTTCTAGGTTCTTTTCATCTGTCAACCGGAGCGTGGATGCCCATCTTCTCTCTCCTAACGGTTTGCTGCATGATGCAGTCGACCACAGTGAGGAAGATTATGGTTGATAGTAGGTGGCAGCCTTGTCTTACTTCTGTCTTCACTTCACTTCAATAGCATCACTGAGCTTTCCATTGTGGATCACTTGGCATGTGGCGTTGTCACATAGCTGTTGAATGAGGTTGAAAAAGACTCTTGGCACTCCGTAGTTTTGAAGCAACTGCCAAATTACTTCACGAATATTGTAAATATACCTTATAATTCAATGGTGTTAAAGACATTACTTGTGTATGAAGAGATGTCATCAAAGTAGACTGTTAGTTTGTTTCATCCAATGAATCATTTGCGTTGGGTATGAAGAAGGACACCGATCGACGAAACCATCCGATAATCATCATTTATCACAAATCAAGAACATTTGGTGAGTGTGAACCGTAGAATTGTGATGCAATGGGTTCGATATAGCTTGCTGCCTTCGGTGTTCGCTGATCATGACTCCCAGGTTGGAGAAAAACAGCAGTTGTGTTTCTTAGTCCCCAGTACTTTTCCTATTAACATCGATAAGTGATCAAAGCTGCTTGTGTAGTTTTCATTAGTTATCTTATTGATTGAAGACATTGGGAGAAGACAAAAAAGTTCCACGGTTCCACTTGTCTATTCTTCAGTTGATTTGGTGACGCATAGAGAATGACTCTGAAGTTTTCACCGAAACAATGTGTGAAATATCCAACTTTACTTCTTGATTTCATGAAAATACACCTTTTTGGGTTGAAATGAGGAAATTCAATTATTTATTACAGTCGTTCCAATGGCTGACTTTAGAATTATTTGTCTTCCAACACAGTAGATGTAGGCTGGAATCCCATGTAGTATCATAGACGTTCATAGTATAGGTGTGAATCACAGCTCCGTGTAGCTGGACTACTGAGTTGCATGAAGACAAAACGTATTTTTGGTTTCTGGTCTTATACTTGTGAGCACATATCTGATGTTCCCTCGTGGGTTGAAACCCGCCACTGAAAATGATTATCAGAAAGCGATCGGTTCTCAGGACTAGGAAATATGAAGTTGGTTAATCTCTAGTGTTTGGTCCAGTCCTGTAGGAGGTGAATCTGAGGCTGAATAGCTCAGTGAAGATGTCATCATAGAGAAACATGAATTAAAGAATGACAGGAACAAAAAACTCATTGAAAAATTGATACTTGATGCTAATATATTCCTGTTTCCACCTTCATTCTTCCCTTCTGCTTTGTTGTACAGTACACAGAACACTCGAATTCAATTCAGTGATATTCATATCCAAGATCATTTGAAAATTGTCGGCTGTCGACAAAGTAAGCTAAATTTTGTCTACGTGCAGTAACCTTTATTGAATACAAATATATGTAGCATTCAGCCCCTAAATTTGAATGTTCAGTGATCGTAGGTGAAACGGAGATTTGAATCAGTGGACAAGTTGAACGAAAATCCTCCAAACTAACAACATAACATCGTTGGTTATTGTCATCCCTTTGCAGTAACAATACTTCTGTTGTCATTTCGAAAGCTGCTATGTGCTATGGCTGCTAATGATTCAGAGATATCGTCTGTCAGCAGTCAACGAAAGATTATTTATTGGGTAATTCATTGTCTGCCTGTCTAACTATAGACATGATCACATAAAGTACATTCTGATTGACCCATCTCCAGCCTAGGCATCTCTCACTCTATCCGCATATCACCTCCCTCTTCGAAAGAATGTTATTTGAGGTCAGAGAGAGGAAGTTTCACCTTGTTTACTGGAGGATCAGTAGTCTTCTCGATATTCTCTCGGCGAACAGGTACACGAGCATGAAAAAAAGCTATCAAGTCAAGGGATTTACCTACAGATCGAGAATGAGATCTGCAACGATATCTGGAGGATGACCTGTATAGACGTCGTTGTGTGTGTGTGTGTGTGTGTGTGTGTGTGTGTGTGTGTGTGTGTGTGTTGGCAACTAAAACCGTCCTTATAGCCCCCCAGTGTCACAGCCTCGGCACCAATGCTATTATGTGGAGAACATCTTACGAAATGCCAGACACCACAATACCAGTAAGGCAATGTGGATGTCTTCTTCGATGATCGGTTGGTATCTCATGAGTTACTGGTCCAATGAACAGGTGAAATAAGGCCAGAGGGTGATTTGGAGGCATGAGATGCCTGACTGGCTGTATACACTTGAGAACCAGTCTGGCCTCTGGGTTGGGCTAAACTCGTATCACACTGCAGGTCGACTAGTCGTTGATATTCTACAGAGATGTCGTTCATTGTCTGGACTGTGGCATAGAAACTGCAATCATATGGGTTCTGCGGGGAAATGATGTTGAGGTATTTGTTGAGCTCAGATAGACGAAGCTTTTGAAATAGGAGACAGACCTTCGAGGAATCATCTTGGCCAGCGAAATTGACTTTGAATTGGTCTTCATAATGCCTTGACCAACAGTGGAAAGTTTCATTGTCATGATGATGGTGATGAAATTCACTGAGATGCTATTGGTGGTGCCATCAACTGAAGGAGAAGTTGAAACTGGTGTAGTAAGCTATGGTGAGTAGTTGAAATTTTGTATTGCGTAAGTATGTGGATAATCCTGATTTGTTATTCAAAGAAACAGTCCAACTTTGAAGAATCCATTAACCAATATCCCATCTTCGTCGCCACTGTTGTTATTTGGAAGCTGCTGTATGCTTTGGCTACTAATGATACACGGATATCGACTGTCAGCCACCATCATTAAAGTAGAAAATTTGAAGATTATGGCTAGTGAATATATCTCAGTTTTAGAAGACGTCAAGGAGTGATTACATCTGTGCCGTTGTGACCGACTTTCAGTCGTTTCACTACAATATGGAAGCGTTAAGAGATTACTGTAACTTAACGAAACTGTTAGATTCCTATCAGGTAGGACAATGATAACGTACTGGCCATCGAGCCTATAGGTTCAGGGTTCGAGATTAGGCTGGGATTGGTCATGAGTATGCACTGCTGAGGTCTCCTGCACAAGGAACAAATACTTGTCCAATCTTCCCGTCTTTCTGTTATAATGTACAGAATGACTGAAAAAAAATCTTCATAAGTAGCTGTACACCATCAATCACTTTCCTTCATGAAAAAGACACGTGAACTAGCGTGTAAGTATCAGGTTAGTTCAAGGGATGGAAAACCAGTAGGACATATAAATCTATTATTATTTGTCCCTTGGGTTCCTAGTCGAACGTAGAGCTTCAGTAGCACGTCTCCATTCCACTCTCTTCTCTGCAATCTTTTGGACCTGACTCCACGACAGCCTACAAGCTCTTATTTGTTCCTCACACCATCTCCTCCATGTCACCGTCAGCTGGGACACCCAACTCGTCGTTTCCAATCTGGGTTCCACTTGACAACCTGGCCTGCTGAGTGATGTCCCCAATCGGTCTTCTCAGTGCATGCCCAGTCCATCTCAACTTCCTTCTGCATATTTGTTGGGTGGTAGGTTCTTGGTTGGATCGTTCCCACAGTTCCTCCTTGCTTATTATATCTGGCCATCTGGTCTTCAGTATCCAGTGAGCGTAGGCAGTTGTTGATGAATGTATGTAGTTTGTTGGAAATGCCTTTCGTAACGCTCCAAGTCTCTGAGCCATGCAGAAGCACTGACTTGACTTGATTGGTGTTGAAAACTCGGATGTTGTTCTTTATACTGAGTGCAGAAGATGATGATGATGTGGCTTAATATTTTGCTTAGGGTGGACAGTAGCATGACTCCACGCCAGTTCTTGCAAAGGCTCAGGTCACCCTTCTTTGGGAGTTTAACAAGGTAGCCCTTCTTCCAATCGCCAGGTACACATTCAAATCTAGCAGGTGGAATCTGAAATTATTAGTAAACGCCTCCATATTTGCAAAACTCAGCCTCTATCGAGTCACTTTGTACAGATACAAAAGGTGGCGACTGGTAACAAAAATGTAAACTGTTTTTGTTGAGAAATTTCAAGTTTTTTTGCAACACTATGATAAAATGAGGGAAGCATCATCACTGAGGATTATTTAGGGATTCAAGCAAACACTAGATGACATTGAGACAGAATCCTCAGATTTTGAAAAAACGTTTTTGTAACGTCAGTGGATGAGAACGGTATTATTTCTGCACCCTGAACCCCACTGTTCACGACGAAATAATAAGTAAATGCAGGCATTCGATCGGATCATATTGATAAAAAAAAGAAGTACCTGTTGAGAGTCTGTAAAATGATGTAACATGTTTAGTGCCATCCAGATGTTCTTCAACTACACATCATAATAAATGTTTACAAGAAATTCTCAAGGAGTACCAGTGCAAGCCCAAACACCAACGTCAACAAGTATATAGATACTCAAGGGGATTCGAAACCTCTGTACACACATCGAACCAGGTAGTTGCTATGCATGGTAGTAGATTACTTTATTAAAGACAAGAAAATGGACACCGGGATTGTCTGCAAGTCAGCTCCAATTCAAACGTCTCATCGGCTAACCAGCAGGCAATTAGAAAACCTCGAATGCACTTAATCCCACAGGTCCCTAACAGTGAATAAGACAGTCAGAAGTAAGTCATAGAGGTGGAATACTATGGTGATTCATCGCATAACGGAGTACCTTATCATTCCGACCAACTATACCTAGATTACTCCGATTCAAACTGCACACAAATCTCAGACTGTCATCTAAAAAAATACTCAGGCTCATTGACAAACAGAACCGGAAGAGTATGACAGCACTACCTGCTCAAAAAAGCCTGAGTGAATTTGGTTTATTGAGGTTGGAAAATTTATGTAAGCATTCCAGTGAGGAGGGAGAAGATTGAAATATGCTGGCTGGACCGATGAAAATAGCATAGAAGATTTGCATTTCGCCTATGATGATGATGATGATTTATGTCTAATGTCTTGTCGCACAAACTCGAAAATCTACTGGCCAAAAATTAACAAGTTGGCAGAAGAGGTGAGGTGAGATGAGGTGACGCGAGGCGAGGCGAGGCGAGGCAGTGAAGATGGCATCTCCTTCAGATGGACGTAGAGAAGACACATATGATGAAGTTACCGAACAAAAACTAGCAAGCACCAATCACCATCAAGGGTGGAAAGCTACACGAAGTTATCACCTTCACCTACCTACGTACTTACACACCTACTAACTACACACCTACCTACCTACCTACCTACACACCTACACACCTACCTACACATCTACCTACCTACCTGCACACCTACCTACCTACCTACACACCTACCTGCCTACCTACCTACATACTAACCTACTTACTTTCACACGTACCTACTTAGACACCTACGTACCGATCTACACATCTACCTACCTACATACCCACCTACCTACCTACCCTTCCTACCTACACGCCTGCCTGCCTGCACATCTACCTACCTACCTGCCTACACGCTTACCTAACTACCTACCTACACACCTACCTACCTACTAACCAACCTGTTTACCCACACAGCTACCTACCTACCTACACACCTAACTACCTACCTACGCACCTACCTACCTACCTACCTACCTCCCTAGCTACCTACACACCTACCTACATACCTGCCTACCTACCTACACAGCTACCTACCTAACAACCTACCTACCTGCCTATACACCTACCTACCTGCCTACCTACACACCTACCTACGTACATACACCCCTACCTACCTGCACACATAGCTACCTACCTACGCACCTACCTACACATCTACCTACTACCTACCTACCGACCTACACACTTACATACACACATACCTACATACCTACATGCCTCCACACCTAACTCCTACCTACCTAAACACCTACACACCTACCCACACACCTACCTACATACCTGCCTACCTACCTACTTAGGTACACACCCACTTACCTACCTACCTACCTACACACCTACCTAGCTACCTGCCTGCCTACCTACCTACACACCTACCTGCACACCTACCTACCTACCTACCTACCTACCTACCTGCCTACCAACCTATCTACACACCTACCTGCCACACCTACCTACCTACCTACCTATACACCTATGTACACGCCTACCTGCACACCTACCTACCTGCCTACCTACACACCTACCTACCTACCTACCTATACACCTATGTACACGCCTACCTGCACCTACCTACCTACCTACCTACCTACCTGGGCAGCCTCATTTCTACTACAGGTGGTAGAGACACAGATGTGGATCTGAGAGCGAGAATGGGAAAGACAGCTAGACAGGCTTTCTTGCATTAGTCTTAAATCAATGTAGAGATCTACTGCACTAAACTGAACTCAGGATAGAGCGTGAACAACATCTGGATTTTGAACACCAATTCATTGAAGTCAGTGCTTGCTTCTATGTGATGTCTGGGAGGGTTGGTGCGTAACGAAAATCACTTCCAACAAACTGCAAACATGCATCAACAGTTTCTGTTGTCCAAGCTCACTGGATACTAAAGATGGTGTTCAGATGGCCGGAAAGAGTAAGCACAGAGGAACTCTGGCTGGGTGGCTGACTGGCCGGTGGGCTGGAAACGAAGCTACCGACGAAGAAGTTATTGCCCAAGAAATATCCGGAGGGAGGAAGTGGGGATGGATTGGATTGGACATACACTGAGAATAGGGTTTTGGGATATCGCGGGCCAGCCAAGCCATTCGGTCGAGTGAAATCGAAAGGCGAAACGACTATTCGTGCCTTTGAGTATGACATGGAGGAGATGTTTTGAGGAAGGAATGAAAGGTTATTGACTGTTGTGTAGCCAGTTTAAGGAGACTGTAGAGAAGTGAGTGAAATGGTGATGTGCTATTGAAGCCGTTTGTCCCACAGGGAATCCAATGGACTGATAATAATAATAACTAATGACCACTTAATTTATGTCTTCCACACTACTTCAATTAAAAGGTGTTATGTCTTTTTACGAGATAAGCTACGTCCTCATGTTTCTCACAAATCACTATGATGTCGTCAAAATTTCTCTTGTAAACGGAATCTTCGGCGATAACTTCACGACTTAGATTTTTGATGCATGGTCCTAACGGACTTCGCATCATAGCTACACGATCAAGTCGTCGAAAATGTGCACCTTCATGTGTGAAATGAACTGTATCGGCACATAGACAGTAATAGTTTGTTGAGAAGCTGATAGGTGATGTGTACTCATAGAGAATGTTTTATAGCCTTGGACAATGGCACACATACTCAGACAATAGAGGAAGCGGCAACCATATTCGCAAATTGAGACCACCTTCTTGTGTATACAAAAACAATTTGTTCATGATGTGTACACCACCCATACTTTGCGTACCTCAAATGTGTATTGTGCAAATACACCACATAGATTATTCAGATAAACTTCGTTTTGTAATTATACCATCTGAGCGCTGATGTTTGTATGAAGCCTTACTATTTGAATGGATACTCAGACTTCAAATCATCTCATCGTGTATTAGTTAAAAGACCCAAACCAAAGGCCTCGAAGGCATAAACCTTCAGATTATATTACTGTCCGCAGCCGAAGTGTTCACACTGCCTGAGTCTGGCTGCCTGGGTAACTTGCATGAACCAGGATTTTGCTATTTGAGATGAATGTCTTAGGATACTCCGCTGATCAGCTGACTCGCCTCCAAACGATAGAAACAACCGTTCGGCTCGTAAAATCAAATCTACAGATCAGTCTGAGTGATTTTCAACTACTCAAGTTATTCTGCAGTAGTATATTTCGTTAGATTTATTTCCATCTAAGAGCCTTTTACCTCTCCACTTTTAATCAACATGCATATAATCATTGAAATATATTTTCAAGGTTACCGGATAGTGACTGAATGTTTCAATGTCTTTTGTTATCGGCTGAGGTGATCTACACATATACTACTCATGACAGGCTATCGCTTACCTTAACATACAATACTAAAAGAGGTTGGATTTGTTTATGAGACGGTTCAAGGTGGTCAAATTAAGAACTTGTACCAGTTGATGAAGTGGGTTACTATTGTTCTTAGACGTATAGGGAGGTGTAGATTGTCTAGCTTCGGCATCGGGCCGAAAGGATTCAGAACCTTTGATAGCATGGCTAAAAATTGGTCACAATTACACAGATTTATTCACTTTTCTTAAGACTGAATGTTTGGACTAACATTATTTTCCAAATCCTCTCTCCTTCCTTCCATTGAATATTGAACATCATTTTGCCCGTTTGTTTGAATTTTCGCCAAAACATTTTTACTACTGATTGTAATACAGTAATAAGTTTAGTATAAAGTAATTTTTTCTCCTTTTCTCATATGATCCATTTTTTAACGCTTTTCATCGCCAGCAATGAATTATTTTCATAGCTTGTCTTCTGTACACTTCCTTGTCTAGACAAACAATCAGAACATCAAAGAAACTCTCTGGGTGTTGACCAAAGTCAGTTACCTGTAAGTGAGTACAAACAATAATAATAATAATAATAGACATCATTTAGGGAGCAATAAGAAGCTGGATAAGTGATTCGTCTTTGTGAGGAACTCCACAGCAGTATGCACTCCCTATATTATCCGGAGATCAACCTCGAATCAGACATATCTCATGGATATTATGTTGCCATTCAAACAATACGTCTAAAATCCAGTCAGCAAGATCATTATCTAATACCATCACAGAGTACTTTTACTCACACTGGACTTGGTAAACTTGGAAGGCAGCAACTTCTTACTACTACTTTAGGAATTCTGTCTTAAGACAAGTGACTCATGAGTATTAGCCATAAAACTCTACTGATTTTTACATGAATTGATTGACCTAAAGGTATTCAGCATAGATTGGAATAGGTAGTAAAAGTTATTCATTCGATTCATAGCAAATGGCTTAAAGAAAATCCTGGATTCGAGGCCCTCTCTGTGTATTAGACATATACTGGTCTCTCCAGTGATGTTAAATTTTCGCTACTTCTCTAATTCACATCAAATCGTTAGAAAAATTGCCTTTGGAACCAGTAAATCTCTGCAGTGGATTCTTGTCAAACATGAGTATGCAGAGTATACTTCTATCGTCCATTCTATCATACACTTTTTACAACCCATCAGATTTCTTCATTTCAATCCTTAAGGATCTTTCATAAAATAAAGAAACATGATTAGTTATTTAAAAAACTATGAAGGTGACCTTGGAAGTTACTCAACAGTCTCTATATAGTTGAAAAACTGAAGTATGTGAATTGCCTAACTGTTACGAATATGCTAAATAGCAATTTTTGGTGGTTTGAACAGTCCATATCCTTACTATTATTTACCCAGTGGATGAGTCCTGAACAGAACGAAATGCCCATCATGGATTCCATTGTCTGCTACAATCAAGTTACTACCTGCCATAGTAGATTAGGATATCTAATGAAACAAACCTATCATCTACCATCACCATGATCTTCCTGATTATAATGGACTGGATCATGCAGCAAACAGTTGGGAGCTAGAAAATGGGTAAACGCTAGCTGGGCCGGTGAAAAGAGCCTAGAAGATTTGCATTTCACCAATGATTTATGTCTAGTGTCTTGTCGCACATACTGGAAGATGTACAGGCGAAAGCTAACAAGCTGACAGAAGAGGCAGCGAAAACAGAACTTCAAGTGAATGTAGGAAAGATAGACGTGATGATTATACCCAACCAGCGCCACCAACAACAAGCTCCTATCACCATCAGTGGGAGAAACTTAAAGTTAGTAGACTCGTTCACCTATCTAGGCAGCATCGTTTCAAAAACAGGCAGCACAGACACAGACAAGGACGTCAAACCCACGATAGGAAAAGCAAGACAGGTGTTTATCAACCTGAAACCAGTGTGGAGATCTTCTGCACTCAGCATAAAGTGTGAACAACATCCGGATTTTTAACACCAATCCACTCAAGTCAGTGCTTCCATATGGTTCAGGAACTTGGCGCGTTACGAAAAGCATTTACAACAAACTACACACATTCATCAACACCTGTCGCCTACATCCACTCGATACTGTAGGTGGTGGGTGATCAGGTGGCCATAAAGAATAAGCAACAAGGAACTCTTGCTGGCTGACAATGAGCCAACCAAGAACCTATTGCCCAACAGATATGTAGAGAGAGAAAGTGGAGATGTGTTGGATTGGGCATACACTGAGAAGACCATTCGGGGACATCACGCACTATGCCATGCCTTCGAGTGGAACCCAGATGGAAAAGGCTAGTTGGGCGTCCCAGATGAGGCTGACACGGAGGAGATGGAGTGAGGAAGAAATGAGAGGTTGTGGGCAGTCGTGTAGCTAGTTCAAGCAGACTCGAGAGAAGAGAGTGCAATAGAGAAGTGATATTGAAGCCGTATATTCCACTGGTAGCCAATGGACAAATAATAATATATAATATCATCTTATGTGTTGAAATTGTTCCTTTCAAGGGTAAGTATTCGTTACCGGTATATACCTGAGTAGACTAAACTGACTTTTGAAGCATTAGGCTGATGCTTATGTACAGTTAGGTGGCAGAAGTCTTAAGAAAACATGTCCAGACATTTCAGAATCAGTATAATGGTATGTGATAATAACAAATTTATCCATAATACTATAACTGAAAAAATTAAGTAACTAGACAGTACTCAGATCTGTTGAATTAACCAGCCATCTAGATCAGAGTGTCCTAAGCAGCAGACAGCAGTTACGCACGTTTGAAGCGGAGCTAATTCATCAGTGGTAGTATGAACCGAAGGATTAGGCTGACACAACGAAATTTGTTGAGGTCACCTAAATCTGGCTAGCAGGCTTCCGGGAAACAATATAAATGGTGAAATCTAAAGAACAGCCTGAGTACTCAAGAGCCAATTAAGTGCTTCACTAGTAGTGATAGTAGTAGTAGTGTGAGTGGTAGTAGTAGAGAGTGAGTGAGTATTAGTATTAGTAGTAGTGTGAGTAGTAGTAGTAGTGTGGGTAGTAGTAGTATTAGTAGTGTGAGTAGTAATAGTGGGAGTTGTGTGAGTAGTGTGAGTAGTAGTACTAGTAGTACTATTAGTATTCATAGACACTTTGGTGTCAAGCATAAGTCTTTGTGATGACGGTTGATGGCTGGTTACCAAGGGAAATCCTATTGATATCACAGTTATATGTGGCAGTTATCAACATTGATCATGGAATTTTTCAGTCATTTGTAAATAGATCACCCAATGAAGAAACTTCTTTTTCTGTTGTCGAATACGTAATTCTTTGTTTAAGATATTATCTGAGGTAGCTTTGGTTTTCAGAAGTGTCTTTACTTATGAAGAGTTAAACGGAAGTTGAACTGTTGTATTCCAATCAACTGCTTGATATACACTTGTTGAAAACATGTCAAGTTTCTCTTCCACCTCTTTTACCTCCGTTAGGACCTCATGGGGTCATGCAGTTAAAGAACTTGCCAATTGCTTCAAATGATAATCATGTTATCTTACTTATTTGACAGATATTGATAAATAAATTTTAATCCAGTGACTGAATGGTAAAGTGCTGGCACCGAAATTTGGATATTCTTGTTTCTTTCCCCGGTGGGGTTATGGGTGCGCACTGATAAGTTCAATAAAAATAGGAAAAAAAAAAGTTGTCTCAGTCCTCCTAAGTGTTCACTGGTTCTCTAATCAATGTTACTGCATGACGTACGTTACCGTAAAATCAATAAATCCCCAAGTATCTTGAAATTAAATGAGTTTTTCAGTCAAAGAAAACTCAAAAACTTGAATTACCATACAATGAATGATTTTCCTCTACATTATGAGGTTTATTTGCATAGAGATCAGTAGGCCTGCGTTTTCATCTGATATGCTTTTCAATCACAAACGAAATCATTCCTATTCAATGGTTCAACATTATTCTCTGTATAAGTAGTATTCATCATAGACATTAAATCAGTTGGGGAACCAATGAAAATCATGGTGAACTGGACAGGTTTTTCGTCCTAGTATTCATAGTATTAATTAGCTACTTGTTTCCAGATGGATATTATTATATATATATATATATATATATATATATATATATATATATATATATATATATATATTATATTATATTATTATTATGGATATCATGAAGCTCTAATGACAAACCGTGACCTGTAGGGTCAACCAGTCAGAAGTGAAGTGGATGCTAACTGAAGACCTTGGGTGATAAGTCACGCTATATCATCGTGAATTGACAAAAGTTGGGAATTGTGAACCACTGGAAACTGACTCACTTGCTGAATGGCTAACGTGTTCGCCTTGGAACCTTAAGGTAGATAGGTGACAGGGATTTCTTCTTTTAGCTTTCCACCGCTGATGGTGATTGACGCTTCTTGTTGTTGGTGGTGGTCTTCCCTACTTCCACCTGAAGGAAGTGTCATCTTTGCTGCCTCACCTCTTCTGCCAACTTGTTAGGTTTCGCAAGTAGATCTCCGTGGAATCTGTAGGTCCTAGGTTCAATTCATACCCAGGCCATGGGTGCATACTGCTCAGCAGTCCCATACTAGGACGAAATAGCTGTCTAATGCTCCCAGATTTTCAATAATTCCCAAACTGATATCAGCCTATGATGAATACTACTTCTAAATTGATTCCTTATAGACTAAAACATCAAGACAAGTATCACAAAAGAAGAAATTACATTCAATTGACGAAAATATTGTCAATGAGTATCAAGATGGTGATTTCATCACTTCTGGAATTGAAGGAAAGAAAAAATTTGATTATGATTTATTAAAATGTAACAGAGAGGTAAATTTTTCCCTTCGTTATACAAAATTTCAATTGATACGACTTATTTATTCATGCTTTGCAATATTAGCTCATTTAAACAACGAATCAGATAACTTTCTAACTTCTTAGTCAAGATTTAGGAGTGGTGGAATGTTGTGTATATGTGTGTGTGTGTGTGAGAGAGAGAGAGAGAGGGATAGAGAGAGAAGAACTGAATAAAAAGACAATTGAAATTCAAAATGGGCTTGTAGATTAGAGGGCAGAGTTCAGGCTTAAAAATATTTATTGCATGGCTTCCACAGTTTAAGAAGTTCTTGGCGTAAAACTTTCATGGGATGTACACAAACTCTATAGATGACATTGATGTTGTTTTCTGCGGTCATCTTATTATTATTATTATTATTCCCTTGGGTTCCTAGTAGAACATAGAAATTCAGTAGCACGTCTCCATTGCACTCTCTTCTATCCAGTCTACTTAACCTGGCGCCACTACTGCCCATAACCTTTCATCTCTTCCTCATATAATCTCCTTCATGTCACCCTCACCTCAGACGCCTAACTCGTCGATTCCCTTTAAGTTGGATTCCACTCAAGGGCATGGCCTTCCCTGGAGCGTGATATCCCCAATCGGTCTTCTCAGTGCATGCCCAATCCAACACATCTCCACTTTCTCTCTCTACATATCTGTTGGGCAATAGGTTCTTGGTTGGCTCATTGTCAGCCAGCAAGAGTTCCTTGTTGCTTATTCTTTATGGCCACCTGATCACCCACCACCTTCAGTATCGAGTGGATGTAGGCGACAGGTGTTGATGAATGTGTGTAGTTTGTTGTAAATGCTTTTCGTAACGCGCCAAGTTTCTGAACCATATGGAAGCACTGACTTGAGTGGATTGGTGTTGAAAATCCGGATGTTGTTCACACTTTATGCAGAGTGAAGCAGATCTCTACACTGATTTCAGATAGGTGAAAAGCCTGCGTTTATCTTGGATGGTCATAGTCGATTAAATCCTCTAAGATATAGCTGTGAAGTATCCTCTGCTGTCTATTATGTAACCAGACTGGTACAAGTTTGGAAATACGTTTGAAAAGGGAACGGAGATTACGATCAATATACCTTACTTCATAGGGGACAAATTGTCCTTTACACATCATAGAAGCACTGGATGAGTGGAAAAAGTTAATCTGAGTTTAGCAGCATAGAAAATCTCATTAATATAGGTGTAAAACTTGGGCACCAAAAATATGGTGGCGATATATGCATAACACATTCACTACTGTGTTGAAATCAGAACATATCGACAATTTCCTCATGCATATAAACTCAGCGGTAGGCTCAATCCGATTCACTTACGACGTAGAAAATGAACAAAGAGAATTATCTGTACTGGATTACAGAATACAAGGATGAACAGATGGTGGCTTCGATATTACTGTCTACAGAAAACCAACACATTCCTACAGGCAGAATTAGTCAGATGTCTAAATGATAGAGCTAGAAAACTGACTAGTCAGAGCAAGAACCTAAACAAGGAATTGAAACACGTAAAAGAAACGCTGATAGTTAATTATCATCCTCTACAGTATATCAAGAAATTTGTACGGACACACAAAAAACGAAAAAATAAGAATAACAGGATTGCGAATGATGATGACAAGACGAGTAGAAAGGAGTTCACAACCTCCATTGTATTACCCTATAAGGAGGGCACCTCAGAAACTTCACGTAGAATCCTCACACAGAGCTGGAATTAGGGTGGCATTTAAACCTACAAAGTCACTCAGAGATAGACGTTGTTGGGTGGCTTAAGGATCCGATAGAACCAATTCAGCAAAATAATCTAATCTATCAAATTTCGTGTAATGACTGTGAGGTCAAGTACATAGGTGAAACTAGCCTGGCATTTCAGGGGTCAGTTCGAATAGCCGAACATAGGAAGTACAATATAATTAGGTGGAGATTGTGAGGGATTGATGACTGAATCTTTGTTCATTGAATCAACATCCAACCAACACATATGTAATCGGAATGGTGCAACACCCATCTATACCAGGGAAATGGACAAGTTTTACTGGTGATGTAAGCAACTCATATGAGGTGTTACAAAACTATAAAAATCGATTGTCTCGAAAGTAGTGTGATTACATCTGGAATGATTATGAGCGATGATAATTTCTGCTCGAACTGTGATCATCAAGTAAATAATACTAGATCACTATGTGTTCTGTATATTAAATAAAAAAATCTTATATGAAATGGAGAGACTTCCCAAGAGCTATAAAATTGGAATGACTGTTTACTTTTAGTTTCAAACTTTTAGCAGTGAAACACTCAAGATACTCGTTTTAAATTAGAACATTTTTTGAAAAAAGACAGAAACAGAAAACAACTTCGGTATCTTAGCGTTATTGCTTGTACTACACCGTCGTTGATTGGACCGAATTGATATGTCTCTGTTGGTATATGGGCTCCTATGCAGATGTCTGGATACTGCCTGTGTTTTAATTATGATGCGCATTTTATTCTATTTGGGACTCACTAGTCAGCTGGACGTTCCTGCCTCCCAGTGAGTAATGTTGTTTCCACCGGAATTCGGACTCGGGGGCGATCGCTTCAAATCATGGCTTAGTGGTGTAGTGGATATCGCTGTCGCGTTTAAAGCGATCGCTCCCTGGGAGGTAGGTACATTCAGCTAACGAGTCCCAAATAAGACAAAATACGCATCCTGGTTTCCACTGCTATTTACTGCCCGTCATTACTAAACTTCGGTATCATTTATGTACTTCGTGCAAATTCATGAAAGACGAGATGCTAAAACCTGATTGGTCACCTCTGTAGTTACTACGGGAACATTTGGAGTAACCTCAGTTTCAGAAAGCAATCACTGATAGCTAATTAGAACTTGAAATCTGCCCATGAGACAACCTTATTTATCTGTAATTATCAGTTCTAGACAAATCACCGACACTATAGTGAGAAGTAGGTCCATTTCAGGCAATCTTTTAATTCTGGAATTAACCTAAGCCTAGTGAGTTTTATGCTTGATCAATGGAACTTCAGTCAACCCTAGTAAGTTTCAAAACCATCTGAAGTCTTCAATCATCAAAAGTTCATGCTTGCTGCTTATATGTATTAAACTTATTTTTAGCTTACGAATTTATACTACTTGAAACAACTAAAAGTAGTTTATAAAATAGTATAAAAAGAATTAACCAAAAGAAATTAACGGATTTTGTAACAAATTCTCTTTATATAGGAAGAGAAAACGTTGAAAAAACGATGCCCAGTTCCAGTGTCAGGCAAGTAATCCGTTTTCCGTATACCAATCATTTTAAAAGCAGAAAGACAAGTGAATGTAGAACAGCGTGAAGAATTGAATCAGTTCAATCTACTACCGGATAATTATTATTATTTTATATTATTTCTCCCTTTGGTTCTTAGTGGAACATAGGGCTTCATTTGCACGTCGCCATTTCGCTCTCTTCTCTCCACTTTTTTCAACCTCACTTCACGACTGCCTAGAAGCTCTCATTTCTTCTTCACACCGTCTCCTCTATGTCACCCTCCGAAGCCCAGCTTGTCGTTTCCCCGTTAGATTTTACGCGACGAAATGGCCTGATGCGTATATCCCCAAACTGTCTTCCCAGTGTAAATCTAAACCAATCCATCTCCATTTTCTCCCTCTGCATATTTGGTGGGCGATCGATTCTTCGTCGGTTGGTTCCTTATCTGCCAGCCATAGTTCTTCCTTGCTTATTCTTTCCCGTCATCTGATCACCATCTTCAGTATCGAGTGAGGGTAGGCAACAGTTATTTTTGATGTATGTCTGTAGTTTGCTGGAAGTGTTTTTGTCACGTGTCAAGTCTCTCAATCATCACATAGAAACACCGAATCACTTGACTGATTCTGAAACAGAGAATAAAATCTGTTATTAATAGAGCATACAATGCAGCTCAGCTTATCATTGATGAGACAACAAAACACCTACTTCATCGCAAGCTTCAATCTCGCCTTAATGATAATGTCATATCCCACTGAGCTTATTAACTTACCTTTATATGTATGGGCAGATATACATAGGGAGGAGTACTGGTGCTATTCAGACTGGGCTAGGTGAACATATTCCTAAGTAGCTTGAATAGCATTTTCAGACACAAAATTTGTTAAGTGACAGATTGACAGACATCCATCTTCAGTCATAGAGAAACAATAATCATCTAAATGAATCATAAGGTGAATAGGTTAATCGGTATTCAAGATATAGTATAGGGATAGTCAGTGGTACATACTGAGATTTTTTCAAAGTGTTAACAATTCAAAAACTGAAATCGCCGTTGTTTCACTCAATTTCCTTTGGTTATCCTTGATAATTTGTTTATATCACCAAGACAGGTGTCACAATCTTTCCTTTAATTTTCATATATAAGAAACGACTTGAAACAAATGAATGTTTCAAGTTGTTATTCATCGTAGACTGACATCAGCTGTAGAAGAACAAAGGAAACCGCGGAGCACTGGACAGCTGTTTCGTTCGACTAGTATGGGACTCCTCAGCAGTGCGCGCCCATGACCCCACCAGGGATCGAACCTTCAAAATTCAATTGAACTGGTGCTCATTGGTGACTAGCTTGAGAGGTATTTCCGAAGTTCCAATGAGAAGTCGTGACTGGTAGAGTTAAAGCCTGATGGTCGTGAGGACAGTTACTCATCGATGATATTCGGTGGCGGTTGCGCTATATTGTGAGCTAACAGAAGTTGGAAATGTGAACCATTGGATTCTGACCCAATGGCTGGCTCAATGGTAACGCACTGACCGCGGAACCTGAAGGTCGCGGGTTCCATCCCCGGTGGTGCGGGTCGTGGGTGCGCACTGCTTAGGAGTCCCATACTAGTCGAACGAAACAGTTGTACAGTGCTCCCAGGTTTCCTTTCTTCCTCTACAACTGATGTCAGTCTACGATGAATAACAAGTTGAAATATTTCCAAATCTCACAACTCCCTCAAAATACAAATGAATGTATCTGTCATAGGGGTGTGTATGTGTATGATTAGATTGTTCTAAATGTATATTGTGCAATCACATCAAACATACTTGTTATTCAGATAGACTTCGGCTTCTATTAACATTTTAGACATTTTTCATTAGACGCTGAACATAATTTACAAATCATTTACAAACACGTAATGACTGATAATTATTATTCAGTATTATTAACTACTAACTACTTATTTCTTTCAGTAGTATAATTCATGTAAATTTAATATTATTTATTTTTCCTTTGGGTTCCTAGTCGAACATAGAGATTCAGTAGCACGCCTCCATTGCACTCTGTTCTCTCCAGTCTACTTAAGCTGGTGCCACGACTACCCAGAAGCTTTCATTTCTTCCTCACATCATCTCCAGCAAATCATCCACTCATCAAAAGCTCAACCCATCGTTTCCCCTTTGGATTCCACACGACAGCCTGGCCTGGCTAGTGATGTCCCCAATTGGCCTTCTCACTGTATGCCCAATCCAACCCATCTCCACCTTCTCCCTCTGCATATTTGTTGCGTGATAGGTTCTTGGTTGGTTCGTTCTCAGAGTTCCTTTTCATCGGTCAAACAGCCAGTGTATGCCCATCTTGTCACAGCTTCTCACAGTCTGCTGCATGGTCAGTCCAGCCAAGTTGACCACAATCAGGAAAATCATCGGTGATGTTAGGTAATCTTGTCTTACTCCTGTCTTCACTTCACTTCACTTCACTTCAGAGGCATCACTGAGCTTTCCATTGGGGATCACTTGGAATGTGGCGTCTTCATATAGCTCAGCTGTTGAATGAGGTTGATAGAAGTTTATGGTATTCCGTAGTGTTAAAGCAACTGCCAAATTACTTCTCGGTTGACGCTGTCGAAATCCGTTTCAAAATGGATGAACTTGAGGTAAAAATCCAGTTGACCGCCATTCTATTCTCTGTTCTAGGATGATGTGTAGTGTAGTGTAGTGTTGCAGTTTGATCCGCACATGATTTGTTCTTTCTGAAGCCAGCCAGCCAGCCAGCCAGCCTCTTCCGGTCGTACTTGTGAATCCAGCACATCCTTTAGTCTCTCCAGGATGATGCAGCATAATATTTTGCTTCGGATGAAAAGCAACTGATTTCTTACCAGTTCTTGGAAAGGCTTAGGTGTCCCCTTTTTGGGAGTTTGACAAGGTAGCCCTTCTCCCAATGAATGGGCAGTTACCTTCCCTCCCTTCCTTGCAAACGTTCTGCAGTTGTGGTGTGAGCATGTCCACTGTTGTCTCTGTGTCTGTTTTCAGTGCTTCTGGTGGAATTCCATCTGGTCTTGCTTCTTTCCCGAATTTCAGCAGTTTTATGGTATTCAAGACTTCTGCTTTTGTCGAAAAGCCTATGTTCACTTGTACTTCTACCGTTGCTCGTCGTATTTCTGGATGAGTTGCAGGTGGTGATGATGGTGGTTGATTCAAGAGTTTTTTTGAAGTGGTATTTCGTGTATGTTTTTTTTTATTGTGGATGTTTGTTTGGATTGATTACTTTCAAGTTGGTATTTATTATTGACTAAAATCATATGGTTAACTAATGAGATAGTAATGGTACTAGGCAGTTGTTTCGTCCCAGGATGAGACTTCTCAGCAACACACAGCCATATATACCTTTCAGGATTCAGTAATTCTTTTATAGAATAAATAAATAAGTAAGCACTGTGAAATAATGTTTATATTCTCTGTTTTTTTTTTATAGAAAAGTCTCCATTTTGTCTGAATACAACAAATAAGTGTTGTCTATTTGGAACACGTAATCCATTTATACCTTGGTTTTCGTTAGATACTCTAGTGATGGAATATGGTAGAAGAAGCCAGAATGGACCCTTACTGTAAGTTAATTCAACGTTGATATATCCTTTACCTTGCTACTTATGATTGTAGTGATATCTAGTTTGAAGAGACAGACAGAAGTACATAACTGAGTGGTCAGCGCTGAAGGTGACTTGCTTCATGTTGTAAAGTCTTAAGCATCATCAAATTCTATGGGTCATTTTATTGTAATTAAGTGGATAGAGTCGATCTTTAGGAAGCTCAGTTGGCGCTCCTCAATCACCAATACTTACTTACTACCTTAATGGAACCTATATCACAATTAAGACGTTATTATTATTATTATTTGTCATATAGGTTCCTAGTGGAACAAAGGGCTTCAGTAACTAGTCGCCATTTCACTCTTTTCTTTGCAATCCGGTACCACCTAGCTCTACGATTGCCCATAAGCTTTCATTTCTTCCTCATACAATCTCCTCTATGTCACCTATGGACGCCCAACTTGTTATTTCCCATTTCGGTTTCACTTGAGGTCTCCTCAGTGTAAGACGTTACCACTTAGCTATTCACAACCCGATTGACCTGGATGAGGTACATTAATTGGTCATCATATTCCTGATGTTCACCTACATCCCACTGCGGATAGAATAGGATAGGAACCTAGAAGTAATGAAAAACTGTTCTGTCCCAGTCTGGAAATCATCAACAACGCAGAACCACTACATCACTATGAACTGACGCCTTGTTAGATTCAGCGCATTCACTGTATTTTCTTGTCTATTTATTATAATAGTATCAATGAATTACAGTTTTTTTGTCTCTCCTTGCCTAACCGTGAAAATCAGGCCGAAGAACTGTAAACTGTACATCTCTATCCAAGTCATACACTCTTTATAGACAGATATATCCATCACACAAAGTGGACTATATGCCGGAGTGCCTTTCTCGAACTAATACCACTCATTGAGAGGCGAAGACATTCAACTGATGAGTCCTTATTAGATCGAAACATATATCCTGAATTTCACACTTTCAGTTCACTAGAGAGCATTTTCTGCCTAGGCATCATCCATCAGAACATGAATAAAGAACAAATAGTTCAGGGAAGAGTCTCTCTTCGATGATTGCATTCCTTAAGCTGTATGATCAAAATTTGTCTTGGGATTTAATAGCTATAAGTGTAGTTTGTCAGATATGACTATAAAATGTTTTAATACCGAGTAATGATTGAAGTTGAAGTGAACATTTACACAGTATTGGATTTAAACCACTGATCATGGCATTTGTAGCCCGACCCAGTAACAACTAAGCTACGGATCTTCAGTCTCCAAGGTTTTCACCTGATTACCATGTGTACTCACGACCTGTTACTACCAGTTGATTATACCTACATTGGGCAACAAGTAAAAAAATTCTCACCTCAAACCAAATCTAATTTAATTAGTCAGTATGGGAGCATCATATATCCCAACCCACTATTTCAATCACTGCCAAGTTACACGTAGCTTGCTGAGGTTTAGTGTCTCAAAGGAAGTTTTTCTTGAAATCCATAAACAGATTTGTGCTCTATATTCATAACTGTTTGAATCACGAGAACATTTAACAATCAGTTTGTATACTTGACTATCAGTACTAATTCACAACAACATCCAACCAATGAATCAAGAGTTCAAACCCCCAAATCACTTGCAAAGCTTTAAGCAACCATATATTAGACATGTTTCATAGTCTAGTGCACCAACTTACAACCAACCGATGTATTCTGCTAAAGTACACTGGATTTCTGGAATAGAACTAGCTCATTCAATCCAACGATAAAACGATAAAGCAACCGGTCCATTTGACTAATTTAAACCGCGTAGTGAGAAGATGAAGGTTGTCTGAAACATGTGTGATGTATTAGAACTATACACATATAGAAGAATCAATTTACATGTATGTGTGGACACATAAACATAGGAAGGAGTAATCGTGATATGCAGTTAAGGAAGGTTGAACATGTATCATTTAAGTGGTTGATATCAAAACATATGATCTGAAGAAATCCGATGGTACAGGTGAGAAAACATCCATCTTCCGCTGTCGCTAAACATATAATAGAAACTAAGCATAGCATGGTAGGCATGAAGATAGCCTTTAAAGTACTACATAAAAGTGATCAGAGGTGAGTGCTTAAATTTCCCTGAACCTCTTGTCATCGGTAAATTCAAACCGTCACATTGCAAATATGATCGATACAATCCGGTCTGCACTCAAGACTAGACAACATGAAATTGGTTGCACTCCCATGGCCAATCAATACATGCAAGCCAGTCCTACAGGAGGTCAATAGCTGCCCGAATAGCTCAGTGATAATGTTGCTGAGTGACGCGAATTCGAACCTCAGACGGAACATTAGTTCCGTTGAGGTTGCAGATACGCCTTGCTGACGAGTGACAAAAAGCATGAAACCTAGGTCCAGGGCTTCCTGTCGATTGTCTTCAATCAACTAACGGATAGCTCTAATACATCACATATTTCTGATAACAACTTGTGAGAAATATCACTTTGTAGTTGTCGGTCCGTCGGTTGGTTCTGTTATTGTTCTATGCTATAAAATGTGACATTCACATAAGTGATTATACACTGTTTTATAAAAATGTTGATTTTCACTTCTGATTTGTTTTTAATAATTGGTTTCTAGTTGTTGTTTAAAGGAAGCGATCAAATTCATTACTAAGATTTTATGTTCTACAGTCATAAAATCGAGTGGAATGAACAGCTGATCAGTGTAGTTGAATATCTTATCAACAAATATCACATGAGCATTTATACCTAAGCGAAGATTTCATACACCAATCAGTACATTAATCATCATCATCATCATTATCAACATAGGACCAGGCATTACTGCGTAGCGGTCCGAGTTGCCACACCTCATATCAGCACATCAAGTAAAAAGGTAGTGAGGTGAAGGATGAAGATAAGTGAATGCAGTCAAAAGAAATATAAAGTACGAGAAGAAAGGAAAGAGGGGTGACAAGATGGTGAGATTCGGTATAGCGTTGTTAAGATGAGGATAATGTGTGTATACATCTGCGCCACTGACTTCGGTTCTGAGCCATATCACCTAGGGTCTCCAACCACTGGTTACTCTTGTCCCGTGGACCCCAACCACCTAGTCTGCATCGTCCTACATGGCTTAAACCAACAGTCACAGACTTCATACATTGGTGCCATGTTTTAGTCTGGCCACCTCGGGCCTTTTTCCAGCCTGGACCCACCTCAGCCAACATTGTGTGACGAGGCAATCGGTGACTAGGCATACGTAGTATGTGTCCCAACCATCTCAGTCGATGAAGGTTCACAACCTCGTCGACTGACTTACCTCTTCTCCCTAAAACTCTACACCTAACTTCTGCATTACTCACATGGGAACAAGCGTTCCACCAGCATAGCTCGTTGGGTCATTGTGATATGCAAGCCCGACCACCACGTCAAGGTAGCAGCTATCGGTCGGTACATTAAAGACAATGTAAGTGTCAGAATATTCCTTCACTTCAGACTTCAAACATTATTCTACTTTTCTGAATTACAAAATGCTTAAAAGGAAGATAATTAGATTTTTGTTCAAAGTGTTCAAAAGATCTTGTTAGTTGTATGCTGAAAATCAGTAAGATGTTGTGCACCCCTAGGTAAAAAGCATTTTGGTACTCATCATCAAGGTATATCTGCAACTGTGATCGAAAAAATAGTCGATAAAATTCGATTAGAACTAAGGACGAAAGAAATGAAAATTGGTTACCCTTTAGGAACCAGTCGACAAAGATTCTTTATTTTTTCGGTGCTATCGCCTTATCGAACTGTGTTGTTTAAATTAATGTTCCTCTCAATTTCTGTATTAAAGGTTGAAGAGAAAAAGATGTAGAAGTGTGGACATGGACCGTAGACACATATATCAAGTAAGTAGGTTTACTCTGTTGTCTTATTTCTCACAAGATCTTCACTGCTAAGCGAATTATACACTGAAGAAGTTGTACTGTGTTATATCAGGGTATTCTCTTTATCTATAGTGGTGTCAAGAGACTATAAATTGCTCTGGATTAAAAATTACAACCGGAACAGAGTGGTTGACTGGCTTCAAGAAGAACAAATCATGTGCGGAGCAAATTGCAACGCTACACTACGCATTATCATAGAACACAGTATAGAATGGCAGTCAACTCTCTACCTCAACTTCATCGACTTTGAATAGGCCTTCTATAGCGTTGACCGAGAAGTAATTTGACAGATGTTTTAAGACAACGGCTTCATTGACACAAACCTTTATGATTCTGCATACCAAGTGATTGATAACAGAAAACTCAGTGATGCCTTTGAAGTGAAGTGAAGACAGGAGTAAGACAAAGTTACCGCATACTATCACCGATGGTCTTCCTGATTGTGGTCGACTGGATCGTGTACCAAACCGTGAGGAGAGAGAAGATGGGTATACACTCGCTGTTTGATTGATAAAGACAGCCTAGAAGATTTCGATTTCGCCAACGATGATGATTTATGTCTAATGTCCTGTTGCACAAACTCGAAGGTCTACAGGCAAAACCTAACAAGTTGGCAAAAAAACGGTGGCAAAGGCGGCAATTCCTTCAGGTAAATGTAAAGAAGCCATAGGTGATGAAGATACCCAACCAACAACAAGCACCACCAATGGGAGAAACCGAAAGGAAGTAGTCTCTTTCACCTACCTACCTAGACAGCAGCGTCTCAATTACAGGTGGCACAGGCACATATGAGAGGAGAGACAGTAAGACAGGCATTCATTGTGGAGATCTACTGCACTCAACATAAAACGTGAACGAGATCCAGATTTCAACACTAATTCAGTCAAGTAATTCAGTGCTTCTATGTGATAGTTGAGAGAGTTGGCGCGTTACGCAAAGCATTTCCAACAAACTGCACATATATATCATCAACATCTGCCGCCTACTGTCATTCGATACTGAAGATGGTGATCAGATGATCAGGAAGAATAAGCACGCAGGAACTGCGGCTGGCTGGCTGGCAAGCAATGAACCAGCCGACCAAGAATCTATTGCCCAACAAATATGCAGAGGGAGAAAGTGGAGATGGATTGAGCATACACTGAGAAGGCCGATTGAGGACATCAAGTACGAGGCCAGGCCATCGAGCGGAATCCAATTGGGAAACGACGAGTTGGGCGTCTGAGAGTGGCATGGAGGAGATGGTGTGAGGAAGAAATGAAAGCTTGTGAGCAGTCGTGGAGCCAGATGGAGCCAGATTGGAGAGAAGAGAGCGAAATGGCGACGTGCTACTGAATCCCTATGTTCCACCAGGAACCACAGGGACAAAAAATGTGGTAGCAAATTAATTTCATGCATACCTTAGTGATGAAGTCCTTCAGTGTATCCATTCTCCAGTTTGTCTATAGAGACGTCTACTAGGAATATCCTGAATGTTGAACCCAATGCAATTCCATCCAACTGTCTACAAAGTGTATATTCATTGTACAGATACCATAAGTTCTGCATATCTAAGACTGAATGAAGTAAATGTTCGGGTCTGTGAACATAAATTCGTGATATACATATACCCCTTTAGCTGCAGTTAGTTAGATAACATATTGGAAGTCATACCCTTCTGTTTTGGTTCCCCAAAACGGCGTCAGATACATTTTCTGGATTGTATTCCAATCTACAGAGTAACAAAGCCTCTGCAATTTATTATTATCAAGAAAGTATCCATTCTGTCTAGTAATACTATATTGGCATCCGTATTTCAGCTACTAGTGGTCAGGAATTTATTATATGTTGATAGCTAAAACTCGTTATCAGGTATAGGAGTTTCTAAATCACAACAACGGTGATGAAATTGAGATATTGGGAAATGGATCCTTTGAAGTTGGACAGTTCCCTGGAACAACAAATAAGGATTATCGCGAAACTTAGCCAATCCAAAATTTCTGCTTCTTAATCATTTCCTCCAGTTGACGCCATCTACAATAGCATCACTGAATTCCACTATAATCCGCAGTCAAGTTCAGGTGTTACGAATACTATTTCGCAGTGGATTTTACTGGCCAAGATGATTCCTAGAAGGTATTTCTCTTACTTCAAAGCTTCGTCCACCTCAGTTCGACCAATACCGTATAACCCACGACTAGACAACCCGGAGTGTGACATGAGTTTAGCCCAGTTCGTCTGTCAGGGTGGTTCTGAACTATATACACTTCGCCAGACATCTTATTCCTCTACTTCACTCTCTGGCCTTATCTTGCCTGTTCATGGGACCAGTAACTCACACCATGCAAATCAACCTTCAAAAAAGACATCCTCATTGCCTTTCTGGCATTTTGGTGCTTTGTATTGCTCCAAATTGTGTCAACCTAAACATCATCGATAGCGGGACTGCAAAGCTGGGGACCATAAGGACGGTTGTTGCCGTCAATGTACACAACCACGCGTACAAAGGCCGTCCTCCAGATATCGTCGCAGATCCGATTCTGGAGTGGATGATCAGTTTCTTAGCTTCCTAACTGATTTTCATGCTCATATACCCTGTTGCCGAATAAATACCAATAAGACTACCGAGCTCCTAGTAAACAAGGTGAAACTCCGTCTGCATCGATCAGAAAGATGCAAGAAAGCGATAGTACTGCTCAGTTTTTCTCTCTTTCCAATATGGAAGTGATAAAGCGATGTAGAGAAAAGAGTAATCTGGAAATAGACTAATCAGAATGTATTTTATGTCATCATGTCTACAATTGAACAGACAGATGGTGGATCACCCAATCAATAGTCTTTCAACGCTAATATACGTTTCTACACGTCCGTACAGACATCTCAGTTCCCGAATTATAACATACATATCAGCTCTACACTAATATCTTTACAAACATGGTCAGTTTATTGTTTAATGAAGTAGTAAGATTAGATGCTTGAGAAAACAAGTCACCTTCAGGTTACTGACGAGTCCCAACAACCCTATAACCCAAACGAGATAGAGCTTCCTGTTAAACTGCCTTCAACTATTTGGAAAGTTTTCAACATTTAAGATGATGCAGAATACTTACAGCTGATGAGGAGCTGTTCACGAAGCTTTCATTAACATTCTAGGCGTAGAAAGTAGTGAGTTAGGAGATTTTCTCCACAAGCGGCTTATTAGATTGTCCTGGTGACCTTGTGTCCGATTGGTTGGTTTTGTCAAGGTTTTGTCACTGTCCGCTAACTAACCTGAATACTTCATATTTCCTCTACAAGTCCAGGATTATCACATTTCCACAGTTATCCATAGGGCATTGATATGAGCAAAGATGTATGTTGATGCTTCACTGTAGATGGATACGAAGAGGCTGGGTGACCATTCTGTTCAATGTAGTGTTTTCCACAATTTCTTCAGTTTATTTTATCTTTCTTTGCTAACAAACAGTAAAGAGATTCCAAGAAGTTTCAATAATCTAGTCATGATCTTAAAGATGTTCTTTATGTAGAACAAAATAACCAGTTTACTGCTTTCCGAGAATGACTTCTTTGTTGAGGATGAATTAATGTAGGTCAATATACAGATTCTTTCGGTGTCTAACGACGGTGCTATAACGACGACCTTCAGCCCTTACCAATCCATTCCAGCTCCTACCTACCACTACAGTAAAGTATATTCAATAGAAACCGAGGTATTTATATCAATTATGTAACTGGAGTGTTAAAGAGGAACATTGTATAGTCAAATGACATCTTCTACGTGTATATTTTTTTTCAAAATTCATCCATTCTCATTTTCATATTTAATTTCTTTACAGTATCCATTGAAGTATGAAAAAAATCTTCACAGTAGCTTACTGAATTTAAAATATCAAATGAATGATGAACTGATTTTAATTCAAAACTATACAAGTTTATTTGATGAGGTCAGTTCATTTGAGTAACTCACTATTAGTGGGTTAGATTATTTCGTTTAAAATTTTAAGCTACTTATGAGTAGATGAATTTTTATTTCAAAAAATATCAAAATACTTCAGATGTGTGCTGAGTTAAATGTGGCGTTAAAAAATGGTTTTGAAAAATCTCAGTCAAGCTTATTCAGCTATCTAGAAGAACCACTTTTTTTAATTTCGTCCTTCAAACAGGTATGTAGTCAAAGAAAGCAAGTATTAGTAATAGAAGATAAGAATACTATCATGTATGAAGAGAAAAACTGTGGAAAATGTGAGTTTTTCCTAATACATTCATATGGTTAATATGTGTATTGGGGGCTAGCCATATGATACTTAGCAGTTTTGGTTGTATTATGTTCTCTGAGGAGCTGGGTTATTTAATCGTGGAACTTTCATCGTCTTGCTAAACGACATCATCATCAGCATCAACTTCAGTATGAAGTGAGCTAGATGTCAATATCTCTCCGTAAGTGATTTAGTGGCTTGCTCTGACGATGTGGTCTGTGATTGGTTGTTTACTTCAATTGTTGTGTTATTGACTGTATAGAATTTCTGTTGGCTGTTCCTCTGCTTCACCTCTGACCTTTGTGTCGTTTATCATTTTTCTTACCAGTTGATAGGTCGGGTTTATGTCTATACATCTGTTGACTGCTGACTGACTAACCTGAATGCCAATCTTCTAGGAATTCGCTAATGATATTTTTTGTGTTTACTCCGTCCAAAATTTCAACAATGTAGAAATGTGGCAAATACCTATTAGGTTATCCGGGGAAACTGCTGATGAGTTGGCAGGGTGCCAAACCAGTGAAATGGCCTTCTGATGTTTAGATCACACTGATCTAATTGCATAGCGAAATAATGTCTACAGATCAGCCTAACTAATTTCAAACTATTCAACTTCTTTAGTAGTTGTACATTTCGCTTGTTCATAGCACTTTTGTGTCAGAGATTACACCTTATGGTCTCGGCTGACTGGGGCTGGTCACCAGTGGAAACCTATTGACTGACAGTTGAAAAACTACTCAGCTGTAATGTAAACGTGTAGCGTAAGGTTTGTAAATCATTTGAAAGTTGATCTTCTAGTGCGCATACACGAATTTAAAAAAACAAACAGTGAATCAACTTTACCACCGAGATTCGGATTTTTTCCGCAGTCAACAACTAATTCAAGGGTGTGTAAAGGATAAACTACCAGTTTGGTCCGCTTCCATGTATGTTTACCTATTCACCTGATCTTGTGGAGCAGGTTACAAAGGCGTATTTCCCTTCTCAAGACAGCAGAATCTCCAGCAATCTTCATGTTCGAAAAAGATACATCCCGTCTCTTATTTTACCTTGAGCGTAATCAGCCTAAAATACTGTATTTACTTCTTTGCTTACTGCTTGTTTGTTTGTTGTAATCTTATGAGGAATTTTCGGTGGCCTTGAGTCGACCTTGAAACTGTCATCATTTTGTGACCTTATCCATCATTTTTGATGGCCTTGTTATGATGCAATAGCTATTGTAGGACGAATTCTGTTGTGAGATTTCGTTAGTACAGCTCTTGAAAAGGAGTAGTCAAAGCAGAAAATTTTCTTCCCCGAACTGTCTTGGATAGAAGTTTGGTGTAAACTTCTTCACAGAAATAATCAAAGATATGTAGATGAATTCAAAAATGTGTACGTAATCACCTTATCTGTGGTAGGATTCCTATCAGCGGCATCCAACTGGTTGCTCTATGCACCAAGAGAACAACGAGACGATTCAACTGCAGACCAGATCTTAATTTTGCTTTAATTGCCAAGGATTTTATAAAACTGTCATGTGAATTCATGATGCGTTACTATTGCTCAATCGTACGTATACTGGCTGCTCATCCACGACTTCTTGTCCTAGTACAAATCGAATTGAATTAGAGGGGAAAGGCATCTTACTGATCATCAGTTTGGCTATCTGAGATATCCTTGGTTTGGTAAACTTATATTATCGATACAAGGTGAAGTTGGAATCTGGGTCACGGAAGATTCAAACAAGAAGTATGTTTCTGGCAATGTGATGTATGTATGTGTGTTGTTATCCATATTCCTCTTAAGGTCAAAATTGACATCATAATCATTCTGCAGTATTGTACCTCCACGTTGAAGTCTTAGCCAATTTTTTCCGTCTTGAAGTTGATTTGCGTTTACTACTGAGTCCGATGATGATTAGTGGAGTGAGGGAAACGCACAGCTCAAGCATTATTATTTTCCGTGTTGCCATATACCAGTTGATCCTACAGCCACTCACGTCACACCAGCTGACTCAGACAACTAATGAAATCAGACTTTTGGCGCAAAAAAATCTACGATTATACTGTATGTAGCAAGGTCTATAAAAAAACGTATAGACGGCCTAGTCAAAATATCAACGAATGAGAACAAAGATAGACATTTGAAGGACGTTTGTTTTTGATTGGTTGTTGTTCACATTTTTTTTCTGCTAGAAAGGCAGATTCTTATCAAATAAAGATGTCCGATTGGTCATTTTCGTTGTTGCTAGAATGGCCTTGAGAGTTACGATCATCTATCGTCAACCAAAATAGTAAAATATGGTTGGTTATCTTGGCAGCCGGTGGGCTGATCTTTTCAGTCAGTCATAATTTTATGTTCAAGCACCATTAGGTATGTGAAATGCATATGACCCAGTTCAGATTGTGTACTCTTATTGATGCAGAGGTAATGAAGATCAGATTGGTGGTGGAAGCAAATACAAGGGCAACTTTTCATATTTACTAATGAATAGTTGACAGGAGGCAGCCAACTTTACTCAGCCTCAATTATAATACAGAGACTAATCTTAGACATTTGACATAAATAAGTTTCTTGAATTTGGAGATTTATGAGGACTGATTGATTCTATGATGGAATTGATGATGAAATGAGATCTCTTGGAGAACCAACAAAAACCTATTAGAACTAGGCAGCTATTTCGTCTTTGTATGGTACTTCAGGTGACATTTTGGGCGTGCACAGCTGAGGACCTCCATATGGGGACGAAACAGCCAACCAGTGCTGTCAGGTTTTCGAAGATTCGTCGTGATTGACATTTCTGTCCACGCTGTTCACTTCCATCGCTGTTTGGTATATAAGATAAAGCCAAATATCATGAAGTATTGAATCCTTATATATTTTCGTATAAGTTAACAGTAATATACTCTACTGAATGACGTATAACTGGTTGAATACTAACCTACATTGATCAGTAAATCACGAGTAAATGAAATGTTACCAGCTGATTTCACCCGAATTAGTGATAGCAAGAATGTGAAAAATGAACATGATAACAAGTTTGTGATGAGGATGTCTATCGCAGTGTACTGACAGACAGACAGTCGACAAAATCAACGTAGAACTCAACAGTGAGGTGCATCACTTCAAGCTGACCACACACACACAAACACACACTACAGTAGCATGCAGGTGTTATGAGTTTTTCAGGGATATCACTAAACATCTCCAAGTATGGATTTCTGTCGTCACCATCAATAAATTATTGAAGAACTTGAAACTACTCTCTGCTAACAAGAATATCATACAAAATCATAAATAACCTAATGTTGTCTATAGGTACTCAAAGTTTAAAGGTAAAGGGTAAAGTGGTAGAATGCATCGATCACTTTGTTTACCTGGGGAGCAGTATCACCGAGGAGAAACAATGTCCACTCGCTGTTTGCTAATTTATATGGTTATTGGTGCAGATGAAACAGATCTCCCACTACGTGTTAACGAACAAGTATCATTATGATTATTTTCCCTCGGGTTCCTAGTGGAACATACGGCTTCAATAGCACGCCTACGTTCTACTCTCTTCTCTGCAGTCTTTTCAACCTGGCACCACGACTGCCCATAACCATTCATCACTTGTTCACGCTTTATGCTAAGTGCAGTAGACCTTCACATTGATTCCAGATTAGTGAAAGCCTGTCTGGTTTTGACATCCTCATGTGTGCCGTCTTTACTTGAAACGATGCTGTCTAGGTAGGTAGGTAGGTGAAAAAGACTACTTCCTTTAAGTTCCTCCAGCTGATGGTAAGTGGTGCTTATCGTTGATGCTGTTGTTGGTTGGGGATCATCATCACCAGTATCTTCTCTACGTTCACCCGAAGGAAAGACGAGTCTTCTCTGTCTCCTCTGTCAACTTGTTATTTTTCGCCTGTTATCTTCAAATTTGTACGACATAAGACACAAATCATCGGCGAAATTCAAATCTTCTAGGCTCTTTTCATCTGTCCAGCCAGCGTATGCCCATCTTACTGCTCCTCACTGTCTACTGCATGATCCAATCAGGAAGATCATCGGTGATGTTAGGTAATCTTGTCTTACTCCTGTCTTCACTTCACTTCACTTCACTTCAAAGGCATCACTGAGCTTTCCATTGGGGATCACTTGGAATGTGGCGTCTTCATATAGCTCAGCTGTTGAATGAGGTTGATAGAAGTTTATGGTATTCCGTAGTGTTAAAGCAACTGCCAAATTACTTCTCGGTTGACGCTGTCGAAATCCGTTTCAAAATGGATGAACTTGAGGTAAAAATCCAGTTGACTGCCATTCTATTCTCTGTTCTAGGATGATGTGTAGTGTAGTGTAGTGTTGCAGTTTGATCCGCACATGATTTGTTCTTTCTGAAGCCAGCCAGCCAGCCAGCCAGCCAGCCAGCCAGCCAGCCAGCCAGCCAGCCAGCCAGCCAGCCAGCCCAGCCAGCCAGCCAGCCAGCAGCAGCCAGCCAGCCAGCCAGCCAGCCAGCCAGCCAGCCAGCCAGCCAGCCCCAGCCAGCCAGCCAGCCAGCCAGCCAGCCAGCCTCTTCCGGTCGTACTTGTGAATCCAGCACATCCTTTAGTCTCTCCAGGATGATGCAGCATAATATTTTGCTTCGGATGAAAAGCAACCTGATTTCTTACCAGTTCTTGGAAAGGCTTAGGTGTCCCCTTTTTGGGAGTTTGACAAGGTAGCCCTTCTCCCAATGAATGGGCAGTTACCTTCCCTCCCTTCCTTGCAAACGTTCTGCAGTTGTGGTGTGAGCATGTCCACTGTTGTCTCTGTGTCTGTTTTCAGTGCTTCTGGTGGAATTCCATCTGGTCCTGCTGCTTTACCGGAATACCAACACAGATGGATGTATATTCAAATGATGACTAATTTAGTATGAAACGTATGTTGCTTTTTTCAATATTTGTCATTAAGTAGGGAAATACTGGTGAGAAGGACAAGATTATAATAAAGAGAAGAATATGAATTGGTCGCATAGATAACCCACAAGTAATCTTAACTTGGAGTGACTTCTTTGATGGTGGCTAGCACTGGAACATCAGGTGACACACTACGTCCTACCGGGGACTCGTCAGTTATTCTCATTTACATCTGAGAAGTTTAGTCAAGACGCTAAGATTATGATACGAACCTGTGTAATAATTTTCAGCTTCTAAAGAATATCTACCTCCACATTTCCTCTATACCCCCGCCATACTGCAGTTACTCTTAGGAATCACAGACAGGTCTTACCTCTTGTCTAGCCTGTCTGCATAACACGTTGGTCTGTCTGTCTGTCTGTCTGTCTGTCTGGCAACAAGTAGGTCTCCTATCATCATTACGTATTACGTTTATAAACTGTTTCTATTTTATGAAATTTTCATTTCATTTGGTAGATTATCCAAAGGATGATTGTTTCCTGAATCGATTTCAGCAAGAGTAAGTTCCATGTAGTTACTGCCTTTATAATCTAATGATGTTTATATCTGTTTGTGTTTTCTTTTTGATTTCACAAATGGTCATCTTGATTAGCAAAATTCACTTTGAATTAGTCTTGGTACTCATCAACAAGAACAACTTACCATCATACAGATATTTCTTTTCTTTAGGGACCTTTAGTCCACCTCTCACTGTATGCTGAAGTCAGATACCTGATCAATGTAGATAGATCACAGATAAATAAATGACAATATATACAGGTGGTCAGTCATAGAATCTGTCGTCCATGTTACGTCTTTCTCACGACACGTCATACGCAAAGGCTTACATATATCCGAACGTTATAACTGCCACCCAAACCTCAGAATTCAAACAAGATCCTATTCGTCAAAAACCGAGGAAACTAGTAGCTCATTGTAGAATAGTAATTTGAAGGCAGTTGCTATTAAACGAACTATGCCTGGTTAACAAGTTCATTAGTTACTAGCCGGTCCTAAGCCCAGATAAACAGGGAGGGTTGGGCATAGGGCTAGAAACCCTACCCCCCTAAAACCAATCCAATCGCAAAAGAAACTTCAAAGCACAAAGAAAATATAAGAAAACAAAATTATTCGTCGCTTGAATCGCAGAGACGAAATGACGCCAGTTGGTGAAAACTTTCAGGAAGCCAGTCGGTCGACGTGTCTTCTCTCGATGAAAGCGAAAGTAAAGATGGGTACATGGAATTTCCGCACCATGTATGAACCCAGTGAGGTTGCCCAGATTGACAAAGAGATGAGAAGGTAAAGCATGGAAGTGCTTAGAATCTTGGAAATTAGATGGAATGGAAGTGGACTCTACAAACTCTTAACTAGAGATTGAATAATCCCCTCTGGTCACCGAGACGACAACCACGAGACATCACGCGCTAGACCTGGCCCTCGAGCGTCTATGCCAAGGGTGACATGAAGGAGATTTCGTGTGAGGAAGAAATGAAATCTTGCGGACAGTCGTGGTGTCAGGTTGAAAAGATTGCAGAGAACAAAGTGACGACTTCTGGTGACGTTATCCCGAGGCCCTATGTTCCAATAGGAACCCAAGGGACGAAGAATAATAATGATAAGGTTATTAAGCTAAGTCAGACATTTTCAATAATGATGCATACTACTTCCGTGGAATTTATCACTTTCATTCTAACCGCCTTCTTCTCTATCCATAGGATTGATCTGGAAAACAATTTTCAACAGAAATCAATAGAAAATGTATTATCATCTTATAAGAGAATCAATCAATTACATTTCAATCCTGAAATATTCTACCTTCAATTAAGCCTATTACCTGATCAATCTATTCAATTAAATTCATATGATATAAGCTTGCTTGTTGAACAATCTAAATTACAATGGATTAAAACAACTACTGATGAGAATAATAGTAGTATTAATTGGACAAAACTTATTCACAAACTACCTTCAAATATTGAAGTGGATTTTATGTATATTGGAGGAAATCAAAAACACCGAAAACAGCCTTCCAATTTTAAGGTAACAGTTGGACTAAATGTTATCCTTTAAGGTACCCGTATTCAAACTTGTTATCTGTTACTACGATCTATATGAGAATGTGTACTCTCTGTGTTATGAAACCATATTTTATCGATTTCTGCACTTTCAGTAACGTCCTTTATCCTTTGATTGTATTTGATAACACCCTCCTTTTTCTCCTTAACCCTATGGTATGTTCTTTTCTGGCTCCCTTTTTACATTTTCAGTTTTATACTACTTAGTATTTTTTTTAGTAGTGTAATTCATTTTTCTATCATGCTCCTATCCACTCTAAGCGAAATATTATCATGGAGAGATTAAAGAATGCTCTGGGTTCAAAATTACAACCGGAACAGGCTCCCTGGCTGGCTTGCTGACTTCAGGAAGAACAAATCATGTGCACATCAAATTCCAACGTTATACTACGCGTCATCATAGAACAGAGCATAGAATAGGAGTCAATTCTCTACCTCAAATTCATCTACTTTGAAAAGGCATTCAGCAGCGTCAACCGAGAAGTAATTTTGTAGTTGCTGCTTCAACACTACGGAGTGCCACAAACCTTTGTCAACCTCATTCAACAAATATATGAGGACGCCACATTCCAAGTGATCCACAATGGAAAGTTCAATGACAACTTTGAAGTGAAGTGAAGACAGGAGTATGAAAAGGCTGTCTACTATCACCAATGATGTTCCTGATTGTGGTAGACTGGACCATACACGAGACCTTGAAGACCGAAAAGATGACAATAGGCTGGCTGGACCGATGAACAGAGCCTAGAAGACTTATATTTCACTAAGGATGATGATTTATGTCCAATGTCTAATGTCGCACAAAGTCGAAGATCTACAGGCGAAAAATAACAAGTTGGCAGAAGAGTCAGGGCGAGTGAGCGAAGACGGGACTTAGTTCAGGTGAAGATAGAGAAGACAGGTGATGAGGATATCCAACCAACAACAACAAGCACCAATCACAATCAATGGGAGAAACCAAAAGGAAGTAGTCTCTTTCACCTACCTACCTATCTACCTAACTACCTACCACCCCTAACCTACCTACCGTCCCACACCTACCCACCTACCTACCTACCTAGGCAGCAGCGTCTCAATTACAGGCCGCACAGGCACAGATGAGGATGTGAAAGCCAGGATGGCAGAGACAGTACGACAGGCCTCCATCAATCTGAAATGATCAGTGTGGAGATCTACTTCACTGCACTCAGCCTAAAGCCTGAACAACATCAGGATTTTCAACACCAATCAAGTCAAGTCAGTGCTTCTACATGATAGTTCAGAAAGTTGGCGTGTCACGAAAACCACTTCCAACAAACTATACGCATTCATCAACAGCTGCTGCCCACTCTCACTCGATACTGAAGATCAGGTCAGATGGCCAGGAGTAATAAGCAAGGAGGAAGTCACTGTGGCTGGTAACGAAGCAACCCATCAAGAAGCTATTGCCCAACAAACATGCAGAGGGGTTCGGTGGAGATAGATTGTATTTGACATGCAGTGAGAAGACCGGTTGTGGGGATCACGTGCCAGGCGAGACCATGCGAAGCCGTTGAGTGGAATCGGAATGGGAAACGACGAGTTGGGTGTGTGATGTGAGTTTGACATGGAGGAGATGGTGTGAGGAAGAAAGGAAGGCTTCTGAGCTTTCGTGGAGCCATGTTAAAGTAAAAGACTGGACAGAATAGAGGGAAATGGTGACGTACTACTGAAGCCTTATATTTGACTAGGATTCAAAGGGACAGATAATAATATTAATTCATGTTTCCTCATTAAATTGTTTAATTCACTGCCTTGACTGTTCATTCTATTCAATCTTATCTTATTGAACATTTGCAGATATTGTTATCTTTCATATTTCTACCTGGTTATTTGAACACAGTGTTGTTATTTTAACTGTTGACCCACTGTTTGTAAAATACTTTGATAGCGATCTCACGATCCAAAAAACCGTATTTCAAACAAATCTTGTATTTATAATTAGTATTCATCATGGATTGATATGATTTTGGGGGATCTTCGAGAATCTGGGAGCACTGGACAGCTGTTTCGTCCTAGTATAGGATTCCTTAGCTGTATGCACCCATGACCCGTTTAGGGATCGAACTCAGGGAGAACGCGTTAACCATTCAACCACTGGGTGGGTTTTCAGTGCTTAACAATTTCCAGCCTCTTAATAAAAAATCCCTGTTCATCTCAAAAATACATTACTTTATAGTGCTCATTAGTGAAGTGAAGTGGTTGCTAACTGAAGACCTTTGGTGATAAGTCACGCTATATCATCGTGAATTGACAAAAGTTAGGAATTGTTAACCACTGGAAACCGACCCAGTGGCTGAATGGTTAACACGTTCTCTCTGGGTTCGATCCCCAACCGGGTCATGAGTGAATACTGCTGAGGAATCCCATACCAGAACGAAGCAGCTGTCAGTGCTCCCGGATTCTCAATGGTTCCCCAAATCATATCAATTCATGATGAATACTACTTCTGAATTTAAAAAAAAATCCCCAATCATCTCAAAAATTTTGTGTTTTAAGCTTTACGCTTAATTCGATCGTTTTTCGTTTATTGCTCAGAAATCACTTCTTCACTTTGATTACGAATTCTTTGGGAAGAAATTCATACTGTTTTTATACGGTTTATTCATGTTCAATGTATTGGCTATGTTTGTCTGGTTTCATGTGAATATGATGAGTATGTATAACCTATACCCTTCATAAAACACAACAGTCACATAGGTTCTACATCTCATCAACTGGATTCTCAACATTTTTCCACCTGACTTCGTTAGAACTGTTTCCTGGAATACCTAAATTAAGTCTACTGCTACTACGGTACTCTTGAAAAGCTTGACATATGGTACTTAAATATACTGAATAGTCAGTAAATGATAACAAAGGTAAGCAGTATTACACGATTAATTGACTTCAATGGATGCATGCATCCATGCAGATCAACCTAGAACCGGGCATTACTGCGTAACGGTCCGAGCCGCCAAACTTCATATCAGTACACCAAGTAAAAAGGCAGTGGGGCGCAAGATGAAAATAAGAAAATTCAGTCAAAAGAAATACAAAGCATGAAAAGGGAGAAATGAAGAATGGGAAAGTGGTGGAATTCGCTACATCGTCGTTAATATGAGGATAATGTATGTGGAGATACATCTATACCACTGACATCGGTTCTGACCCATGTGATCACCTAGAGTCAGTCTCCAACCACTGGTTCCTCTTGTCCCACAGACTCCAACCACCCAGTCTCCATGCCCCACATGGCTCAATCAACAGTCAGAGACTTCATACATTGGTGCCATGTTTTAGTCTGGCCACTCCGTGTCACCTTTTTCCAGCCTGAACTTACTTCAGCCAACATTGTGTGACGAGGCAATCGGTGACTAGGCATACGTGGCACGTGACCCAACCATCTCAGTCGATGAAGGTTCATAACCTTGTCAACCGACTTACGTCGTCTCCCTAAAACTCTACTCCTCACTTCTGCATTACTCACGTGGTGACACCACGGAATACGGCCTATACTACGAAGGCAATTGTGGTCAAACATCTGAAGCCTTTTTATATCTTCCACTTTCAATGGCCACAATTCATAGCCATACAGTAGAACAGACTGGATTGCTGTGCGGTATACGTGACCCTTAATAGACAATCGATATCACGGCGGCACCACAGGTGGCGTAAATTGGCGAAATCCAATCGAGCCTTTTGTATCGGTGCAGAGATTTCACCGGCCACTGAGCTAGCCACCAGGGCTGATCCTACTTCCCAGGTAAGTGAAGTGGTCAACAGACTTATGGTGATGATTATAACCTCTTAAGTCATACTAACATCAATTTTTTGCACCACGCTACCCTGAAACACTGGCCTGAATACCATTAAATATGCAAAACAGGCTTCAATTTTCTCACTGAACCTCGATAGGAAACAGAAGTGAGTCATATTTATTTTGCCGGTAACTTTTAGCCATACTCGTTTAGTAACACGCCTATTTGGTCGATAATTAAAGATAACTATGAATGACAACTCCTGGGCTAACGAGGACTATACAAACGTGAACTCGAAATGGCTTGATGTTGAATAAAACCTGGTTTAAGTCGAAGTTATCACAGCTGCTAGCGTAAACGTTCTAGATTTCAACATCTTTAGTTAGGACAAATCTTATTGGATAATTTTGTCCTTCAGCTGACCAATGAAAATAATCTTTCGACTCATGACCTTGCACCTTTATTTTTGTGGAAAAACTATATATAAATGATGCATTTTTCCTGTCAAATAATATTGTCCTCCTTGCAGTAAGTCATTGGCCAATCCACGTCTTCAGATTTTCACGGTTCACTCCATCAGGTCTGATGGAGTTTTCATATAAATAATTCCATAAGCCCACATGTGATCAGATTCTTCTGAATGTATGGCGTGAATACGTCATTAGTTTCAGACTATCTAGCATTCAATACACAGTAGGTTTCCATTAAACATGAGCCATTAGATGAATCCTATTACATATTCAACTTGTTTGGCGGCGTATAAATTCATTCAATGAATCTCATTCAAAAGCTATTCAGTCGTTATAACAAAACAGAATACAAATGTCGATAGATAACTATACGCAAGTACAATTTCATCGAGAACGGTCAATAAAATTACAACGTAATAACAGTTTCAAGGTCAAGCCAAGGTCATCAAAAACAAACGGCAAAACGAAGAAGATAACCAAACCGTCTTATGGATAATACTATCAAGGTAAAATTAGAGACTGAGCACAGAGGCTGCTGGAGCATCTGCTGTGTGTTGAAGTGGCTCTTACGCATCCGCTCCTAAATGTTCGACTTCACTTAATAAAGTGACTTTGAAAGAAGATTCTTGTGAAGTATAGTGACCAGTGGCAACTAATTGCGGCTTTCTAGTTTACGAGAAATCAACACTCCAGGCGAAACACGGAAATCTGATTGGTTATTTCAGTGTTTGTCAGGAGGGGGATGAAGAAATGTTTTAGAATCAAATGGCTTTCAAGGTCACTTGCTCTAGCAACTACTTCAGCAACCAATTAAGTTTGTCTATTTTGTGAACTGAAGTAATCTAATTGGTCACTGAAGTAGCCTTCCAAAAACACGCCTTAAATTGGACACTACTGTCCAGATATATTCACTGACTTATTGATTACAGTGTACATATCATATTGTTACGGATTTTCAGCTATTCATCAAATGACGTAGATTGGGATGAGAAGTCTTGACTGCGGTAGTAACACATCGTGTATTCACATAGTAGTTATGCAAAATCGCGCTTATGATTCAAGTGAAATAAAAATCTCATCAGCAGTTGGATGTCACAGCTCAGTTGATAGGACACTGAGACGGAAACCGAGTGGTCGCAGGTTCGAATCCAGTAGCGATCGAAAATTTCATTATCTCTTTGATCAGCACTCAGTTTCAATAATCAGTTCGAATAGAGAGCAAACAACGATATGTTATCTAATTCTATTTGTTGACTGATTGTTATCGACCATTTCATAATGTGATCATCAGGTTTCGTATTTGTTGATATTCATCAGTGAAGTGTATCTATAACCACAACGGTAACAATTTCACTTGCTTTCTTTATACACTTATCCATCGATTTATCCTGTTGTTATTGTTATTCAGCTTATTATGAATGAAATCGATAGACTTACTCAAGACATTGAAACTAATCAATTCAAGACATTAGCATTCAATTTATGTCGACGTGGTGCATTATACAGAAAGGTAAACAGAACTTTACATTTTGATTTATGATAATAACTTCTCGTTCCATTTCTCTGGTATAAATATTGCATCATTTCTATTACATGTGTTGGCTAGGTGTTGATTCGATGTACAACGATTCAGCAATCAATGTCTCTCCAGCTGATTCTATTGTACTTAAGTACAGTGGTTCTATCGCACCCTATTGTGTGGTGGTGTGTATATGTTGATGCACGTGTTGCAACAGCTAAGTACGTCACTAGATTACTGATCTTATTCGGACCTGTCGTTCCATAGTGAGCTAACTTCCTATGTTCGGCTATTCGAACTGACCCCTGAAATGCCAGGCTAGTTTCACCTATGTACTTGACCTCACAGTCACTACACGGAATTTGATAGATTAGATTATTTTGCTGAATTGGTTCTATCGGATCCTTAAGCCACCCAACAACGTCTATCTCTGAGTGACTTTGTAGGTTTAAATGCCACCCTAATTCCAGCTCTGTGTGAGGATTCTACGTGAAGTTTCTGAGGTGCCCTCCTTATAGGGTAATACAATGGAGGTTGTGAACTCCTTTCTACTCGTCTTGTCATCATCATTCGCAATCCTGTTATTCTTATTTTTTCGTTTTTTGTGTGTCCGTACAAATTTCTTGATATACTGTAGAGGATGATAATTAACTATCAGCGTTTCTTTTACGTGTTTCAATCCTTGTTTAGGTTCTTGCTCTGACTAGTCAGTTTTCTAGCTCTATCATTTAGACATCTGACTAATTCTTCCTGTAGGAATGTGTTGGTTTTCTGTAGACAGTAATATCGAAGCCACCATCTGTTCATCCTTGTATTCTGTAATCCAGTACAGATAATTCTCTTTGTTCATTTTCTACGTCGTAAGTGAATCGGATTGAGCCTACCGCTGAGTTTATATGCATGAGGAAATTGTCGATATGTTCTGATTTCAACACAGTAGTGAATGTGTTATGCATATATCGCCACCATATTTTTGGTGCCCAAGTTTTACACCTATATTAATGAGATTTTCTATGCTGCTAAACTCAGTCATCATCATCAGTCTCTATTGACATATAGGCTGGTGTGCGGATGCCTCGATATCGCCTGCATTCTAGTTATAGTAATGATGGATAGTGGCTAGCACTGGAATCTAGGCTGCGCATTTCGTCCCATTTAGACCTCGCCAGCTGGATGTATCTGCCGTCCGAACGAGTGTTGTTCCCACCGGGACTTGAACTCGAGGCCGATCGCTTCAACCGTCATAGCGTTATCCACTACACCACAGAACCGCTACAGCTATTTCTTAAGCGACGAGCATAGTTCTAGTATTGTTTCTTCTACTATACCATCGGTGAGTAAGACCGAATTCATCAGTCTTTTTTTAATAAAAACCTTATATGAGTTGTTACTATGCTATTCCACTTCACAATTCGATTTATTCATATTTTTTGGATGTTGATTGGTATGAGTATAATTGCTTGTATTATACTCCTGAGTTCACTGAACTGAATTGATCGGTCTGCATTAGCATATGGGATCCTGTGCAGTTGTTTCGATATTACCTGTGTTTTAGTTATGGTAATGATGGATAGTGGCTAGCAATGGAATCCAGGATGCGCATTTCGTCCTATCTGGGGCTCGTCAGTTGAATGTACCTGCCTCCCAATGAGTGGTGTTGTTCCCACCAGGATTCGAACTCAAGAGCGATCGCTTCAAACCACGGTAGCCACTTCTTATGAGACGAGTATACTTCTGGTACTGTTGCCTGTACTATACCGTCGTTGATTGGACCGAATTGACTGGTCTCCATTGGCATATAGGCTCGTGTGCGGAAACCTCGATATTACCTGTGTTCTAATTATCGTAATGATAGATGACGCTCTGGAGTTAGAACCGATCGGTCTCAAGTCCGAATCCCGGTGAGAACAACACTCGTTGGGAGGCAGGTAAATCCAGCTGACGAGTCCTAAATGGAACGAAATTCGCATCGTGAATTCTACTGCTAGCCACTATTCATCATTACTAAAAGTTATCTTTTGTTTAGCATGTTGATTTTCGGTATCAATGTTCAATATCACCACAGTAACTAAAAGATAAGTAGTTGAATCCTTAGATAACTGAAAATAAGATGAGCTGTTGTAGAACACGCCAAGTTGTCATATTTCACATCGGAACAAAAGGAAAGACGAGTAAAAAGTAAATAAATAAACATTTCACATTAGGTTGTTGATTTGTTGTACTACAACTACTACGAAAATTTTACGTAGAATGCTTAACGGTACTAGGAATAGAGTTAGATTTAAACCGAAAACACCTGCTCAGAAACAATCTCTGTAGACTTAAAGATCCAGGACAGCCGATATAACAAAATAACAAATTGTATCAAATATCATGTGTAATGATTATGAAGCTTCATCTCAGTCTCAAGAAAATGGAGACGCAGCTTACTGGACACAAGATCAAGAAGAGGAACAGACGTAGGTTCACACACTCATAATCTAGTGTAAGTATTACGAGCAGCGAAGACGGGTTTTTTTCCAGGTAAAGATAGAAAAGAAAGAGGTGATGGAGATATACAACCAACAACAACAAGCACCAATCACAATCAATGGGAGAAACCAAAAGGAAGCAGCCTCTTTCACCCACCTACCAACCTACACACCTACCCACCTACCTACCTACCTAGGCAGCAGCGTCTCAATTACAGGCCGCACAGGCACGGATGAGGATGTGAAAGCCAGGATGGCAGAGACAGTACGACAGGCCTCCATCAATCTGAAATGATCAGTGTGGAGATCTACTTCACTGCACTCAGCCTAAAGCCTGAACAACATCAGGATTTTCAACACCAATCAAGTCAAGTCAGTGCTTCTACATGATAGTTCAGAAAGTTGGCGTGTCACGAAAACCACTTCCAACAAACTACAGACATTCATCAACAGCTGCTGCCCACTCTCACTCGATACTGAAGATCAGGTCAGATGGCCAGGAGTAATAAGCAAGGAGGAAGTCACTGTGGCTGGTAACGAAGCAACCCATCAAGAAGCTATTGCCCAACAAACATGCAGAGGGGTTCGGTGGAGATGGATTGTATTTGACATGCAGTGAGAAGACCGGTTGTGGGGATCACGTGCCAGGCGAGACCATGCGAAGCCGTCGAGTGGAATCGGAATGGGAAACGACGAGTTGGGTATGTGATGTGAGTTTGACATGGAGGAAATGGTGTGAAGAAGAAAGGAAAGCTTCTGGGCTGTCGTGTAGCTAAAAATTTAGTTGAATACAAGGAAAAACTGGTTGATCGCTGCTGTACATCCACTGACATAACCCCACCTAAGTTGTGCGTGGAACAGGTTATCAATTTTGAAGTTCAACATTACCATGTATTTTCGAGGTGAATAGGGATTTTAAATTTGAGGTAGTATTCCTCATGGACTGAAATTATTCGGAAACCACTGAAAGCCTGAGAGCACTGAGCAGCTATTTCATCCTCATGTGGGACTCCTCAGCATTACGTACCGACAACCTCAGCTAGGGGTCGAACGCCGGACCTTTAGGCTTCGCAGGGAACGCGTTGTCTTCATTCATCTCTATAATACTTTACTGTATAGCGCTCATCAGTGAAATGCCTTCGGATGTATATCACAGAGTTCCTATGAGAGGTAGTAAACTGTGGAGTCAACCAGTTGGAAGGGAAGGGATGCCATCTGAAGACCTAGGCTGGCAGTGGTGCCATACCCTGAACTGACAGAATTTTGAAGCTATTAAACAATCAGTTCCCACCCAATAAGTGAATGGCTGCCGCGTTCATCATGAAACGTGAAATACAGTGAGTTTCGTCCTTAGACAGGTCATGGATGTGAACAACTGAAAAGCCCACTACTAGGACGAACCAGCTGTCTAGTGCTTGCGAGTTTTCAATGTGTCCTCTATTGATTGCAGTCCGTGATGTATACTTCTTCAAAATGTAACATGGAATTGTTTAAGTATGTTCAGAGAAAGATATGAGACCATATTAAGATAAATGGACTGGCCAGTGTACAGTGACTAACTTCATATTATTTTCTAGCCCTAAGTACTGATCAAATCTTGTCCTTCACTACGCAACGTTGTCACTATTTAACAAATTCAACATTGTGATGTACCATTTTAATCGCCAGGAAGCCTTGATCAGCATAGTTGGCACTCCAGTGCACTAATATCCCCTGTGGGATTCGAAGCCGCATAGCTTAGTGTTGCAGTCAGTAACATGAAACTGTTTGTTCTTTAGTGGACCAGTTAGTGTACCCACCTAAGCGCTAAATCAGGTCAGCCATGGTCAGAATGGCTCAGTGATTCGGTTTCCGGTAGTAACGTAAATTTAGGGATGATATGATAAGTATTGGGTTGGAGGTCCAGTGGGAACCCCAATAATCAATAGAGTTCTGGTACACCAAGCTAACTAGCTCTAAGTGGGACGAAAAGCAGTCATCTGCTCATCTACGTTTTAGGGTAACACTGACATACGTTGACTGTTGAGTTATATGTATGACTAGGTATATTCTGCAGTTAATTTTATTTCATTTGAGTATTATTGGTTACCTATTTCCTATCTAAAGAAATAGAAAAGTTTAAATACTACTATGTATCCCTAATTTTGCATAGCTTATGCTTGATGTTTCGTCTATGACCGCTTTCGGGATCCAGTTGGAACCGAACTGTTTGAGACGAAGGAGGGATCTGAGAGTCGCGACATCTGTTGGCGTGGGCAGCTGCTGTATAGCACGAATGTTTTCACGATCGAGACGCCTACCAGATGCATCAAAGATGAAGCCTGAATATTTTAGAAAGAATTGACATTTCTCCTTTCTGAGTGGAAGGCTGTTCGTGTCTTGGATTCGCTGTAGGACGAACGGTATTCGATTCGTTAATTGCGCTGGACAGTTGGCAAGCATTTTGACGTCGTTGAGGTATGTATGCATGAACACGTGGTATGCCTGCTAGCATGGTATGCATGATCTGTTTAAAGATGGTGGGGACAGTTTTGGTCTGCCGAATGGCAGACGATTGTAGTGGCTAACGGTCGGTCAGGTTCCGCGACCAGCGCGTTACCATTGAGCCACTGGGTCAGAATCCAATGCTCCAGAAGTTGGAAATATGGAGCATTGGATTCTGACCCAGTGGCTAGCTCAATGGTAACGCGCTGGTCGCGGAACCTGAAGGTCGCGGGTTCCATCCCTGCCAGTGGGGTCGTGGGTGCGCACTGCTGAGGAGTCCGATACTAGGACGGAACAGCTGTCCAGTGCTTCCAGGTTTCCTTTGTTCCTCCAACTGATGTCAGTCTTCGATGAATAACAAGTATTGTTCGTTTTCCAACGTCCTTTTGCCTTGCTTGATATTACTATTCCCTCTTTTTATTTGTTAAGATTGGTAGATTACAAGAAGCTAAAATTGACCTTACAAAGGCAATTGAAATTGAGCCCAACTTATCATCTGCACATTGGAATATTCACTTTCTACACCTAATAGAAGGTAGAATAGAAGACGCATTATACGATTTAAATCAGTGTGAAAAATGCTCAAGTATCATAAACTCAGTTCATAAACTTTTCACGGATTATAATTTAACTACTGACAATCACAACAGTAGTGTAAAAATATGTCAGAAAAAAGTTGAACAGTTTTATCAAAATATTCTCTATTCAAAAGCCTTTATTTACTCAATATTGAATGATTCCAAGCGTGAAATAGAAATATGGACAGATTTAATCAATTGCAATCCAACAAATGAAAAAGCATATCTACAAAGAGCTATTGTATATCAAAAGGTAAATATTATTAGATATTTTAAAAGCATCATGTAGAAAACTTGAACTTTGAATATGTTTCTATCCTGCCCAGTAACAAGTTGGGGAAGACAGTTTTGGCCCCCCTGTTCACCCATCTCACCTCAAATTCTAGTTGGTCACTATGGTAGAGAATCTTCATTAGAGTGAAACTGTGTTGTTCATTGTTGTTACACCGTGCATCATTATTGATTTTTGTGGTAAATTTCAACTTGGTTGTATTTCTCATTAAGTTGACCATAGATTAGGTTTATATCCAGATGTCTGTTGATTGACTTCTCATTGGAATGCCATACTTCTTTCGAGAAACGGTATTTCAGTAGCTTATAAACTTGCCTCTTGGAAGATTTCTACACTCCTTCAGTCGAATCTGTGATCATAATTGTCTGCATCATGTTGCTTCATTGTTAGTTGGTGTTTGTGACTTTTTTTTCAGCAATCTAATGATCAGACTGGTTAGCATGGTGTTGTGAACAATCTTTGTCTTTTCTGGCTTTACCAACGGACCATTCGGTCTGCACAACATGGTGTATAGTGGTCTAATTGCTTTATATCCCACCGTGATCCTGAACAGATGAAGCATCTGGTTGACAGTTTCTCAGACATCTTTAATGTTGGCTAGTATAAAGCGTTTATCTATTTCAGGCTGCTGCCTTGGCTTTGAACACTTTGACAAGGTACTTTCCACGGTGTTTCAGTGCTGCAATGTATTTTCGTCTTTGAGAATCGTGTTTGTAGACAAGGTTTCTTGTAAGGTGAAGGCTGATTGATGTTGTTGTAGTTCAGAGTTTGATGTCTCTTTCTGTGTATGTAAGTATGTATGTGTCCTTCCTGTACACTTGAGTTTTTAGCGTCGTGTTGTGTGTTCTGCTGAAGGAAACATCTTGGAGGAGAGGGTTGTTATTGGCTGTCTTTTCATCTCATTTGAAGTGAAATCCTTCCAATGTTTGGTTGATTAGTTTGATCATGGAGGTGTCGTTAATGTTTCAATAAATCATCCTGATATCGATGATCCCATGGGTATTTCTTTTGTTTGTTTGATTGTAAATGTTCCCTGTGAACTGTGAGTAGGTTGTGAGACACCAATCGATGAGAAAGAGATTTGTCGTTCACCAGAAGAATACCCATCGTTTCTTTGGCTAGATGAAAGAAGGTGATCCTTTCATCATCGCTTTCTATCTCCAAGTCTCGTTTCTTTCCAAAACCTAAGTTGTTTAGGTGATTGAATGTTCCTTTCCATTGACGAAGTGCTTAAGTGTTTGTTAAAGGTTATTAAGGTAGATTTGAATAAGCTGTTGGTTGAAGAGATATGCACGCGATCAAGTGTTTTGTTCTATTTGAATATCTGTGATACGTATTGTGAAGTATCCTCATGGAATACAGTACCCAATGTACATCGTCCTGTTTCATGAATATGCCAACAGAGGGAAAACTTCTCAAATCTTCAATCATAAGAAACTCCACTCTAAGATGTGTTGTATGCAGAATATGATTGTTGATTGCAGTGCCATAATAATATATGAGTTGAACTCAAAACATTATGGTTATTGATTTTTTCCCTTGGTTTCCTAGTGGAACATAGGGATTTAGTAGCACGCTTCCATTCCACTCTCTTCTATACAGTCTGGCTTCACTTGGCGCCACGACTACCCACAAGCTATCATTTACTCCTTACATCAACTACTCCATCTTACTCTCTCCTCGGAAACTCCAACTCATCCTTTCCCCTTTGGATTCCACTCGACGGCCTGGCCTGGCGCATGATGTCTACAATCAGCCTTCTCAGTGTATGCCCAATCCATCTCCAATTTCTCCCTCCACATATTTCTTGGGCAACAGCCGCTTCATGGATTGTTTCGTTACCAGACAGAGTGACTTCCTCCTTGCTTATTACTCCTGGCCATCTGACCCGATCTTCAGTATCAAGTGACAGTAGGCAGCAGTTGTTGATGAATGCGTGTAGTTTGTTGGAAGTGCTTTGCGTGACACGCCAACTTTCTCAACCATCACATAGAAGCATTGGCTTGAGTGGATTGGTGTTAAAAATCCTGATGTTGTTCAGGCTTTAGGCTGAGTGCAGTGAAGTAGATCTCCACACTGATCATTTCAGATTAATGAAAGCCTGTCTTGCTGTCTTTCCCATCCTGACTGGTTTTCACATCCTCATCTGTGCCTGTGTCACCACCTGTAGTTGAAACCATCCTGTCTAGATTACTAGGTAGGTGAAAGAGACGACTTCCTTCACGTTTCTTCCGTTGATTGTGATTGATGCTTGTTGTTGATGCTGTTGTTGGTTGGGTATCTTCATCACCTGTGTCTTCTCTACGTTCACCAGAGGGGAGTCGCGTCTTCGCTACTCTGCCTCTTCTGACAACTTGTTAGATTCCACCTGAAGATTTTCGAGTTTGTGTGACAAGACATTAGACATAAATCATCATCGTTGGCGAAATCCAAAGCATCTTTTAGTCTCTTTTCATCGGTCAGACAGCGGTGTATTTCCGTATCCTCACAGTTCCTCATGGTTTGCTGCGTGATCCCGTCGACCACAGTGATTATGGGTAATAATAGACAGACTTTTCTTATCTTACTCCTGTCTTCACTTCACTTCAAAGGCACCATTCAGCTTTTCATTGTGGATCACTTGGCACATGGTGTCCTCATATAGCTATTGAGAACTCAGAACATTATAACTAGATAATAGATGTAATCCAATCCACTTTTGAGATGGATTGTATTGGAAAGTCAAGAGGAGAGAAGATGGAAACTTAGATACCAAAGTTTATAGGAGACCAACATATTCGATTAGACACTTGCGTTTCACATCATCTCACCACCTACCACCTATATCTGTGAAGGAAGACTTGATAAAATATCTTAGATATCAGGTTCGGAAGTTTACCTAGTAAGTCAGAAAACACATTAAAGAGACGACTTCTTGATAAATACTCTACGGATCTTATTAGGAAGTATATGAGGACTGATAATGTGAATCGTGATTGTAACATGCCTGTGAGGGAGTTCAACTTCTTTGTAGTATCACTGTATGACGACTTCACATCAGAAATTGTTCATAGAACTTCTAACAATAAGCAAATTAGAGTGGGATTTCGATCCACTATATCCCTCACAGGGAAACTTTATAGACTGAAAGATCCTATCAAGCCAGTTAAGGAAAATAACCTAATGTATCAAATATCATGTGTAATGATTTTAGCTATCGCTGTTCTCCATTCACTGATCTATAATCAAACTTAAGAGGTAGGTGGAATAGGGGAGTGACAATTCGAAAGTCGAAAACAGGTAGGTAGGTGGAGGGAGACATTGATAACGGAATGTTTGTTCATTGAATCAACACACACACACCAGCAACACATGTAACAGGAATGATGCATATCCAGATTTTACTACCAATCAAATAAACGAATGAATGAACTATTGGACTTTGTATAATGAAGGCTTGAATGTGGAATTTTAATGGATACTACTGATAAGAATGGATATAAGTAGTATATTTTGGGGAGTCGGGAGAAGTCATAGGTAATTACCAGCGACAGGTAAATATTCTGCCCAGAAAAACGCAAGAGACAATATGAGCGCAAGAAAATAAAATCGAGATAGGAGAAGGAGAGAAAATGAAAGACATTGTACAAGTGACTACTGTGGTGGAAATTGTACAGTATTTCATCAGTACTGTACAAAATGTCTCAGTAAAAATTTCATTCCTGAGTCTCATTCTTTGCCGTTTCTCACAATGGGTGTCACTGCCTCTGAATGCGATGAAGATTCTTTGGCCTACAGTATTTGAGAATTGAGATATAAAAGTCTTCCTCATGGATTTCTAGTTGGTCACGAGGCTTGTCGTTGTCCGGGACTTAGGAGCGAAGGTTACGGTGCTGAGAGGTAAAGCAAAAGCAGCCTATGACGACATGGAACGTAGTGATGGGTAGGAGACTTGGGAGAGAATGGTTGAAAGCTTGGAGTTGGATCTAGACAGGCCAGTGGACAGGGACCTGGCGATGCAGCATTTCCGGACCACGAAACTTGGGATAGACGAATACCCGCTGATTTTGTCTGTGAAGTTGACTAAACCACTTCGATGAGCGCTTCTGACTTTAAATGAGGACTTCATGGCATGGTTGCTGGCTGCACAGTTCACCGAAAGTGTCTCAAATGTCGTCCTCCAGCAGCTACGACTAGTGAACTCAGCTCAGCTCATGAATATTAGTAAGCTGACCAGACAGATAATGGGTGCAGCGGTAGCTGTGGTAGAGTCATTAGAGGTAAATACCTAGAAAAAACAAATCGATAACCTTCTGGACGAAGTGGCCGTACATCGGATGAATATCAACAGACAGAGTGAAGGCTTCACACGCGGAAAACTACGACACTGGTGAAGAAACTGTCCAGAGAGGCGAAAAAGTAAAGACTTTAAACGTTACAATATGGGCCCTGCTTTTTCGAATAGACTGGATGTTGTAGGAGCCATAGATAGAGGTGCTGTGTATGCTAGAATGAGAATAAATTATCTGGAGATGGTGTGTTTAACAGAAATAGGGGCAGCGCTTTCCCTGGTAGATAAGAGTCAGTGAGGTATATGAAGTCATCCAGTAATTAGCGATCTGAAAAACCTAAGTTTATGGCCCTGACCGCTTCGATATGACATTGTAAAAACTGTTATATAATATCAATCCCATGAACTTTATCAGTAAAGATTCAGTTACCAATCTCTACCTTCCGCCACCCAATTAAAGTTCGTCGTTCAATGCTTTGTTCGAGTCCGTATCTTATTAGGACCTAATAATCTTGACTTGAATTTCATGATGTTGCCGGCATTTTTAGACTTTCTCGCCAGTTGGATGTACCTACCAGCTAGTGAATAATGTTTTCTAGGGACTAATTGTTACAAACGCCGGAGAGTTGTCATATTTAGCCAAAGTTTTGTGCTTTTTAGTCTAATTTAACCTAGACGACAATCTCGACCAATGTGTTCAACCACGCAATTGGTTGAAAGATCAGACTGATCCTATTCGGCAGAAAACTCAGCGGTAAACATTGCTAGGTGAAATGCATCGGTCTAAGTTGTTGACCAGGGTAAATTACGCTGCTTGACCTCAGAAACCTCAGCTAAACTTGAAGAAAAACTCGGCAAAATTTATGCGTGTAATTGCACACAATCATAAAATAGGTTAGGAGAGAGTTGAATGGTGATATGAGCTTATTCGGCCCTATAAGATACATTTGTCCGTATACACTTCTAATGAACTAACTTGGCCTCAAAACGAGGAGAAACAATAGTCCATTGTGTTTAGATTACTCTAATGAGATTTGGCTGGTGAAATCTACAGATTATCCTGATTTGTCTAAATATTGCTCACGTTGTTCAGTAGTATGTTTTGGCAGCTATCTACCCTAAAGTCTTCATCCCTGACCATGATTCATCAGCAAACTTTATTGTCTCACCACAATGTGAAGTGACGTAATACTCCAGCACATTGTATCTTGACGCTACATGTCACAATTCAGTCAGCAGGAAACCACACTTGACCCAGGCTTCACACTTGTATGTTCGCATCAACAGAGTATGTCTCCAGTTATGAATAAACCAATGTTCTCTGCCTCATTTAAACGCTGATGAGAATACAACTTCATCACTACACTATTCAGACAAAGATATAACCTCTATTGAACTGGATCAAGTAGACAATTCGATCACTGCTGGCTTGATAATTGATCCCATCTTCCCTTTCTTCATTTCTGCTTTAATGTTTCCTCCATATTTTTTTGTTTCAGTTAAAAATGTTCCATCAGGCAAATATTGATTTTACGAAAATTCTTTGTTTAAATCCAAAATCTCAGGAAGCTCTATTTCAGTGTGGTTTACATCAATTTTACAACAAGTAAGTGAGCCTTTCAATGCATTTTAGACGGAATCAAGTTATTTTATGTATATTCCCTTCACGTTAATCCTATGTAATGTAATAAATCTTGTGCCCCTTTTATATTTTCATTTCTGTACTACTTTGTTATTACCAAGTAGTATAATGCGTTTTCGTTAAATTTTACGCCAAAAACAATTTGTTTGAGGTTCACTCGGTTCAATCGTATCTTTTTCATAAGCCCCAGTTTCCCGGTCCCCCCTTTTTCATCTTCCCCTAATGTTCTTTGCAACCTTAAGCATCTGTTTACCTCATGCTTTTACCGCAACATGGGAACACGCGTGTCTTTCATATTTCATTTCTTGGTTTGTCTTGCACTCACAGCCTTTCTATTTACTCTGTTAACGTACACTCTGTAAAGTGATGCTTATATGGTATGAAAAAACCCGTAAATGCTTCACAATTCAAAGTTGTGTAACTTACTATTAGTCAGTGATGGTTATTAATACAAAACCATATTTCAGACATATACTGTCTGTAGTAGTAGTAGTAGTAGTAGTAGTAGTAGTAGTAGTAGTAGTAGTAGTAGTAGTAGTAGTAGTAGTAGTAGTAGTAGTAGTAGTATAATTGTTTTTATATAATACCGTCGTAGATTGGACGGAATCGATCGGTCTGTATTGGCATATGGGAACCTGTGAGGATGCCTCGATATTGTCCGTGTTCTAATTATAGTGATGATGGATCGTGGCTGGCAATGGAATGTAGGATGTGCATTTCGTTCTATTTGAGACTCGTCAGCTGGATGTACCTGCTTCCCAATGAGGAGTGTTGTTCCCACCTGGATTCGGACTTGGGACCGATCGCTCCAAACGCCAGAGCGTTATCCACTCCACCACCGAGCTACGTTAGTCACTTCTCGTGCGACTGGTAAAGTACTTAGTATATGATTGTTTTCATATCATACCGTCGTTGATTGAACGGAATTGATCAGTCTCTATTGGCATATGGGCTCGAGTGCGGATGCCTCGATATTACCGATGGTGCTCTTTCTATACACGAAAGTTGTATCCAGGATTCCACAGCTAGCCACTATTCATCATTACTATCCTTTACATAGTACTAATTTTCTCACTATAATTGTGATATGGGTAGTAAGATTCTTCATATTTCCGGAACAGATTTTGAATAGCGATTCAGTTTTAAGGATTTTCACCCTATCCCACCCTACGTTATGTGGTTGTGGCTTAAATTTGATGCATAGATATAGCGCAGCTTTTTTCTTCTAGATTCCTGATGTCATCAGCACCTTATAATTGTGATCTAGTAAGGGTTTTGTGCTTGAATAGCCTAACTGGTCCACACATGGTCGACTACCTTGACCTACATATTTAACCTGGTAATCTCTCCAGGGGATTCGGTAAACTAATTAATTCTGCTTGATTGGATCAGAAGTAGTAGAAAAGAAGCTCAGCCACAGCTGAACATGCAATTTAACACAATCACACAATGGAAAGGAATGGGTGTAAGTCCTCAAAGCTAACCAAGTCAGGTGGAGCTACAGATTGATAAGTGAATCTTTGCTTATCGAGTCAATGCCTTGATATTGCCTGAATGTTAATTATGATAATTTGGTCGGTTGTGGGTAGCGTAAGAATCCAGGACGCGTGTTTCATCCCATTTGGGACTCATCAACTGGATGTATATGCACCCCAATCAGTGTTGTTCACACAGAGACTCGAACCTTGCATGCATCGCTTCAAACACCGAGGCGTTATCCACTGTGCCACAGAGGAACAATAGCCACTTCTTGTACAACGAGTAACAGTTATTACTACTTATTGACATACTTGTTATTCTCCGTTGTTTGTTGTGTTGGATCGAATTGTTCGACCTCTATCGGCATATGGGCTCGTATGCGGATGCCTCGATACTGCCTGAGTGTTAATTATGACCAGTCCCAAATAGGACGAAACGCGCGTCCTGGACTCTTCTGCTAGCCACAAGCAACCAATTTATCATTATCAACTGTGTCTCACAGTTATGGAGTTATCTTGATATAATTATAGAAAATAGATTATGTCTGAAATGTAAATCAGAAAGTAGTCCTGTGCCACTGCTACAATATCATATCCCAATGGGTCACTTCACCAACCTTGAAATTGAAACTCATTCAGAAAACTTGTACAGGACACAACTGTTGTGTTTCAAGCCTAATGATACCATTACATAGCCAGCCAAATATTGATAGATGAATAGAAGTTTAAACCTGTTACCCAGTGAATGACAATAAACTATCCTAATGTAATGAACAACAGCTATACACAGCACTAACCTGCTGTTTGCTAATAGTCAGTACCTGATGCGAGGGATCTATTCAGAAGTTTAATCTACCTTTTATTTGCGCAATACATTTCGAACAGTCTGATTACACATTTACTTGCCTAGTCAATATATATTAAAGCGAGGAGTGAGATGGGGGGGGGACAAATTCAACAATTGACACAATAGGGGATTAAAATTAGGAAGATAAGAACAAACAGGAAGGGTGACATAGGTGATCCTAATCTTGGTAAGAAAACAAAGTTTATCAAAGGGTAGGTAGGTGTCGTGTACAAGAACAAACTGTTCTTTTGTACACATAAAGGTGGTTTAAATTTGTGAATGGCTATAGCTTCTGCAAATCTCAGATTACGTCCCTGACCGACTGTTTCTATATATAAAACTTTGAAAGCTGTTTGACTATTAACTTTGTGACCTGTTTCTATGATATGTTTACCTATAGATGAACAGGGTAGTCTCCCACCAGTGTTTATCACTGTTTCACACTCAATTTGTTTTTGAAGCCATTTAGGCACATGTTCTCCCACCCTCAACTGCATGACTCGATTACTCCTCTCTGTATATGTGTGACCATACACACATGTAAATTGGTAAACAGTCAGCGACGTATTCTGAGATTTGCAGAAGCCATAGCCATACACAAATTCAAACCACCTTTACGTGTACAAAAGAACAGTTTGTTTGTGTACACTACACCTACCTACCCCTTGGTAAACTTTATTTTCTTCCCAAGATTAAGATCATCCATGTCACTCTTCCTGTTTGTTCTCATCTTCCTTAATTGTAATCTCCTGCTTGTGTTAATTGTCGCATTTGTCCCTCCCCCCCCCCTCAGCCACCAGTTTAATATGTTATGACTTGAAACAAGTAAATGTGTAGAGGATCAGATTGTTCGAAATGTTGTACTGCGCAAATACACATGACACATTGTTTACATAAACTTCGTCTCCATTGTTTTATTGGATCGAATTGTTCAACCACAATTAGCATATGGGCTTCTATGCAGATGCCTGGATATTGCCCGAATGTTGGTTATGGCAATTTGGTTGATTATTGCTAGGAGAGGAATCCAAGAAGCTCATATCGTCCTATCTGGCATAGTGGTAAACGCCTTGGTATTGGAAGCGATTCGTACGAGGTTCGATCCTCAGTGAGAACTACATCACTCCACGTTGGGGTCCAGGTACATCCAACTGAGGAGTGAAATCAAATGCGCGTCCTGATATCCTCCACTCTCCAAAACCAACCAAATAACCTTGTCTTACATTTACTCCCTTCTCTTTTTGTGTTAATTTAGTAACTGGAGACAAGCAATCGATTATTTTCAAGAGGTGATAATCAACAAACCAACTCATTTTGAAGCACATTATTTTATGGCTATCAGTTTAATTAAACTGTATCAGTATGACAGATGTTTAGCAGAACTGACAGCTTGCCTTTACTACCAACCTCTGCACTATAAGGTAAGAAACATTGAATGCTGCTTTCTACATGCATTATTTTTTCTTTGTGATTACGGTCTACTTAAAATGTAATTTAGTAGTATAATGTATTACGCTTCTTTGTTTACGTTGTCAATCATTTACCTTTGGTGATCGAGTTGTGAAGAATCCTGTTTTACTAAATGGATTCAATCTGGCTGTCATTTTTACTAAAGAAAGTAAGTGACTCAAATCTTAGCACTGCACATGTGAATTTTATTAATAGATGTACGTTGCAACAAAACAATTGATAGTACTCAACCTGGAGGTTCATAGGGAGTTTAATTGACGTCATCACTGACTGACTTCAGTTGGGAAATCATGGTTAACCTGAGAGAACTCACTGGGCGCTTCTTCCTGGCGTAGGACTTGTTTGAATTGTGTGTACACACCCAACCTTGCTAGGAATCGAACTTTAAGATAAACTTCTCGAACATCTAATGAGTAACCATAGTCTGTGGGGTCAATCAAGATGGGGCTAATCAACTTGATGTGCCTGTATCCTTGTGAATGATTTCGTTACCATTGAGAATCGAACCTAGAACGAACAAAGCCTTATCCTTACTTCGTTAGCTAAATGAAGCTGAAACTTGGTTAGTAAATGAGCAAAAACAACCAATCAGCTTTGAGTATGACTGACGAATCGGATTACAGAGATCATACGTTCGTAAGGGACTGATTAAGAATGAACAGTAAGTGATCAAGGTCACCATTGATCAATTACAGTCAACGATATCATCAATACACGGTTGCATTCGGTTTCTACTGAATACAACTTAGAAACCGCGTAATGGGCTTTGTAATGACCAGTAATACGGCCTAGCTGGTGAAATCTTAGTGAGTAGGGCTCCATCAGAACCCACAGTCATTTCATGGTTTTTATTAAGGTTTAAGTGATAGACTGATAAAGGTGACGGCTGGTCTTGAAGTACCACCACACTTAACCACTCCACCAGAGATTCGAATATGAGATAAAATCCAAAAATCAATTTTTGAAACCTCTTATATTCCTGAGTTAACCTCCCCGCTAATGTGCTTTAATATTTGTCGCTAGCGATAAACTTATTCACGTGAATGGTCTTATTCAGTTTTAACGGTGACCTTGAACGTGATTGGTCTACAATACACTTGCCCAGTCTGGTTATAGTCAATTCACGAACACACGATGAGTCACTCATCTCTGCCCCATCAATCGTTTACAACAGAACACAAAATCAATTGTTAATTGTCTGTATATCTCAGGCGATGTCATTCATTGTATATATCACAAAACACCTTGACCACAACGCAACAAAATATACAAAAACGAGACAACCGATTTCTAGCACCAAATTTATAGGTCTAACTCTGCTTGTAGTGATTATTTCCGAAGTAAAAGTCGTACATAAATCTGTGAGAAGTCAATTGAAAGCTCTCTAACTGAGCTGTACAACAGTGTTATCACTTTGATCAGATCATGCTAGGAGTACAACGATGCTTAGCTTCACAATTTTTAAATATCAGAATAAAATATGCAGTCGAATTCACCTATGAATTAGAAAGTGTTGAAGATAATTAGCGATGCTCGGTTGCAGAATGAAATGGAAACAAGATGAGAGTGTAGACACGAGTATCTACGGAAAATCTTCACACTGTAGGGACACCTTACTCATCAACAATAACTTTAGTAACACACGTGTTAATAGTAGTAATAATAATGCTAATAATAATGGTGGCAATACTGTGAAGACAGAACTCGAAATCTCTATAGTGTTACTACACTAGAGGGGCACCTCACAGGCATTATTTAGGATTCTGAATAAAGCTGGCTGGGAACAGAGTGGTATTTAAACCTACAAACTTCCTTAGAAATAAGCTTTGCAGGTTAAACTATCCCACTGATCCAATCAAACGAAATAATTTAGTTATTCAAATCCTATCGAAGCGTCAAAATAGCTTTCTCAGCACAAAACTGGATCACAATTAAAAGATCTTAATAAGGTCAAGGTAGGGAATCTACAAGAAAAGTCCACAATCATAGCTATGCATTCGTCTTTACGCAACAACACACAGCATAATGGGACAGGGTGATAACCACAAAAAAAATAAACTGGGGGGACGGGGAAGGAGAGATTAACATGTGCAATGGAACACTCAGTGTATGTAAGAAAATAAGGAGAATATAAAGTTTACTCAAAATTCTGCAGATATCCTGATACGATTATGGACAGTAAACTGCAACCAAAACGTAATTGACTAGGCAGTCCTGTTCACCTGCACGTAAACATTATTAACATATTCCCTTAGGCTCCTAGTGGGATCCAGTAGCACGCCTCCATCCCACCCTCCTGTCTTCGGTCTTTTCAATTCAGCTCCACCACCAACCACGTCACCTCCTCCATGTCACCTTCATCTCGGACGACAAACTCGTCGTCTCCCCTTTCGATTCCACTTCACCGTCTGGTGTACAGTCTTGACAAATGGTCTTCTCCATATATGCCCAATCCAATCCATCTCCACTTTATCACTCTGCATATTGTTGGGCGATAGCTACTTGCTTCGCTGGTTCGTTGCCAGTCAGCCAGAGTTCCTTGTGGCTTATTCTTTCAAACCATTTGATCTTCAATATAATGTGAACGTAGGTGGCAGCTGTTGATGAATATCTTTAGTTTGCTGGAAGTGGTTTTCGTGACATGCCAAGTTTCTGAACCATATATAAGCAAGCACTGAGGTGACTGACTTAGTATTAAAAATCCGGATCTTGTTCAGGCTTTACGCTGAGTGCAGTGAAGTAGATCTCCACACTGATCATTTCAATTTAATAAAAGCCTGTCTTGCTTTGCTTTTCCGATCCTGACTGGTTTTCACATCCTCATCTGTGCCTGTGTCACCACCTGTAGTTGAAACCATCCTGTCTAGATTACTAGGTAGGTGAGAGAGACAACTTCCTTTAGGTTTCTCCCGTTCACTCTGATTGGTGCCTCTTGTTGTTTATGCTGTTGTTGGTTGGGTATCTTCATCACCTGTGTCTTCTCTACGTTCACCAGAGGGGAGTCGCGTCTTCGCTACTCTGCCTCTTCTGACAACTTGTCAGTTTTCACCTGTAGAACTTCGAGTTTGTGGGACAAGACATTAGACATAAATCATCATCATTGGTCAAACAGCAATGCTCATCTACTCACCACTCACGGATTGCTGCATTATCCAATCCACCACAATCAGGAAGATCATGGGTGATAGTAGGTGGAAGCCTTGTCCTACTCTTGACTTCACTTCAATTCAAAGGTGTCACTGAGCTTTCCATTGTAGATCACTTGGCATATGGCCTTTTCATATAGCTGTTGAATGAGGTTGATAATGATTAGTGACACTCCGTGGTGTTGCAGCAACTACCTGGCAAGTGTTTTCTCAGTCGATGGTGTCGAAGGCCTTTTCAAAGTCGATGAAGTTTAGGTGAAGATCCAGTTGACTGCCATTCAATACTTTGTTCTATTATGATGCGTAGTGTAGCTTAGCGTTTCCATTTGATGCTCACATGATTTGTTCTTCTTGAAGCCAGCCAGCCAGCCAGCCAGCCAGCCAGCCAGCCAGCCAGCCAGCCAGCCAGCCAGCCGGCCTATTGTGGTCGTAATTTTGAATGCAGAGCATCTTTTAGTCTCTCCATGATGATGCAGCCTTATGTTCTGCTTTGGGTGGATAGCAGCATGATTCTGCGCCAGTTCTTGGAAAGGCTTATGTCTCTTTTTGGGAGTTTGACAAGGTAGCCTTTCGTCTTGCATTGCGATATTCGAGCTGTTTTCCTGGATTATAGATCTTTTTTAAATTCCGATTTTTCGATAATCATTCTGTTGGGATTCAAAAATTGCTATGGCCGTAAACGATCCATACTTATCGAGAGTCGGTCACCAGCGTTCGATAGATTCCAAGTCATTTTGCGGCGCGATTAAATAATGGGGAAGACACGATGGACGTGTAGAAAAGTGTATCAGTGTTCAAAGACTATTGACTAGCTGATTCATCGTGTCCCTGTCTGTCGAACTGTAGGCATAATCACATACAATAAATTCTGATTGTTCCATTTTCAGACTAGTCTTTTCTTTCTACCCCCATATCACCACCCTCTTCGACGGAATGTTATTTGGAGTCATACTAGGCCACACTGTCTTTTTACTGCATCTGTCTGACCGAGGCAGAGGGAGTTTCTCCTTGTTGACTAGGGGATGAGTAGTCTTCCCGATATTCTTTTGGCAGCCAGGTGAATAATCATGGAAATCAGCTATCAAGTCTACAGATTTACCTATCGGTCGAGAATGAGATCTGCGGCTATTTCTGGAGGATGGCCTTCGTACACGTCGTTGTGTGCTCGGGCAACTAAAACCATCCTTGTGAGGGCCAGCATTACAGTCCCGGCATCGATGTTGTCTAGGTGTAGAAAATTTAATGAAATGACAGCAAGACGATAGGGGTGCCTTCTCAGATGGTCGGTTGGTATCTAATGAGTTACTGGGCGGATGAACAGACGACATAAAGTCAAAGGGTGATTTGGAGGCCTGAGATGTCTGGCTGACTGTGAACACTTCAGAACCACCCTGGCCTCCGGATTGAGCTAAACTTGTGTCTCACTGCAGACTGACCAGTCGTTGATATTCTGTAGACATGTCATTCAGTGTCTGGACTATGGCTTCGAAACTGCTATCATGCGGGTTCTGTGGCGAAATCATGTTGCAATATTTGTTGAGTTCAGATGGACCAAGCTTTCTAAGTAGGAGAAATACCTTCCAGGAATCATCTTGGCGCGGAAATTCCACTTTAAAGTAGTCTTCATTACGCCTATAGCAACTACCGAAAGACTCATTAGCATCAAGATGGTAATGGAATTCAGTGATGCCATCAACTAAAGGAGCTATTAAAACTGGTGTAGAAGACGACGATTCAGTCCCAGGAAATTCGACAATCCTTATTTACTATTTGATGGAATTGACCGACACTGAAGAATCCTTTTCCCAATATCCTATTTCCATTGCTGTTGTTATGATTTGGAAACTGACATGCGCTATGGCCGCTTACAATGCACGGATGTTGGGTGCCAGCCACGAACATTCAACAAATACCTATTCCATTCTTGTCCTAACTGACTAATGGAGAAGACACGACAGACAAGTAGAAACTTGTATCGGGCTCGAAGGACTAAGGCCCCAAAACAGGAAAAAACAGGTAATACATAGGTAGTTTACCATTTGAAATGATCCCATTGGTTAGCTGATCTACGTCTGTCTGTCTGTCTATCTGCCTAAATGTAGACATGATCACATAAAATATATTCTGATTGGTCAATCTCCAGACCAATCATTTCACTCTATCCCCACGTCCTTAACTAACCATGATTGGATGGTTTCAAGAAGGATTGGTCACGTGTCTAAATGTCTATGTCGTCTACTCTAGATATTCGTGAATCGACAGACAAAATCCTACAAGTGTATCATTGCCAGTTACTACACTTTGATTAGTATACAAATAAGAAATGGATAAAAAGAAATTTACAAATTTGAGGTGATTACAGCAATCTGTTTTTGAAAAAATCTCACTGACTGGTAAATAAAAGTATCAAAAATCGAAACATATGAGGACTCCATTTTAGTTTATTTTATAAGATATATCACATGCAGGAAGAAAGAGGAAACACGACAAGGAGTGGATCTTGACGGACACATGTAAGCTGATAGAGGAGAGGAAGATGGTGAAGCAGAAGATGAACCAGTGGAGTGCATTGATGAACAACGAAAAGAGGAACTGAACACAACCAATAAAACACTACACTGAACAAAGAAGTGAAGAAGAGTGCGCGCAAAGACAAAAGACACTTCTACGACAAATTGACAAGTGAAGCAGAACAGGCTGCAGGCAGAACAGACCTCACAACACTATATCAAATAACCAGGTTACCATATGTGAGGGAAGAGATCAACACAGCACAGATGAAACCAACGAAAGATTGTGAAGGAAAGCTAGTTACCACCGGAGAGGAGAAAGGAAGGAAACAATGGGCTGACCACTACAAAAAGCTCTTGAATCGATCACCACCACCACCTACAACTCGTCCAGAAATCTGTAGACTTGATAGCTGATTTCCATGATTATTCACCTGGCTGCCAAAAGAATATCGGGAAGACTACTCATCCCCTAGTCAACAAGGAGAAACTCCCTCTGCCTCGGTCAGACAGATGCAGTAAAAAGACAGTGTGGCCTAGTATGACTCCAAATAACATTCCGTCGAAGAGGGTGGTGATATGGGGGTAGAAAGAAAAGACTAGTCTGAAAATGGAACAATCAGAATTTATTGTATGTGATTATGCCTACAGTTCGACAGACAGGGACACGATGAATCAGCTAGTCAATAGTCTTTGAACACTGATACACTTTTCTACACGTCCATCGTGTCTTCCCCATTATTTAATCGCGCCGCAAAATGACTTGGAATCTATCGAACGCTGGTGACCGACTCTCGATAAGTATGGATCGTTTACGGCCATAGCAATTTTTGAATCCCAACAGAATGATTATCGAAAAATCGGAATTTAAAAAAGATCTATAATCCAGGAAAACAGCTCGAATATCGCAATGCAAGACGAAAGGCTACCTTGTCAAACTCCCAAAAAAGAGACATAAGCCTTTCCAAGAACTGGCGCAGAATCATGCTGCTATCCACCCAAAGCAGAACATAAGGCTGCATCATCATGGAGAGACTAAAAGATGCTCTGCATTCAAAATTACGACCACAATAGGCCGGCTGGCTGGCTGGCTGGCTGGCTGGCTGGCTGGCTGGCTGGCTGGCTGGCTGCTGGCTGGCTGGCTGCTGGCTGCTGGCTGGGCTGGCTGGCTGGCTGGCTGGCTGGCTGGCTGGCTGGCTGGCTGGCTGGCTGGTTGGCTTCAAGAAGAACAAATCATGTGAGCATCAAATGGAAACGCTAAGCTACACTACGCATCATAATAGAACAAAGTATTGAATGGCAGTCAACTGGATCTTCACCTAAACTTCATCGACTTTGAAAAGGCCTTCGACACCATCGACTGAGAAAACACTTGCCAGGTAGTTGCTGCAACACCACGGAGTGTCACTAATCATTATCAACCTCATTCAACAGCTATATGAAAAGGCCATATGCCAAGTGATCTACAATGGAAAGCTCAGTGACACCTTTGAATTGAAGTGAAGTCAAGAGTAGGACAAGGCTTCCACCTACTATCACCCATGATCTTCCTGATTGTGGTGGATTGGATAATGCAGCAATCCGTGAGTGGTGAGTAGATGAGCATTGCTGTTTGACCAATGATGATGATTTATGTCTAATGTCTTGTCCCACAAACTCGAAGTCTACAGGTGAAAACTGACAAGTTGTCAGAAGAGGCAGAGTAGCGAAGACGCGACTCCCCTCTGGTGAACGTAGAGAAGACACAGGTGATGAAGATACCCAACCAACAACAGCATCAACAACAAGAGGCACCAATCAGAGTGAACGGGAGAAACCTAAAGGAAGTTGTCTCTCTCACCTACCTAGTAATCTAGACAGGATGGTTTCAACTACAGGTGGTGGTGACACAGGCACAGATGAGGATGTGAAAACCAGTCAGGATCGGAAAAGCAAAGCAAGACAGGCTTTTATTAAATTGAAATGATCAGTGTGGAGATCTACTTCACTGCACTCAGCGTAAAGCCTGAACAAGATCCGGATTTTTAATACTAAGTCAGTCACCTCAGTGCTTGCTTATATATGGTTCAGAAACTTGGCATGTCACGAAAACCACTTCCAGCAAACTAAAGATATTCATCAACAGCTGCCACCTACGTTCACATTATATTGAAGATCAAATGGTTTGAAAGAATAAGCCACAAGGAACTCTGGCTGACTGGCAACGAACCAGCGAAGCAAGTAGCTATCGCCCAACAGATATGCAGAGTGATAAAGTGGAGATGGATTGGATTGGGCATATATGGAGAAGACTATTTGTCAAGACTGTACACCAGACGGTGAAGTGGAATCGAAAGGGGAGACGACGAGTTTGTCGTCCGAGATGAAGGTGACATGGAGGAGGTGACGTGGTTGGTGGTGGAGCTGAATTGAAAAGACCGAAGACAGGAGGGTGGGATGGAGGCGTGCTACTGGATCCCACTAAGAACCTAAAGAAAACTAGTCATATGAAACAGCATTAAAATCTGTGATTACCGGTGCGACGAAAATGTTTTGTAGATAAGCAGGATTCGTTGATGCAATTCTTATGATGAATATATGGATTTTGTAAATTAAGTGGTGAAAACTGTGTTTTTTTTAATTGAAGTGGTTTATACACAATTTTATTGAATCTCAGGAAATACTATATCATGCATTGTATGGTCACTATACCAAATAATCTAATCGAATATGATACTGAATTGATTTCGCCTATTTACTTTACAGGCGTTATTTACCCGTGGATGTTTATTGGCAAAAGTTTGTCCACTGCAATCATTACGTGATTTAACGATGTGTATATGTATTGGTAATCGAAAGTATCGAACTTTAGCTATTATTTATCGTGGATTAAAATTTTATGAAATGAAACAGTGAGTTTTATGTGTATCACTTTTCATAAACACCTTTCTCTATCCCAGTCCCGGTGGCAACAACATTACTCACTGGGAGGCGAATACATCCAGCTGATGAGTCCCAAATAGGATGAAATGCTCATTCTGGATTCCACTGCTAGCTAGTATTCATCATTACTATACAACCACGAAATTGTTAAGGTGAAAATTTTGCCAAACAAAGTGGAAATAATAATCATAACTGACTTAAGACAGGATACAATAACAAGTTTTGTAGGATTTCCTAACTCCTAGAACATTTAGTACGTCACTGGTTTTGAGTCACTATAGTCTAACTTCACGCACTGATCTATCAAGGAAAGCCAGAAAATACTGCTCACTTCTCCCCCTCTCTTTATCTAAATCGGATAAGGTATTATACTAGAAGGAAACTGAAGCAACCAAGTGGAATGTAGACGTAGGTAATAATGATACTGATCACAGTCCTACACCAGAACTGAATGTCAACATGACTATTTCCCCCAAACCGTCACCACCTTATTCTTCACTGAGTCAAGTAAATAACAAAGCACAAAGGCTGACTTGCAACCGCCAGGACGATATATATAAATGTCCTAGACCCAAGACAGAATAACACAATCTTATTGGCTACTGAATCAACCAATAAGGTTATTTTATCTAAAAACAAACATAAATCAAAGTCTGATTCAGAAACACTTCTATCCCGACGCCCGATGACCTTGAATACTGACTACCATAATTGGCTACTTCCTATCAAAAATAGATTCTGCAGAAAAATGTTAAACAGAAGGGGTGTTGATAATCAAAGTATTCACACCTTTATTTTTGACCTTAACTCTCTTTCGATTGGCATTCAGTTATAAAACATAAAATAACCAGAGAGGATCTATTTCCTGGTTGTTTCTGGTGTAAATATGCCTAGTTGTAACTGACTGAAGTATTTATGCCTTCCGATTCAACCTTCACACTGACCTTGCATATGATTGGTGTGGCATACACTAGTCCAGTCTGACTTATTCAATTCGCGTATCGATTATTCATGAGAGTGCAACCAATTTCATGTTGTCTAGTCCTTAGTGCAGACCGAATCCTGCCGATTACCTCCAACCAACTAGCATCTACTAATGTGCACCGTGAGGCTGAGCTTGCTAGCTTGGTTGCCACACTGCAAATATGATCGACAGGATTCGGTCTGCACTCAAGACTAGACAACATGAAATTGGTTGCACTCCCATGGCCAGTCAATACATGCAAGCCAGTCCTACAGGAGGTCAATCGCTGCCCGAATAGCTCAGTCGTAATGTTGCTGGGTGACGCGAATTCGAACCACAGCCGGGACATCAGTTCCGTCGAGGTTGCAGATACGCACTGCTGATGAGTGCCAGAAGGGACGAAACCTAGATGAGGCAGGGATTCCTGCCGATAGCCTCCAACCAACTAACATACTCAATCCACATTCATACACATGTTCACGCCCACGCACGCACTTAATGAGTCATGCAATTCGATCCTCACAAGTAATTACAACAGAACACAAAGTTCAGTGCCTACGTTTCAGGCAATCTGATTCATTTGTGTATACAGCTGAATTATTTGCCCGCAAACGATTTCAAAGACAAACCTGATTGATAAGACCATGTCCAGGATGATTTTCTCTACAAAATAGACAAGTTAATAAGGTGATATAGTTGAATTTATGTATATAGTTGTGCCTGCATATAGTTTAATGTACTTTGCTTCTTCTCTTCCTTGAGGACATAAACTGGGAGAGGTATAGATGCAGAGATGCTTATAATAAGTGAAATATCTTTACCCAGCTGTCTTCAAGAGTTCCGATGTCTACCAACAACCAGTATGGTTATTAGTGTACCACCAGCCCTAGTAACAGCCTCCCAAATCCTACTCAATACATCGAGTCAAGAAAAGTATAAGGGGGAACAAAAAGTAAGTTATAGGCGAAACTCAAGAATTAATGAAACGTAAGAGTAGAGGCTACCTGCAGCCACAGGACTACCAGTGAACGGAAGCTGTCCGACGAAAATCGAAATCCTGAACGCCATAAAGCTACTGAAATGTGGGAAAGCAGCAGGAACAGATGGAATCCCACCAGAAGCACTGAAAACAGACGCAGGGACAACAGCGGACATGCTCACACTACACCACTACTGCAGTAGGTCTGCAAGGAAGGAAAGGTATATGCCCATTGATTGGAAGAAGGTCTACATCGTCAAACTCACGAAGAAAGGCAACCTAAGTCTTTGCAAGAACTGGCACGGAATCATGCTGCTGCCCACTTAAATCAAGCTAAATATTATGCCGCATCACCCTGAAGAGTCTAAAGGATGCTCTGCATTCAAAACTACGACCACAACAGGCTGGCTGGCTGGCTTCAGGAAGAACAAATCATGTGAGCATCAAATTGCAATGCTACACTACTCATCATCATAGAACAGAGTATAGAAAGGCAGTCAACTCTCTTTCTAACTCAACTTCATCGACTTTGAGAAGGCCTTCGACAGCGTTAACCGAGAAGTAATTTGGCAACTGCTTCAACACTACGGAATACCACAAACCTTTATCAACCGCATTCAACAACTATATGAAGAGGCCACATGCCAAGCAATTCACAATGGGAAGCTCAGTGATGCTTTTGAAGTGAAGTGAAGACAGGAGTGAAACAAGACTGCCTACTATCACCCATGATATTCCTGATTTTGGTTGACTGGATCTTGCAACAAACAGTGAGGAGTGAGAAGAGGGGAATATGCTTGACCAGGGAAGAGATCCTAGAAGATTTGGATTTCACCGATGATGACTTGTGTCTAATGTCACACAAACTTGAAGATCCACAGGCAAATCCAACAAGTTGACAGAGGAGGCAAGGTAGAGAAGACGGGACTCCCTTCTGATGAACGTAGAGAAGACGAAGGTGATGAAGATAACCAACCAATGCAACCATCGACAACATCTTCAATCAACATCAACGGGAGATACTTAAAGGAAGTAGCCCGTTGTACCTGCACGTAACTACGCAGCATCGTTTCAGCTAAAGGCGGCACAAGCACAGACAAGGACGTCAAAGCCAGCCAGGATCGGAAAGACAGCAAGACAGGCGTTCATTAACCTGAAACCAGTGTGGAGATCTTCTGCATTCTGCATAAAGCTTAAACAAGTCCCGGATTTTCAACACCAATTAAGTCAAATCAGTGCTTCTATGTGATGGTTGATAGACTTGGCACGTTACTAAAGGGATTTCCAACAAACTACAGACATTCATCAACAACTATCTACGAACATTATAGAAGATCAGATGGCCAGAAAGAATAAGCAACAAGGAACTCCGGCAACGAACCAACCAAGAACCTATCGTTCAGTAAATATGCAGAGGGAGAAAGTGGAGGTGGATTGGACATGCGCTGAGAAGAACATTAAGGGACATCACGAACCAGGCACTCGAGTGGAACCCTGATGTGAAGCGACGAGTTGTTTGTGCCAGCTGAAGGTGATATGGAGGAGATTGTGTGAAGAAGAAATGAGAGCTTGTGGGCTGGCATGGATCCAGGTTCAAAAGATTGCAGAGAACAGAGTGAAATGGAGACGTGCTGCTGAAGCCCTATGTTCCACCAAGAACCCAAGGGACAAATAATAATAATAAGAGTAGAGCCTGAATTATGTCAGAGAGTCAAAGTTTTTTCCATATACAAAGTTAAGCAAAGGATGTTGCTGGAAATCAGTAAGATATGAGGGGATGAATAGAGATCAGAAGAAAAGCATAATCTATAACTACAAATAACGTGCATAACACGATACCTGATAGTTGTGGGTGAATGCTGCTGAGGAGTCAATCCTATATAAGGATGGAACTTGTGTCTACTGCTTTCAGGTTTTAGATGGATACCAACTTGAAGTCAATTAAACCCTCACAAACAACAAATTATGTTAATAGAAAATTTTTTCTTATCGATTTCAGTTTCAAGGCATTTACACAGAAGCTCACAAGCCGATACTGACTGACTAACGCTGTCCTGACCAATCGGAAATATGAATTTCCAAACCATAACACCAAAACAATAGGCATCAAACAGGTGGTATATACCGTGAGTTAGTGGCCGAGTGAGTGATGGTTAGTTATTTAGTGGTTGCAATGACGGGTGTTAGGCTTAATTCCATAACAGGGGAATACAGTCGTCACTAGGAAGTAAGTGTATCCATCGTATTGACGAGCCTTAGATGGGATGAAACGTGAGTCTTGCGTCACACTGTTACTCACTACTCACTAAGTCACATTTTCTTTCTTTCTCTCTGTTTAGATACACACTGGCAATACACGATTTTCAAACAGCTATTCATGATGGTTGTCCACAAGTTCTTGATGTCTACCGTCTACTTGGACTGACCTATGCACAATTGAAACTTTGGTCAAGGTTTGTTTCAATCGGCATATTTCGATGTAAAATAACTTGTCTACTTACTTTCTGTTTAGAGCTATCCAAACGTTTACAGAGGGGATAAAAAACCAAACGATGCCAGAGGATACACATCTTCTGCTGTGTAGAGCAGAAGCCTATCACAGCTGTGGTCAAGTAAGTTTTGCCGATCAGCCTGGTTGATGATGTATCTATCTGACGTCTAAATTCTATAAAATGTTTCTTCTGAAAAAGAGGGACAAAGGAATGGCGCTGGCTACGATCCTTTGGGTTGACTATGAAAGTTCATCAGGTCCATCAGGAGAACCAAACTCGAATTAAACAAATCCATTGGAACTAGTGAATAATTGTTCTTTTCCAAGTTGTGTCAATAACTACTGTAATCAATACCGGGCTTCGAGGGTTCTCCTATGGGACTGGACCAAGTCAACAGTGGACAACCAATGTAAATGTCGGTCAGCAAGGAGTAATGCTAGTACGAAACACCAGGAGAACACTTTACTGACGACGGTCAACAGGTTCGAAACCCAGATGAAGTTGGATACTCACCAGATCGATTTCCAACACGTAATACCAAATCACAGTGGACTGTAATGTCAAGTCAATTCACTTTCATCACTTAGACCTAAGTACTAAACAGACTGACCAGTTATCCACATGAGACGAATACTTGTGATGCTTAGGAAGTAAGAAAAATTTGTTTAAAGAGACAGATAACCACGAGGCGTCAAGGAAAGCATCTACAACAAACTACAGAAATTCATCAACAGCTGCAATTTAAGCTCACTCGATACTGAAAATCAGATGGGCAGAAAGAACAAGCAACAAGAAACTCAGGGAACGGACCAACCAAGAAACTATCGCTCAACAAACATGCAGAGTGAGAAAGTGGAGATGGATTGGATTTGACATACCTTGAGAAAGCCGACTGGGGATGTCACTCGACAGGCCAGGTCATCGAGTGAAACTTGCAGGGGAAACAACGATTTGGGTATCCCAGCTGAGGGTGACATGGAGGAGATCATGTGGGGAAGAAATGAAATGTTGTGGGCAGTCGTGGCGCCAGGTTGAAATCACTACAGAGAAGAGAGTGGAATATGGGCGTGCTCCTGAAGCCATATGTTCCACTAGGAACCCAAGGGGAAAATAATAATAATAACAATAATATAGGAATGTTCTCATTACTGAATCCATGTTCTAAGTTATTATTATTATTTATCCTTTGAGTTCCTAGTGGAACATAGGGCTTCAGTATCACGTCTCCAGTGCACTATATTCTCTACAAACTTTTGGCTCCACGACAGCATAGAAGCTGTCATCATGTTCTGTGTTACCAAGGTATAAGTGAATAATTGTTCAATTTCAGCTTCTTAAAAAAACTTATTGGACCTATCTTTCTCGGAAAACATATGAAAAATGAAAATTCCTAGAAAAAAGCATTCTAGTGTTTGAAATAATAGGTGTAGGGTTTGAGTTTCAGTGGGAACACAATTGGTCACTGAGATTCAGGTACATTAAACTGATGAGTCCCAAATGGGACGAAACATGTTTTTTGAATTCAACTGCTGGGCATCATTGTCAGTAGAGATCAATCAGCTTATTTCAGTATAACAACAGGAAATTATAAGCAGCATCAAATTAATTACTGAAGTCAAGAAAATATATAACATGTAATATGTTCACTTGCAGTTTTGGTTTATTAACAGTTTCACCTATTAATGAATACTGAATACTAATCTAATTCCAACACACGCATGCACACGTGGATTATTATCATTGCTACTTTTCCCTTGGGTTCCTAGTGAAACACAGAGATTCAGTAGCACGTCCCCATTGCACTCTTTTCTCTGCAGTCAACGACTGACCACAACATTAAATTTCTTCTTCACATGATGTCCTCCATTTCACCTCCGCACGCACTACTCGTCGTTTTCCATTTGAATTCACTACGGTCACCAGAGGGGAGTTGCGTCTTCGCTACTCTGCCTCTTCTGACAACTTGTCAGTTTTCACCTGTAGATCTTCGAGTTTGTGTGACAAGACATTAGACATAAATCATCATCATTGGTCAAACAGCAATGCTCATCTACTCACCACTCACGGATTGCTGCATTATCCAATCCACCACAATCAGGAAGATCATGGGTGATAGTAGGTGGAAGCCTTGTCCTACTCTTGACTTCACTTCAATTCAAAGGTGTCACTGAGCTTTCCATTGTAGATCACTTGGCATATGGCCTTTTCATATAGCTGTTGAATGAGGTTGATAATGATTAGTGACACTCCGTGGTGTTGAAGCAACTACCTGGCAAGTGTTTTCTCAGTCGATGGTGTCGAAGGCCTTTTCAAAGTCGATGAAGTTTAGGTGAAGATCCAGTTGACTGCCATTCAATACTTTGTTCTATTATGATGCGTAGTGTAGCTTAGCGTTTCCATTTGATGCTCACATGATTTGTTCTTCTTGAAGCCAGCCAGCCTATTGTGGTCGTAATTTTGAATGCGGAGCATCTTTCAGTCTCTCCATGATGATGCAGCCTTATGTTCTGCTTTGGGTGGATAGCAGCATGATTCTGCGCCAGTTCTCGGAAAGACTTATGTCTCCCTTTTTTGGAAGTTTGACGAGGTAGCCCTTCTTCCAATCAACTGACAGGTACCTTCCCTTCCTTCCTTCCTTCCAAACCTTCTGCAGTACTGGTATGGTGTGAGCATGTCTGCTGTTTTCTCTGGGTCTGTTTTCAGTGCTTCTAAAGGAATTCCACCTGGTCCTAATGATTTGTCGGATTTCAGCAGCTTTATGACATTCAGGACTTCTGCTTTTGTCGAAGAGCCTGTGTTCACTTGTGGTCCTGCCGTTGTTAGTGGTATTTCTGGACGAGTTGTAGGTGGTGGTGGTGATCGATTCAAGAGCTTTTTGTAGTGGTCAGCCCATTGTTTCCTTCCTTTCTCCTCTCTGGTGGTAACTAGCTTTCCTTCACAATCTTTCGTTGGTTTCATCTGTGCTGTGTTGATCTCTTCCCTTACATATGGTAACCTGGTTATTTGATATAGTGTTGTGAGGTCTGTTCTGCCTGCAGCCTGTTCTGCTTCACTTGTCAATTTGTCGTAGAAGTGTCTTTTGTCTTTGCGCGCACTCTTCTTCACTGCTTCGTCCAGTTCGCACACTTGGATATACGGATATAATTCGTCTGAATTCACCAACCAATCATCACAGATTATTAACTATCACCTCATTGGATAATCGATTTTTCTGCTGTGACCTTTATTTTGATTTGTCGAAATAAAATTTTGTCGAGGTCTACTATTAACTCACGTGAGTAGTTGTAAGCCACTCACACCGATAAGCCGTATTAGCTAGCTAAATCAGAGTGATGTAAACGCCGGTCACGTGGATTGCTCATTTTTACCAGTGCACATCATAAATGTATTCAGAATGGTTGAATCTAGGGAGATATATTGTTGAATTTCCGTAAACTGCTTGACTAGACTGGTCATATTTAGAATCAAATCAGTTGTTTGAAAATTAAACAGTTCATGGTTTCCCTTAAAAAGTAAACATTCAACATCTGACCTAGTGGCTTTATTTTCTTAAGAGAAAACTTTATATAAATAAATATTGGTAGCTAAATGAAGATTGATGTTTAGATAAATTTCAGATTTTATCAATCTTATTGTGATAACCTGAACTATATTGGCAAGCTGCATATGGTATTGTTTTTGTACATTGTAAGCTTCATTTGCATTCATATGGATTCTCTGTGCTTACTAGGTACCCTAGGACAAAACTTCCATGTTATCGTTTGCGTAGAGGCAAGTGCCCCTTGATCGTACCTTGCCCTATGTAATTCGTTCCAGGAGAACGGGAACAGTTGAGTTGTTAGGTAGACTATTCTTAGAAAATTTTTCTATTCTATCAGTTTACTTCTAATCTTTTTATCTTCTATTCAATCAGTATGAAAAAGCAATTATGGATATACAACGTGTGATACACTTGAAGCCAAATGTAGCGCAGTACTATTTACTACTTGGTCATAATTTATCACAACTCTCACATATTCAATTGGTTCAACGTTTTGTTCAACACTATTTGAATTTATCACAAATTCAAAACAAAAATAATAATCATGAACATGTAAAACAAATAGTAAGTGTTCAATGGTAGTGTGTTCAATACAATTGCTGATAATTTTCCGCATCGTTGATTGGATAGAGTTTATCATCTCTTATTGGCTCCCATTTGGTGTCCCCGATACTGTCTGTACTTTCAGTAGGATAGTAAGGAAAGGGTTTGAGTAGTAGTGGGGTAAACATAATTCATCAGTTATATCTAGTTGACGAGTCCCAAATGCAAGGGAACGTGCGTCCTGCATTCTATTGGTTTTTTCAACTGATATCTGTCCGTAGTATAAAGTATCTCGACTTTGTTCATTTAGAGCAGAACTCATCAAGAAACTACTCATGCCTGATCAGGTTTGTTAGTTGTATTATTTACCCCCTAGTTTTACCCAAATGCTTGCAGAGATTCGCGCCTTCTTTTGTTTATCCCACTACTTATCAAGACTGAACTCTCATTGGTTATCAACGCTTCTAACTTACCAATGAACTTAGTGTTCGTCAGGGTCGTTTAGAATGTGTATATTCTGCATAGCTGTCATCTGTTTTTGACTCTTGTTGAGACAGGAAACATTCGCTCCCAGGGGTCCATGTTCTCTTCTTGTCTTCGCATAGTGTTGGTTGATGTTCTAATTAGCTATTACAGCAGAGTCTTTTTGGCACATTAAGTCCATAGACTTCTAGGTTGTATTTACTAGTCATAGCAAGTTGTTTTGGTGAATCAAGGATGCACAGACTCAAAGTTTTGATGCAAAACCTGATTATCTAACAGAAAGACTTGTAACACTTTGTTACCGGTTGATTGACTAAAGTTGGAATGTAAACCAGAATCACGACAGGATTCGAGACAGTATTCCGATGCTTTATCAGCTACTAACTAGGTGCTAAATTCATGTCAATCACCGAGAATATTTTCCGTTTTTATGTGAACCTGTGATATCGCTTCACAATCATTCCGCCAGTCGTCCAGTCTGGACCATCTTCTTCAGTCCAAAATCAAGTTGCGAATCGATAGTTATTCATGAAGCTAACAATTGATGATGACATTGGGGGGTCACCGCGGTATTTCCGGAAGTAATAGAGGTTGGAAATGTGGATATCGGTTTCATCGTGGCATGGGACTCAGCTGAACGGATATATGACCTCTTTAAGGGTAATTGAATCAATTGAGAGAATTAAGTAACTTAGGAATACTCAAATGCAACCTAGTGTCTGAATTGCTAACGAGTTCGCCGCAAGACCTGAAATCCCCGGGTCTGATCCTTGGCAAGACAAGTTAGTGGCTGGGTTTTCCTGAGGAGTCTCGTGTTAGGACGAAACAGGCACACAGTGCTGCTAGGTTTTGTAATGTTCTCCCAGGGACATCAGTCCTTGAGCAGTACTAAGTTCATATTATGTGAACTCTTTCTTTACGAATGACGCTACATAGTGGAGGGTGTAGAACAATAAACCGAAGCTCTAGACATGAAACTTAACAAGAGAAATCGAAGATAAAAGCAGAATCTCAAAGTTCCAGTTACTTGACAATTCAAGGAACTTACTGGACGACAAACTATAAAGTTTTTCCCGTTTTTTCATTCCAATGACCTGAAATTGCTAGCATATGAATATGACTGATAGATTGATGATTTTTACGATGAATGAATCCCGACACATTTCTAAAATAAATTACTGTAATGGTTGTTAGTGATCCCTGAAGTTTCAGTAGGAAGTCGTAACCGGTGGAGTAAACGAAGCCGGAAGTGAAGACGGTTACTCGATAACGGCATTCAATTAGATTAAATGACTATTCAAATTGATGAATACGCGGACTACGCCCGAAGACAAGATGATGCTTAGATGTTCTACAAGAAACTTGCCTAGTAGTACATACCATGTGAACAGCTTCACTACAGAAGTTAAGCTGACAGATTCACAGATCGTTCACATATCTTTTATGAAAGTAAATATCTCTTTGCATAAGTCTTCGACACCTGACATACGCGTATCAGCCAGCAGGAGTTGTAGGACAATCCCAACTGTAACACCACACATCGCGTAACTAAATTCCTGTTCACTATTAGCATTCATATCAACCAATCCCACTGCGAGAAGATTCAGTCTTCCTCCTAATCTACACTTTTTTTCGGTGGGACTTGCCGAACTTCCATTAATGTTCTGTTGAGTGACCTCTGTTTGCATATGGGGTCCAATGCAAATCCCTTAATATTGTTTGATTATTCATCGTGTTGTGATGTGATTAGTTGTGGTAAGCAGTGGGGTTTCATCCCATTTACTACTCATCGGCTGGATGTGCACTTGTCCCAGGGTTTTACCGAATTGATCGGTTACTCTTGGCATACGGGTTCCTTCATGTTGTCATGGGAGCCTAGTGGATAACGTTGTGGTGTTTGGGGTGATGTATGTTGTGTTTCACCCCCAATTAGAATACCATTACTCGCTGGTGTGCAGGTACATCCAGTTGACGAGACCCGCGTGGGACGAAATGTGCATCTGGCTTCCTTTGTTAACCACCAACTAGCAAATAGCATCAACGCGTTTTGCATAGGTTTTACATTTGTCAAGTTTAAGGCGATACTTCAGGACTGGACCACACTTAGTCCTAGTTTTAGGACAGCTAGTGAGATAGTGTATCCAGCTGACCAATTCACTTACTTAGAGAGTTGTATCAATGCGAATAGGTTAGTTACCGCCTAAACGTCAACTCAGATGTTAGAAAAGTGACTGGTATTCTCCACCGTTAGCCATCTTTGGCATCATCAAGATATTTGTTTCCCTAACAGAGGATGAGCATACTGTTCAGCAGTCTGCTCTATCCTATTGCATGGCTGTATGATATGGTAGTCTAAGGCAGACAGTATGAGAAGTTTAGCTGAATTGAAATAAACTCAGCAACCTTGTGAACTCTTGTTCATACCTGTTGTGTTAGCCGCAACTCCACACGGAATGATTCGTTCGTAGAGTACTTTTCACTGATGTCTTCGAAGCAGGATTACTCACTTTGGACTGAAGTCGTGATTCAGCAGCGGTAAGGCAAGGAAGATACGTCTGCAAATCGGCAGTTTCTGAAGTGGCTCTGATGTGTATTGTGCTTGTCGAGTTACTCCCTACCTTGATGTTCAATTTTTAGTCGAAGCAGGATTCAACTAGAAGAACGTTAGGGGTAACCAAATTCATACATAACATCAAAGCACAAAGTCGTTCTCTGAAGTGCTATAGATCAATGGTAATGAAATTTCAGTGATACGACTGAGAATCAATGGGATTGACACAAATATGATCACCACTTTATCACCTTAGAACTTTTCAACACTTAAAGCGATATAAGCTGGCTTTGAGTTTCGGTGGGAACTACACCACCCACTAGGATAAATGTACATCCAGCGGACAAGTCTCAAACTGGATGAAAGGAATGTCCTCAATTCCACTGCTAACCACAAGGACGAAATTAAACTTCCATAAAGCTGATTATGCAGGCTGTATATTGACCAAGTTCCTTTAAAATGCAGCTCTAGGCTTTGTTTCCTTCCAGTTTTTGTACAATTACAAGTCCTTTTACGCTGGCATTATAATCGTTTCACGCAAAGTAATTTTTGAAAAACATGAATAGTAGATAAATGTGATTCCTTATCCATCTATGTATGACATATTTCGGAAATAATTGGATGTTGAGGGAAATCTACTGTTATCTTATCTTTGTGCTTGAGTTGGGCTATTTCATCTTCATAAATCATGCTGCGTTGTAGTCAGGTAATTTAGTTACATATATATCCAGATGAATCAGACTGCTAAATTATACGGACAATCAGCGCGAAATATTTTCCCCAAATGTAGGCAGTTGGTAGGTCTAAATTCCATGACTCATTAGGTGAGTGGATTGAGTATGCGGTGTGATTCTATAGGCCAGTTTAATAACTGCTGGAATAGCCAATCAGATTAATGTATGAGAATACAGATATGCCTACCCAGATGGCCTAGAAAGATTTAATTGGTTATTTCATTCATTGATATCGAGTGGCCTTCAAAGTCAGTCAGTTTACGAGCCTACACAAGTGTACGCAAGACCAATCACGTCCAAGACTGAATCGGTGAAATCAGGTGTTCCAGTCAATTACAATCAAACGAAGTTATACAAGATTACGATTCAATTGTTATTTATTCCCTCGTATACTACAGTTGTATTACATAATACAGCACATAAATTCCCTGAGGTTTTTTTTATTGAAGACAATCGCTTCCAAAAAGAAAAGAAGAAAAATATGGAATTAGTTAGATATTACTGTCGTTTTTGTTTTTGGTCATCTTTACTTAGGCATTATCATATTACTATTTGGGCAAATACAATGATGCAGATTCAGTTTTATCCAAAAGTCAAACAAAACACAAATCTGTTCAACTAGATTATGTTCTGTTGCATGCTTTAGTTTTGGATAAACTCCAAAGAACAAATGAATCAGTGAATCTATTGGAAAATACGCTGAAAAAATCAGTAAGTATACATTGAACTTATTTGTATAGAAGGTAGTAGAACAGCGAATATACTAGTACAGCTCTGATCATGTGCTTGTGCGATAATTTACAATGTACCAACTGACTTCGACTTCCTAAATGCCTCACTGTCTGAATAGAGCTGCTCTTGTCAACAGTCTACTCAAATCAAGATGTATGTTCTTCCTTTAATGCACACTCTGGAAAGAGGACATACTACCTGTCTTTTTGTAGTGATACTGAAGACCAATTTTGCAACAATTGAAATAACCAATTAAATTTCTTTATTTCACCAAGATCTGCCACTGTAGTTGGCTTAAAAAAGAAGATATTCCGGGACTGTTTTCCTTCGCCAAGAAAATTGTATTATCTGATGTTCAAAAGGAAAAAAACATGAATTTTCATTTCTTCTATCCACTAAATGTCATTAAATAACTCACTCTGTTCTGATTGGCCATTTCAAGGTCACCAACGAGGTGTTTCAGGGTTGGGGTGATTTTCGCCTTACCAAACGAACACAAGCCTGGGAGGCAGGCTAAAGTCTCTTTTAAAAATTAAAACGTATGAATATGGTTATATTGGGTGATGATTGAATGTGAAATGGAAATTTCGACCACGGCTGGACTCGAACCAGTGACCACCGGACTACCGGCCTAATGCTCTACCAACTGAACTACGAGGTCCGTAAACTCAGTGGTCGCTGGTCCAAATCTGGCCTGCTGTCCAAATATTCATTTCACCTTCTATCATTACCCAGTATCAGTTATACTAGTCTACCAAACCATGGTTATCTCTGATAGTCAAAATGACAATCACTATGGTTATAAACAGTGACAATACTGTTTTAGGTAGAAATTGGAGAATCGACAGTTGATACTTAATTCTGCGAAAGTTGAATAAGAAAGTTTCGAAACTGAGTTACGTAACTGTAACATAGAATATGTCCAAGGCAAAATATGTGATAAAATAATCTGACAAAATGAACTTGTTCCCTATTCTCATGGCCTTATAACATAGGCTTATTTAACTACCAGAGTCTCTGGAAAATACTCGAAACCATAGTGATTCATTAAGCATGCCAAATGATGTTAACTACGTAGTACTGATTGAAGCCTACCAATTTAGTTCGTAATGTTGCCAACCAACTCACTAACCGAGGGAATGGGGTGTGGTATCAGTAGTTAGATGAATGGCTCAGTGATAAGTCTCTGGAAATAGAGTTTAGTGACACAGTTTATAGTTAGCAATGTGAAGCTCAGATTTACCTTTCGGATTAGGACAAAAAGTCATAAGCCCTATACTGGGTGGAATTCTGTGTCTACTGATTCCTTAGAACTACAATCCAGTAAACGTTCTCCACAGATATTACGTAGGATTCTCTTTAAGGATGGGATTTTAACCTACAAACTCTCTTTGTAGGCTAAAAGCTTCTATTAGGCAGAATAATTTGGTTAACCAAATCCCTTTGCAACGATTGGCAAGTTCAGTTACATAGGTCACAGTAGTCGACCAAGGTTATTAAGAATAACTGAGTACAAGAACTTGACTAAATCAGGATTGTTACATCTTATTAAGATAAGAAATACAGAAAAAAGCTTGTCTGTAGCTGGGTAAGATAGAGTGACAGTCCTTAGAACTAATTTAGTCAGATGGAGGGAGAGACTGAAAACCGTATCATCACTGCTTATCGAATCAACACCAATTACATGTTATTACAGTACCCAAGTTCATTCCTGTCAGGCAGATTGCAATCACAAACCACCAGTAACTAGTCAGAAAAAGAAGTGGGAGCATGTCTCTATTCAATATATTTTTCCAAAGCTAAATGATATTGATGGATTTTCTGGTTCATGACCAGACCGACGGAATTAGTGAGGAAGAGGTTGAGAGTTGAAGTTAACTGTTCAAGTGAAAATGGGAGTTCACCATTTGGTCCAAACAGTCTGCGTCATACAGGGAGTTGACACCATTTATTTGTTCGGTATGTAAAGTATCCGAAATCAAGTCGTCCTCAGCGTCGCTAACAACAGTCTTCGGACGATGAAATTCTAAGACTGTGCAGTCTAGTGAAGAAAACTAGTTGGAAGTGATGTCCAATGACTCTCCTTTTTGACTGACATCGAATTATCAAAGGAACCAATTGAGCTTATGTATTATTACTTGCATTATACAGCCATTCACAGATGAGAATGTCAAAACCAGCCAGGATTGGAAAGACAGCAAGACAGGCCTTCTTTGACCTGAAATCAATATGGAGGTCCACTGCACTCAACCCAGCATAAACAACAAGATCTGGATTTGCAACACCAGTTCAGTCAAGTAATCCAGTGCTCACACGTGATGCTTGAAAGAGTTGGCAGGTTACGAAAAGCATTTCCAACAAACTGCAGACATACATAAACAGCTGCCACCTACGCTTACTCGATATTGAAGATGGTGATCAGATGACTTGAAAGAATAAGCAACAAGGAACTCTGGCTGGTAACGAATCACCCAAGAACCAATTGCTCAACAAATATGCAGCAGAAAGTAGAGATGAATTGGATAGACCATACACTGAGAAAACCATTTGGGAACATTATGCAGCAGACCAACGAGTGGAAGCGAATGGGGAAAGGACGAGTTGGGCGTCCTCGCTGAGGGTAACATGGAGGAGATCACGTCAGGAAGAAATGAAAGCCTGTGGGCAGGCATGGAGCCAGACTTCAGAGAAAAGAGTGCAATGGAGACGTGCTAGTGAAGCCATATGTTCCACTAGGAACCTAAGGGACAAATAATAATAATAATACCATGGTTTATTGGACCGAATTGACCGGTCTCTATTGGCATATGGGCTCCTGCGTATATGAGTCGATACTGCCTGTTTTAATTATATGCAGTAATGATGAATAGTGGCTAGCAGTGGAATCTAGGATGCTTATTTCACCATCACTCATCCTGGATTTTACTGCTAGCCACTATCCATCATTACTGGGTCTTATGTATGTTATGAAAATGTCAGCTACCTGGAAACCTTGATTAGTTATTTTGGTAATATGTTAATTCCAGAAATCCTTACTCTGACAATCGCATAATTTTTCAATACCCATTTCTTTAGATCCTTTAAAAGAGCTACTACATTTATGTACATGTAATATTAAACTTTACATTCGAAGGTGAACATTTAAGCCAGGTTGATGTTGTTGCCATTGGAAGTTACTTGACCCTTACCTTTTAGCAGACATAATTATATTACATGTGGAAAACTTAGCCGAGAACCTAACTGACCCAGCTCATCTATATGGAGAAGATATGTCGACGATATCCTCTTAATTATTTGTATGAAAACTCAATTCAATTCAAAACCAACTGAAAGAAGTACGTAGCAGCGTATAACCTTGACATGTGTAGAAGAGAACGATAACTGTTTGTCTTTCTTGGACATATGAAATACTCGGTGGCAGAATGGATCCGTCTGCAGGGCAATATTTCAACTATCATTGTGTTTATCTAGTTCAGTACAAGCCAGTGTCATTAGGATATAATAAATATCCACTGAGGATACTTTAGGAGAAGAAGAGGAACATTGACTACTCACGAAACATATCGTTGAGACAAGCCACAGAATTGACATGGCTACTTCCTTTAGACCTATTTTCAAAATGTGTTGAACACGGATTCTCAAGTTTGTTGAGGCCTAAGTAATTCAGAAGTTTAAACCACTTTTGTGTGTTCAACAACCAATTTGTTATCATATTAAATCCATCTTGATGAATTTAACTATGAAAACCAAGTTCCATGTATTGTTATTTTCCTTTTGTTGACTTTCATTGTTGTTTGACCTTTAATTCAGCCGCCCTACTTGGTCTCGTTTCATTTTCTCACCCAGCTTATCCTCGAGAATTTTAATGTAAATCCCTATGACGAGTACGTGTGTGTGTGTGTATGTATGTGTTTGGATCAGATAGTTCGAAGTGTTTTGCTCAATAACACGTTACACACATGGTTCAGACAATTTACATCTTCTTATTGTTTTGTTGGAGTTTACAAAGCGAACCAATTATTTTAAAGCTTACTCTGATTTGAAACTGCTATGGTCAGTATCGCTGCACCGATAACTACCGTCAGCCACCAAAATTTGACAACCGCATAGTGGACTGCCGACCTAACTTGCTAAAAGAGCACCAATCACCATGAACGGGGGGAACCTAAAGGATGTAGCGTCTATCACCTATCTGCCCACCTAGGCAGCGTCGTTTCAACTACAGGCGGCAATGGCACAGATGAGGATGTGAAAACCGGGATCAGTGAGACAGCAAGAAAGGCTTTCACTATTCTGAAATAATCACTGCACTCAGCACAAGCAACAAGATCCTGATCTTTACCACCAATGTCAAGTCAGTGCTGCTATGTGATGGTTCGGAAACTTGGCGTGTCACGAAAACCACTTCCAACAAACTAAAGACATTCATCAACAGCTGCCGTCTTTGCTCACTTGATACTGAAGATGGTGATCAGATGGCCAAAATAATTAGAATAAGCAACAAGGAACTCTTACTGGCAACGAACCAACGAACCGAGAAGCTATCACCCAACAAATATCCAGAAGACGAAAGTGGAGATAGATTGGGCATACACTGAGAAGGCCGATCGGGGACATCACGCGCCAGACTATGTCGTTGAGTGTAATCCAACTAAAGGGGAAACAACGAGTTGCGCGTCCTAGTTGAGGGTTACATGGAGGAGATCATGTGAAGAAGAAATGAAAGCTTTTGGGCAGTCGTGGTGTCAGATTGAAAAGACTGGAGAGGAGAGAGTGGAACGGAGGCGTGCTATTGAAGTCGAATGTTCGACTAGGAACCCAAGGGAAAAAAATGGTGGTGGATTGCCTCCCCAGCTTACTAAAAGAGAGAATACACAATGAACGTGTTGGAAATGTGTACTATGATACGAAGACTGACTACATTAAACACAGAACATGTCTAACTATATATACACAGTTTTGCTTTTAAAATAATCATACTGATTGGTTGATCGATTGTCTGTCTGTCTAACTGTATATATGATTAACACAGACTACATTTTGATTGGTCGATTTTCCAGACTAGTCTTTTTTCGCTGTATCCCGTTGTCAAAGCCAAGTCATTCACAAGGTCACCCTACTAAACTAACCAATCACCTTTCAAAATCTTGGCCAAGAAAGGTAAATAAAGAAACCTAATTGGCTGTCTTACAGTTGCTAGAGTGGCCTTTGCAAAATCCTAGAATTTTGATCAAGAACCCATTTTAGGAATGAAATAACCTCACCCCTAATCTATAGAGTAACTTTAAACTCATAAAAGCGAAGAAACAGATAGTATGATATACTTTGGGTTTTATGAGGATATTATTTAACTAATGGAAGTATTCACTACGGACTGACTTCAGTTGGGGAACGTTGAAAAGCTGAGTGGATTGGTGGCAGCTATTTCGTCCTTGTGAGCCACCAATGACCCGGCCTCGTCAGAGATCGACCTGAAAATCTTCACGTTTCGCTTTGAATACCACCTTCAAAAAACCTCCATCAACCCCTGCCTACATGACTTCAAAGTGATAATTGTGGCATGCCTCAAGTTAACGCGTTCTCAGTGGTTCGTGAAGACTTTGCCGGTGCTAGGTAATGGGTGCGGACTGCTGGTGTGTCATACTAAGGTGAAATGGCTGCTGTCCAATGTTCCCAGGATTTCAGTAGTTCACACATTTTAACCTTGAATAAGACTTGAAATTTCTGTCTACCTACTGATTCCGTACCATTTTTGCTAATTTCTTTCTCAACTATTTTAAACGGCATCTTTTACGACAGAAAAGCCTATCCAAAGGGCTGGAGTAACTTTACAAAACTATCGATAGAATTCCGTTAGCATCTAGGACCAGACAATATGAAACTGGTTATTCCTATCTAATACAGTCATACAAGAAGCCTGTCACTACTTGAATAGCTCAATGACTACTTCTTTTGGTGAATCACTTAATGATGTGGTTTATAGTATCAGGATATATTTCAGCGCGCTCCAGGTTGCCTTTTCTATGCAATACCAAGAAAACGTTTCAAGTGAAGGCAACAAGGTGAATTGGAAATTATTTGGCGATTACTGGCAACTTTAAGCTTAGGTCATAGGTTTCACTGGCTCATATAACGAACTTGTCGACCAAAATATTAAAATATTATTCGCTTACATTCAGTACAGACAGATACAGATTTCACGGGAACAATAAAAACGATGAACAGGCAGAAAACATACAGTACTAGAAATGGTACAACCAGACAACGTAAGAAGTACAGACAAATAAGAATACTTCCTTCTAGTTAACTACATACACGAAGGTCTCATGTATACAATGCACAAAACGAAGGAGAAAAAAAACGCAATCAAGGAGACAAAAGAAGAAGAATCAATACATTGATGTAGAAATCACAACATATTGGTAGACTGAAATGTTTTTGTTCATAGTTCCGTAAAATTCGTTAAATATTTGTTACTACTTACAAATCATGAGTAGCGCAAAATAGAAGGTAAAAGATATTTGCATATATATTCTATATTTCTTCCATTATCTACTCTATAAAAAATACTAGCATCCCAAAAAAGGAACTGAAACAGTACAACTCTATGATCACCTTGGTCAGTATTATTTGAAAATGAAAAAGTTTTCCGCAGCTATTGATGCCTTCACAAATGTTATTCACCTCAACTCCCAACAACCACACGTAAGTTAAATGTTTTACAAATGCAGCATATATATATGTAAAACGCAACATTCAAAGTGATCCATAATGGAAAGCTCAGTGACGCCTGTGAAGTAAAGACAAGTCTGTCTACTATCATCAGTGACCTTCCTGATTGCGGCCGACTGGATCATGCAACAAAACCGTGAGAAGAGAGAAGATGGGCATTGCAGGTTGACCGATGGAAAGGGACCAGAAGATAATTTGGATATCGCCAACGATGATGATTTATGTCTAATGCCTAATGTCCCACAAACTTGAAGATCTACAGGTGAAAACTGACAAGTTGTCAGAAGAGGCAGAGTAGCGAAGACGCGACTCCCCTCTGGTGAATGTAGAGAAGACACAGGTGATGAAGATACCCAACCAACAACAGCATAAACAACAACAAGCATCAATCACAATCAACGGAAGAAATGTGAAGGAAGTCGTCTCTTTCACCTACCTAGTAATCTAGACAGCATGGTTTCAACTACAGGTGGTGACACAGGCACAGATGAGGATGTGAAAACCAGTCAGGATCGGAAAAGCAAAGCAAGACAGGCTTTTATTAAATTGAAATGATCAGTGTGGAGATCTACTTCACTGCACTCAGCGTAAAGCCTGAACAAGATCCGGATTTTTTATACTAAGTGAGTCACCTCAGTGCTTGCTTATATATGGTTCAGAAACTTGGCATGTCACGAAAACCACTTCCAACAAACTAAAGATATTCATCAACAGCTGCCGCCTTTGCTCACTTGATACTGAAGATGGTGATCAGATGGCCAGAATAATTAGAATAAACAACAAGGAACTTTGGATGCTGACGTACCAACCAAGAACCTATCACCCAATTAGTATGCAGAGAGAGAATGTGGAGATTGGTTGGGTTGGGCATACACTGAGAAGACCTATTGGAGACATCATCCGCCAGACTATGTCGTTGAGTGCAGTCCAACTAAAAGGTAAACGACGAGTTGCCCGTCCTGGTTGAGAGTGACATGGAGGAGATCATGTGAAGAAGAAATGAAAGCTTTTGAGCAGTCTTGGGGCCAGGATGGAAAGTTTGGAGAGGAGAGAGTGGAATGTATTTGGGTTACTGATTTCGAATTTTCGACTAGGAACCCAAGGCTAAGATAATAATAATAATAATAATAATAATAATAATAATAATAATAATAATAATAATAATGTGTAGAGATTTGAACACAAGAGGAAAGTCAACTGATGAGAGTGTGAACTGTCATAGACTCTGGTAGCTAGGAATTGTGTTACGTATGGAAAACAACAAAAGTTGTTTGATTGAATCATATTATAAGTCGATGAAGTTTTTGGTTGTTGACCAAACCCACGTATGAGAATCTTGAGTTTCTAGTTGTGCCTCCTCATCTTCCTATGTTGTTGAGTAATACTGATGGAGAGAATGACAGAGTCATAGATACTTTCGTCTTCTACTGGTATCTGTGGTCAGTATTCTAATCAGAAGTTTCCCATTTCATTTTCAAAGGCATATTTATATCGTGCTCAATCTAAATTGCGATGGATAATATCACAAGTGGAAGAAGCATCAAATTTATCAATGAATCAGTCAGCTTGTTACCATGATGAGGAAGTTTTGAATGATATAAGTCAAGCACTTGTATTGATCACTACAAAAACCTCGCCGTTCTATGAAACCAACTTTTATGGACCTCTAAAATTTATCAATTTACTTGATCAGTGTTTACTTACCCGGATTGTTTATTTTGCCTTACATAAAAGATACACAAAAGCTATACTAAACTGTAATGAAGCTATTCAGCAAAGTCCAAAATGGACAAGAATATGGATTTACCGGTAACTCAGTGATTAACCGTTGCTTTGCTTACAATGTCCATATTTCATAATTTCTAAGAATATTTTGAACTACTCATGAGTAGTATAATTTTAACACAAAAAATGTGAAGGGGAGGTGAAGTATTTCAATACTTGTGAAAAAAATAACCGCCAATAGAGTTTTCGCACTAATGGAACACTATAAATCTTTGAGAATCTTGAAATAAGATAACTGTTCACTGAACCTTTTGCCATTCTAAACTCTGCGAATTCAAAGAATAATAGGTAGTGGCCAGGGGCGGGGAAAACTATAACTTACTAATAGGAAGACATATCCAACTGAGACTGGATTGGGACGAATCACTCATCCCAGTTTCCTCCTGTTAGCCGCTGTTTGTCATTCATTCCACTTTTGCCGAATAATCCTTGCTGGAGTTTTTTGTGAATAGATGAACAACAAGGTTACATTTTAAATGGTAAGATTTCGTTTCACTAGGTTTTCGTCAGCTGTCTGCAGTCTTTTTAGAGCAGAACTCTTTGTAAAACTGGACAAAGTGCCTTATTACTGACATGTTTAGTCAGTGGCTAGGTACTTTCTCTCCAAAAAGATTGTAGATTGGGTTTCCGGTCAAGTGTCTAATGATTGACTTTTTGTCGGAATGCTGCAACTTTAGACGCGACTCTTTACCTCAACTTATAGTTGGATAGCATTCAAAGTTAGCAAAATAAACACTAAGTGAATATTCGTGAAATATTTAGACAGATTTCATTTCTCAGTGAAGTCATGGCTGATAAGGATGTTATCAAGTCTAATGATGAATATTCGGCCGCATATTATCAAAGCTCAAGAAACACTGAATGTTTATCCTGAACTGAACCATCATTTAAGTTAAATCATGTTATCTTTCGCTAGTTTAGGGTTTACTTAATGTTTGAATGCCTGTTAGAATATCTGGGATAGTGATAGTTTAATCAGATTTGTGTTATTAATATTAGGTGATGATTGTTTGTGAAATGAAAACCTGAACAACAGAAGTACTCCTAGTTATTGATCAGAGAATCTACTCATTCTTCAACGCCTTGTCACATGTTGTTCTTTGTTACTTGTAATCTCTCGTTACTGAGTTGATATGCTTGACAACATTTGGCTCCTATGTAAACGCCTTGATACTGCCTTGTCGGCATCTAACAGTGGAATACAAGACGTGCATTTCAGCTGATTTGAGACTTGTCAACTGTATATACCCCAACACCCCAGTGAAACGATATTGACGTTCTCACTGAACACAGTACAAAGTATTATCCACTCAGCGGAAGTCAAGGAATACAACACAGTACAGGAATAGGAAATGAAAAGTATCATGGGGTGCCCCTCTTGCCCAAGTGGGCTAGTGGACAACGCTGAGGCATTCGAGGCAATGAATAGTGGATTGAAATTCCAGGGGCAGCAGCAACGTCACTCACTGAGTCGTAGGTGTATCCAACTGACGAGTCCTGGACGGGTTGAAAAGTGACTTAGTGATTTAGTGACCGGATGATCAGACTGTCATGTTAAGAATTGATGATCGTACGTTCGATTTTGCATTGGGCTATAGGTGTGCAATGATCCCAAACCATAACGAAGACAGACAGATAGACAGGCAGACGAAATCAGTGTAGAACCTCCTACACATAAGGTCATTCGTTCAAGTTACCACACTTTCCAGTGGCAGTTTACAAAGAACAAACGGATAGATAAAGACTGATATCACCGGAGATGATGGTGTATAGTAGAAGATAGAACTTACAAATGAAGGTTAGTACGAAGATGTAAAAGAGTGGATACATCTGTAACATATCACCAAGAGTCCTTAGCCACTAGTTGTTGTCGTCTCGAGGACCTCAGTCAGATAGTGTACATTTCCATATATGTTTCACACCAAAAGTCAGAGGCTTAATACATTGATACCAGGGCTTGGCCTGACCACCCTAACCTCTTCTCTTCAAATGTCAAAGAAGAAGTTCACCAACAGACATGACAAATCACGATCACAAATACAATCCCGCTCCCCTTCTTCCTACCATAACTCTAGTCAAGGAAACTGAATCCTTCATGACTCAATAATTATTCACTCATGTTTACATTGGCTTTGATTGATTTGTTTTCTCCGTTTCCACTTTATTTCTTCTCATCTTAGTGGAGTATTCAAATATATTTTAAGAACATATAATTTCTGTGAAGCTGATTTAAATTATGCAATAGAGAAAAATGAAACTTGTTCTCTAGCTTATTACAATCGTGGATTATGTCATCAAACTCAAGCTAATTGGATTAAAGCAATACAAGTGAGTTGAAGATAAATAAACGATTACTGAATAAGAAAGAGACTGGAGAGAATGATTGTTTCAACAAGAGGTGTGGAAATCATCTAGTCATAGAATTGATAATATGAATCTCCTTAGATATTATTATTTGTCCCTTGGGTTACTAGTGGAACAAAGAACTGCAGTAGCACCCCCCTTCATCCCACTCTCTTCTCTGCAATCTTTTGAACCTGGCTCATATGATCTCCTCCATGTCACCCTTGTCTCAGACGCCCAACTTGTCCTTTCCCATTTGGGTTCCAATCGAGGGCCTGGCATGTAATGTCCTCGAATGGTCTTCTCAGTGCATGCCCAATCCATCTCCACTTCCTTCTGTTTATTTGTTGATCGATAATCTCCTTAGATAAATATCATCATATTATTTTGGCACATAAGTGAATTAATAACACTACTGTATAGTTCAAGAGCTTTCATTTGACCTTTTAAACACTTATTTATAACTCCTAGTTAGAAAGTAATTGGTTCTCTCATTCCTTGGTATGTTATACCTATGAGATAACTTGTGTTAGTTGGTTGGAGGCGATCAGCAGGAAGCTGTGCCCCACATAGGTTTCGTCCCTTCTGGCACTCGTTTGCAAGGCATATCTGCAACCCCAACCGAAGTGATGTCTCGCCTGAGACTCGGACCCTCACCAACCAGTTTCGTATTCAGTGTCTTTACTACTGAGGTATTCGGGAAGCGACTAAATTCCTGTAGGACTGGCTTACATGTACTGATTGGTCACACGAGTGCAACTAATTTCATGTTGTCTAGTCCTGAGTGCAGACAGAATTCTATCGATCTTATTTGCAATATAGCAACCAAGCTAGGAAGCTCAGCATCACGGTGCACATTAGTAGATGTTAGTTGTTTGGAGGTAATCAGCAGGAAGCACTGCCTCACCTAGGTTTCGTGCTTTTTGGCACTCGTCATCAAGGCGTGTCTACAACCCCGACCGAACTGATGTCCCGCATGAGGTTCGAGCCCCCGTGAAGTGACCACCTATCCTGGGATAAACCGTTCTTGTTTCCATATCAGTTAATGCCTACAAAAGCAACAGTTGAATTATGGTGATATACCTTCGATTCTTCAATATCTGGAACAAGATAAATAAGCGAACAATATTCTTTTCAGTTAGATCCTCTTCAGGCTTCCCTTTAATGCAAATAGGTTTATATATATATATATATATATATATATATATATATATATATATATAAAGGTAGACCAATCATATAGATCTATCGGTTAATGTGGTAAATATTTCAAGTTGTTATTCATCGTAGACTGACATCAGTTGGAGAGGAACAAAGGAAACCTCGGAGCACTGGACAGCTGTTTCGTCCGACTAGCATGGAACTCCTCAGCAGTGCGCACCCATGCCCCCCCCTAGGGCTCGAACCCCCAAAATCCAATTGAACTGCTGCTCATTGGTGACTAGCTTTGAGAGGTATTTCCGAAGTTCCAATGAGAAGTCGTGAACAGTGGGGGGAAAGCCTGATGGTCATGAGGACAGTTACTCAACGATGATATTGGGTGGCGGTTGCGCTATATCATGAGCTAACAGAAGTTGGAAATATGGACCGTTGGGTCCTGACCCACTGGCTCAATGTTGACGTGTTGGCCACGGAACCTGAAGGTCACGGGTTCGACCCCAGGGGAGGGGTCGAGGGTGCCCACTGCTGGGGAGTCCCAAACTAGGTCTAGACAGCTGTCCAGTTCTCATATGTTTCCTTTGTTCCTCCAACTGATGTCAGTCTAGGATGAATAACAACTTGAAATATTTCCAAATCCCCACAACTCCCTCAAAAAAGTGTTAACGTTGACTAAAGCGCATGCAATATAGTTGATGGTAATGTTTCTCATGGAACCAAGAAAGCAGCATGAAAATGTAGACACTCCGATGATCAAAATGGGTCGAAAGCTTATGCAAATAAAAATTACGCTATAGTGAAGGGCGAGGTAAGTGGATAAACAAAGCCTAGACAAATTCAATAAGTATATGAAAGGAGTGAAGAATGAGAAAATGGGTGAGAAAAAACATCAACTCAATGATAAAGTAATTATTAAAGTCTTCCCTGGCCAAGAAAAAGTTAAGGGATGTACACATTTCTTCCGGATACAAAGGTTAGGATTATTAGCTCGAATCCCCAAAGCTTCTGCTTTATGTAAAAAACGAGTTTGAATACCTTTCAAAAGATTAGATGGTATGCATGGAATAATCATGAAAGCCATTATTCCTATCTACCAAGTGATAACTATCAATGGGGTGATATGAAACTGAGCTTCTGATGGATTTTATCTGTCCCTTTTCCAACCATGAAGATAGATGCTGAGTAACACGTTTTCTAAGTTGTCCGACTTGTAAATAAACACATAGAACTGACCTAACTAGATAATTTATTTCTTATCTGAGCAGTAACAATTGATTGATTGGAAAATGATAGACAAAGTTGTGCGGTGTAGAAGGTCCTTTCAAAAGCTCTAGAGAGTCTCTGGTATAAAACTTCTCCAGCCACATCCCCATCTAATTATAATTAAATAAACAAAGGTATCTTTTGTACAGTAATAGTAACAGCAATATTCCCCCTGGCTTTGTCCATGTGTCTTTTTTTATGAAACTGTTAGGGTAGTCCATTTCAACCAGTGAATTATGGATATATTCCAGAGCCATGAAAGAGACCGTCTACACAACACAGTTGGACTGTGGTGATATAGCTTCAATTCTTCAATACTTGACATCAACTTCCGCCTAAACATTTTTACTAGGAGATCAACTATCTATTCAGCAATCGTATCCAAATAACCAGCTGGAGAATGGGTTGAAGTTGGAATTTTGAATAACTGCAACTCTTATTCTCTCTAATGCATTGAATTCACATGTTATGAATAAATCTTTTGGCTAAGAACATTTCTGAGTTACAGGTGAAACCTACTACACATAAGAATTCAATGGAATACGCTACTATACCATTAAATACAAATAATAACCACAAAAATACAAACAGAATTACATTATCTAGTTTCATTGATCAGTTGTGCCATATAATCATCAAATTGCAATGCCACGCTACTCATCATTATAGAACAGAGTATAGAATGGCAGTCAACCCTCCACCTCAACTTCATCCACATTGAAAAGGCTTCCGACAGCATCGACTGAGAAGTAATTTGACAGGCAGTTGCTTCAACACTACGGAATAGCACAAACCTTTATCAACCTCATTCAACAGCTGAGCTGTATAAATACGCCACATGCCAAATAATTGACAATGAGAAGCTCAGTGGTGCTTCTGAAGTGAGGACAGGAGCATAGCAAAGTTGTCTACATTCGCCTATGAGCTTCCTGATTGTAGTGGACTGGATCATGCAAAAAACAGTGGGGAGCTGTGAGAAGAGGGGGATGCGCTGGCTGGACCGCACAAAAGATCCTAGGAGATTTGGATTTCGCCGATCACTTATGTCTAATGTCACACAAACTTGAAGATCTACAGGCAAAATCCAACAAGTTGACAGAAGAGGCAGGGCAGGGCAGCGAAGACGGGAATTCAAGTGAACGTAGAGAAAACAGAGGTGATGTAGATACCCAACCAACACCACCACTACCACCACCAAGAATAACTAGTTCCAATCACCGTCAACAGGAGAAACTTAAAGGAAGTAGCCCATTTTACCTACACCTATCTAGGCAGCACTGTTTCAACTACAAGCGGAACAGGCACAGATGAGGATGTCAAAACCAGGATCGGAAAAGCAAGACAGGAGTTCATTAATCTGAAATAATCAGTGTGGAGATCTACTGCACCACACTACTCTCCACTAAGCATAAAGCGTGAACAAGATCCTGATTTTCAACAACAACGTCAATTGAGTGCTGCTATATAGTTCAGAGACTTGGTGCCTTATGGAAAGCATTTCAAACAAACTACAGATACTCATCAACAACTGCCACCTACGCTCGTTGTTGAAGCTCAGACGCCCAGAAAGAATAAGTGAGAAGTAACTCTGGGAACAAACCAACTGAGAAGCTATCACTTAACAAATATGCAGAAGGAAGTGGAGATGGATTGAGCATGCACTGAGAAGACCATTCGGGGACATCACGCATCAGGCCAGGCTGTCAAGTGGAACCCGTATGGGAATGGACGAGTTGAGCGTGCGAGTGTGACATGGAGGAGATCGTGTGAGCAAGGAATGAAAGCTTGTGTGTGGTCATGGTTCCAGGTTCAAAAGATTGCAGAGAGAAGAGAGTGGAATGGCGACGTGCTACTGACGCCCTATATTCCATTAGGAACCCAAGGGATAAACAGTAAATAATAATAATAATAATTGCATTTTATCCTGTTGCTTGAGTGATTATTATTATTTCTACTATTATACAGGATTATGGATCAGCTATTGAATACGCTTCACTGCATGGATTAGTTCGATTCCTTAGTTTAATCAACCGATCAATTTTGTACATTGAGAAATACCGGAATTATGAGGCGGCATTAAATGATCTATACCAAGCGGAAATTATATTGAACAACACTACATATATTCATTATAATCATGAGATGAATGAAGTTCTACCGGTAGACAGGAATCTTAACAAAAACAAAATAAATCTACATATTAAACTCATGCATACAATTGGTATTTGTCACCAAAGGTAAGAAACCATTAACTTTAATCTTACGAAAGTATAATTCTCGAGGAATTTGACGCAATCTAGCAAATGAGAATTAGGAGTATCTATAAGCGTCAATACATGCTAGTTGCATAAGAGGTGAGCATTGTACTTCAAAGGTGATGGTGAGGAAACTATCATCCACTGGAATGTAGGCACACTTGGCTGACGAGTCCTAAATAGGACGAAATGCAAGTCCACTCTTGGTTGCCAAATGAATTATAACATATAATGGTCACTGTTGTCCATTACTTCACGGGATAACAGAGTAACAGACAAGTGTTAAACCATCTGGCTCAAATGGCTAATCAGAATTTGTGTGGTCTGAATAATTTGCCTGTTTAAGTGAAACTAGTCTGATGAGCTCAGCCTCAAACAAGCGAAATGCCCGTTCACCTTGGTAGGTTCAACGAGTACTACTGATCAGTGTGAACGTTTTGAAACTACTCATGTTAGCCAGTAGTATAGTTCATATAGATTAAAAATACGTAATCAACATAGTTTCGAGATCGACTTTCTGGATCCATTAGATTAGTGTATTATATTATTATGTTTCCCTTGAGTTCCAAGTGGAGCATTAGGCTTCAATACCACGCCTCTATTCCACTTTTTTCCCTCCAGTCTTTTCAACCTGGCGCCACGACTGTCCGCAAGCTTTCATTTCTTCCTTACATGATCTCCTCCATGTCACCCTCAACCGGGACGCCCAACTCGTCGTCTCCCCCATGGAATCCACTCCACGGCTTGTCCTGGTCTGGCACGTGATGTCCCCAGTAGGCCTTCTCAGTGTTTGATCAATCCAATCCATCTCCACTTTCTCCCTCTGCAAATTTTGTTGAGCGATAGTTTCTCAGTTGGTTCGTTGCCATAGTTCCTCCTTGCTTATTCTTATTTCTCTGGCCATCTGATCACCATCTCCTGTATCGAGTGACTGTAGGCAGCTGTTGATGAATGTCTGTAGCTTGTTGAAATGCTTTCTGTGACACGCCAGCTTTTTGAAGCATATAGAAGCACTCACTTGACTGGATTGGTGTTGGAAATCCCGATCTTGTTGTTTGTGCCAAGTGCAGTGCAGTAGATCTCCACACTGATCAGTTCAGATTAGTGATATCCTGTCTTGCCTTGCTTTGCCGATCCTGGTTTTGACGTCCTCGTCTGTGCCAGTGCCACATGTAGTTGAAACGATGCTGTCTAGGTAGGTAGGTGGATGAAAGAGACTACTTCCTTTAGGTTACTCCCGTTCATGGTGATTGGTGCCTCTTGTTGTTTATGCTGTTGTTGGTTGGGTATCTTCATCACCTGTGTCTTCTCTACGTTCACCAGAGGGGAGTCGCGTCTTCGCTACTCTGCCTCTCCTGACAACTTCTTAGTTTTCGCCTGTACATCTTCGAGTTTGTGCGACAAGACATTGGACATAAATCATCATTGTTGGCGAAAACTAAATCATCTTCTAGTCTCTTTTCATTGATCAAACAGTGTATGCCCATCTTCTCACAGCTTCTCATTGTTTTGCTGCATGATCCAGTCGACCACAATCACGAAGATTATGGGTGATAGTAGGCGACAGCCTTGTCTGGTCATACTCCTATCTTCACTTCACTTCGAAAGGATCATTGAGCTTTCTATTGTGGATCACTTGGCATGTGGCATCTTCATATAGCTTAGCTGTTGAATGAGGTTGATAACGATTAGTGGCACTCACTCCGTAGTGTTGAAGCAACTGCCAAATTACTTCTCGGTCGACGCTGTCGAAGGCATTTTCAAAGTCGATGGAAATGAGGTAAACATCCAATTGACTACCACTCTATACTCTGCTGTATGATGATGCGTAGTGTAGCTTTGCAATCTGATCCACACATGATCTGTTCTTCTTGAAACCAGCCAGCTTGTCTGTTCCGTTCGTAGTTTTAAATCCAGTTCATCCTTCAGTCTCTTCAGGATGATGCGGCCTAATATTTTGCTTGGGGTGAACAGGACTGGAGTATGATTCCTCGCCAGTTCTTGCAAAGTCTTAGGTCTCCCTTCTTCGGGAGTTTGGCCAGGTAGCCCTTCTTCCAATCGCCAGGTACCTTCCCTTCCTTCCATTCCTTCTGTAAGATTTCTTAGAATATGCTCATACAATTGAGTAGACGCCCTTCTTTCAGTCCATTCTATGTTTAATTATAGGCTGTTTGAAGTTAGTGAAAAGGCATGAAACAAGATGAGGTTATTTTCTTCTCCAAATATTTTTGTCAATTTGTGTTTAAATTCTCTCTTGAGACAATAAAAACGATATTCACTTGATTAATAGTGAGAAAATTGGTTACTTTCATTGAAATCTTCACTACTCTCTTAAGTGATAGTTGGTTTTTGAATGATTGAGATATTCTGTATCAATTAACTCTATGAATCTATGGTGGGTATTTATCAACTCGCCAACTCAGACGCTCTAAATCTGTCAGCCTAATGTAACATTTGCTTTTCTCTCCTTTGTGAAAACACAGTTTGCTAAGCCATTTAAAGTACCTAGAAATAAATTATTAAGTCATCATGAATTGGTGAACAGTAGAAATCTTCAAGTAGCAGGGAGGAATAATGTTTTCCCTGAAGAGAAACTGTAGAACAGGGTAATTGAAACCGATTTTCAATGTCTGAAGTACTTTGTGTAGTAATGACAGGCCGTGGCTAGCAGAGTCCCATTTGGGACTCATCAGCTAGACGTACATGCCTCCCAGTGAGTGATGTTGTTCCCACCGGGATTCAGGCTCGGGAGTGATCGCTTCTAACGCGAGAGCGTTATCCACAGCAACACCGAGTTACGATTTGAAATGATCGCTTCCGAGTCCGAATCCCGGTGGGAACAACATTACTCAATATGAAGTAGGTAAATCCAGATGAACAGTCACAAATAGAATGAAATGCGTACCATGGATTCCACTGCTAGCCCCTATCCATCATTACTATACATAATTAAAACACAGACAGTATCCAGGCATCTGCACAGGAGCCCATATGCCAACAGAGACAGATCAATTCGGTCCAATCAACGACGGTGTAATATAAGCAATAACACCAAAAAAAATCTTAGAATTGTATTGATAAAATTGACAAGAATTTTGTTTATATCAAGTTAGCATTGGTGACTAGTATCGAGAGATGCTTTCCAAAGCTCTAATGAATAGTCGTTACCAATGAGGACAGTTACTCAACGATCTATGACAAGATCATGAGTGCTCACTACTTTGAAGTCTCCTACTGGAACTTTGCTACCAGATTTTTGATGTTTTTCCCATTGATGCCATTCTATAAGGAATTCCTACCACAACCTATAAGGAAACATATGTATTTCTGTATAGTTTCAGTATATATTTTATGTGTTACACACAATTATATTATACTTCCTTTTCCATTCTCTAAATATAGACTTGAACAATATGCCAAAGCAGAACAAATATTCCATAAATTAACTCTAAAAGAACCTGGATTTCTTCAAGGACATATTGGACATGCTAACTGTTTAATGGAATATGGAGGTTATATGATAAAAATGAAATTAAGTGGTTCGAAAAAATTATGGGAACAAGCTCTTACAGAGTATGAATATGCTAGTAAATTAGACGAATTCAATCTTGAAGCCAGTATTGGTCTATCAATGTGTTTACAGGTAGCGGAAAGAAGTAGTAATATATGCATATATCATAAATTATTATGATTATTTGTCCTTTGGGTTCCTAGTTGGACATAGAACTTCAGTAGCATGCCACAATTTCACTATCTTCTCTGTAATCTGGCTCCACCTAGATCCATGACTGTCCACAACCTTCAATTTCTTCCTCATATGATCTCCTCCATGTCACCTTCTCATCGGACGCCCAACTAGTCGTTTCCCCTTTGGATTCTACTCGGTGGTCTGGCCTGGCATATGATGTTCCTAATCGGCTTTCTCACTGTATGCCCAATCTATCTTCAATTTCTCCCTCAGCATATTTGTTGAGCGATGGGTTCTTGGTTGGTCGGTTCTTTACCAGGCAACCAGAGTTCCTCCTTACATATTCTTATTATTCTGCCATCTGATCATCAGTATGGAGCGTAGGAGGCAGGTGTTGGTGAATGTCTACGGTTTGTTCAAAATGCTTTTCGAGACGCTCGAAGTCTTTCAACCATCACGTAGAAACACTGATTTACTTGACTGACTTTGGCGTTGAAAATCCGGATGTCGTTCACGCTTTTTTTGAGTGCAGTGAAGTGCAGTGCAGTAGATCTCCACACTGATCAGTTTAGATTGATGCAGTAAGGCCTGTCTTGTTTTACTTTTCCGATCCTGACTGGCTGTGACATCGTCATGTGTGCCTGTGCCACCTGTAGTTTAAACGATGCTGCCTAGGTGGGTGAAAGAGACTACTTCCTTTAGGCTTCTCCCGTTCATGGTGATTGGTGCTTGTTGGTGTTGTTTGGTTGGATATCTTCACCACCTGTGTCTCCTCTACATTTACCTGAAGGGAGTATCGTCTTCTCTGCCTCGCCTCACCTCTTCTGTCAACTTGATGGTTTTTGCCTGTAAGTCTTCGAGTTTGTGCGACATAAGACATTATACATAAGTCATCATGGGCAAAATCCACATGTTTTATGATCTTTTCATCAGCCAAACAGCCAGTGTACGCTCGTCTTCCCGCTTCTCACAGTTTGCTGCATGATCCGGTGCACAACAATCAGGAAGATGATTGGTGACAGTAGGCGGCAGCCTTGTCTGGTCTCACTCCTGTCTTCACTTCACTTCAAAGGTGTCACTGAGCTTTCCATTGTGAATCACTTGGCATGTAGTGTCTTCATATAGCTGTTGAATGAGGTTGATAGAGGTTTGTGACATTAAGACCCTATTGTTGAAGCAGTTTTCAAATTAGGTCTCAGTCAATGCTATCGAAAGCGTTTTCAAAGTGGATGAAATAGAGGTGGAGAGTTGACTGTCATTCTGTACTCTGTTCAATGATGATGCGTAGCGTTGCGATTCGATCCGCACAAGATTTCTTCTTCCTGAAGCCAGCCGGCCTGTTCTAGTCGTAATTTTGAATCCAATGCACTGCTTGGTCTCTCCATTATGAATTAAATCCACAATGCTTTGACGTTATATTTAACATGATCTTACATCACTCAGATCCACTGAAACCCTGAAAATAATGGGCAACTGTTTCTGCTTAGTATGGGACTGGTCAACAGTACGTACCCACGGCTATCTTCTCAGAGATCGAGACTGACATTTCCAAATTCTAGTCAGAAGACGTTATTTGTGTGGTTACCCAGTCGTGAGTGAAAATTGATGGCAATAGACTAGGCAAGTCTACCTTTTTTTGATGATTTCCTCGAACTACTTACTAGTAGTCAAATTAAAACTGCTAAAATAGTTGTGTCATGAAGTTACAACTAACTGATGTAATTACTGACAATGCTGTCTAAATAAACAAATCAGTCAGTTAACATCAGTACCAGACCTGGCATCACTGCTTAACAGTGCCAGTTGCTAACATTTACTATCAACATATCTAGTAGCTATGCACTTGGATTATAGACATTGAAATGAGGAAGAAGGTTGTCAAAATTGATGGAAAGGCTTCATAAGATGAGATAAGGTAGGTGCCACAGCATGTATTAACCAACCATATAAAATGATTTCTTGATTTACCGTAAGCGAATCAGCTGTAGTCACCATTTTTGCATTGTTTTATTCATTTTTAAGTCGAATGATTTAATTGTGAAGTTGCTGTTGCAACATTAACAGTATTGATTGGTCATGTGAGTGCAACTAATTTCATGTTGTCCTCAGTGCAAACTGAATTCTGTCGATCATATTTGCAATGTGGCAACCAAGCTAGGAAGCTCAGCATCACGGTGCACATTAGTAGATGTTAGTTGGTTGGAGGTAATCAGCAGGAAGCACTGCCTCACCTAGGTTTCGTGCTTGTTGGCACTCGTCATCAAGGCGTATCTGCAACCTCGACCGAACTTATATCCCGCCTCAGATTCGAACCCGCATCACCCAGTGTTGTAGTCAGCGACATCACCACAGCTATCTTAACCTTGTAGCACAAGGTTTTTCTATCTGGAATTGGCAAGTGAATCCCATCGATATAACATGTAGTAACTTGATCGTCATGGAGCTAAACGGTTCGCATAGAGTAGTCGGTGTGCACCTATGAAGATTCTCAAACCAGGATGAAACAGTGTTCCAGTAGTATGAAGTTTTCAGCGTTTCTACGGCTGGATGTCTTTGCATGATAGAAACCTATTTTAAACCCAGTCACTTCTAAAAGCCTCCACGCCACTGACCAACCTCAAAGAGGTTTGTTATGTATACTTTGTGAATACTTGGAAAAAATATCTATAGCCTATTTAACGTTTCTACAAGTGATCTTAGTGTCTCGAGAACATTCTAGAAGGGTGTTATGATCACTTTTAGTCAGTAGTCATATTTATACGGTTTTCTGGATATCTTATACAGAAATTCTAATAGGTTTTAAGTACATTTTGTATCTGTCAAATGTAAGATTATGCTTCAGGATTGACTGGTCTGGTAGTGGAATGTGTTGACCACTTCATTTACTCGGAGAGTTGCATTAGTCAAAAGAAGCTGGTTACTGACGAAATCTTAGTTTGGATACAGAAAGCTGGTTTCGCACTAACCAAATTGAGTTACCTGTGGTACCGACTAGAAAGATATCCAGCTACCTATTGAAGGATAGGTATACAGCATTGTATTCCGTTCCGTCCTTATGTACTTTTATGAGAAGACTTGAAGAGACAACAGGTTTCTAACCACAAATTTATTCGTAGCATACCTCAAGTCTGGTAGAATCACAGTGTCAGTAATGTAGAGGTCAGACGAAGAGTATTCGGTAGTGAAGACAAGCCAGTCGATAAGGTTGTGGATCTTTTTCGACTGAGATGGTCTGGACTATCGCCTACTACGACGTATAATGCCAGAAGAAGTTCAGATGAGTTGGAACAGGGTTCAGGATGACATGGTTTGGGCACAGTCAATCACATTAGTGTATGTATCTGCAATTCATCATATCAAATCCCTTTGTGATCCTCCTTCAGGTCTTGGAAATTTTTAAAGATGACTTTGAATACTTTCAACGTTGTTTATTTGCACTCCATTGACGAGGTAACCTGTTCCAGACAACGACAAGTACGACTTCCCTATGATATCCATTTCTTATAACTACTAGAGTAGAATCTTTTAATCTACTAAGTTCTCGTCTTGATAACTGATCTAAGTCCCCTTAAGCCATCGATTTGATCCACCTTTCATCAAATGAGACATTATTTTGCTCACATTACCACACAGCCATCGAGAAGAGAAATGAAACGAATGTAGTTTCACATCTTTACAGTAACAAATGAACCACGCCTATAGTATAAGGGTTAGTGACATTACCTGGCCATCCAAACCACAATACGTGAAGCGGGGTTCGAACTCATACACCTATACCACTGAGACACAGCTCAATCAAGAAAAAAAGGGATGACAGTAATTTGGGAGTAGGTTAAATTGGCTTCATAGTGATCAAATGAAATATGTTTGTGGATTTCAGATCCAGTCGTTCAGGCCTCTGCTTTTGGTCGCATAATTAAGGCCTCTGCCGTTTAAGGTGTTACATAGTTGGTTCATCATTCTCTGATTTGAATCAGCGGGGTTTTGTACAGCCTCTTTATAAGCTCTTATTGATAGAATACAGATTCGAAAGAAGGGTCCAAAGTGTGAGGAGTTAGCAACTCAACGGATACACATCTTTTCGTCACGTTATCTTCGAGAAAGTGGAAGTTATAGTTACTCCCGAAGTTTACCGGCGCTTAGTTGAATTTCTTCACTTTGAAATTTGGAGCACTGAGCAGAAATCACATTGAGTCAAAACCGGTCAGTAGACACTGCAATACTTTGTTCTAATTAGACAGTCGGATTCCCCTGATCCGTGCCAGTTATTAGTTAGCCGCCACGTGCAATGAGTTTTATAGAGGAAAGTCAGCTTTCTTATTCAGATTTCAGTTAGACTACAAAACTGTGACAGGAGGGGTGAATTTGTACGGTTGATAATCAACTTTACTGTTATTCATTTTTACCTTATTTCATCTGTCTATATTCATATCGTTCTACCTCTGTCCATCTGGTTGATAAATCGCAGCATGCAAGTCCAGACATCTCTGCAAGGAAGTGATTAAATTACTGTCCAGCGTACATTATAGACTAGTTTCGAGGTAAGATTTCCAGGAGTTCTGATGAGAAGTAATAACTGGTGCGGTAAACCAAGTTGAACGTCAGGACAAATACTCAACGATGTCATTAGGTGATGACGCTTACGATATTTTCGGCTGTTTTGAATAGTTAAGTGTTGAAACTTTCAAAATAACCGCAGTAAACAATGAAGCCCATCTATTGTGTAACGGCTAGTGATACTATCTGTCTAGCTGCCCAAATGTCTTCCAGTGAGATAGGGGTTCGAACTCAGGACTGGTTGACTGTTGTGTCTCTAGACGGATGAAATGCTCTAGGAATACATAGAAGCTGGCGCATTTTGTTCTAATTTGTGACTTATTCGTCAGCTGGATCCACCTGCCCCCCCCATCCGGTGAGTGGCGGTGTCCCCACTGAGACTCGGACTTCAAACGCCA